CACTTCTTGCGATTGCAACGGACCGCGATGTCAAAATTTACCAGAATTACACTTCAAACAGATCTAATGTCGGTTACGACTACGGGTGGAATCGCACACAACCACCATCACCGCCACCGCCACCTCCTCCATTCCCTACTCAGTTGCTGCAGACGATCTGGGAAGAATTCAACTACTCACTCGCGTGGACGCTAGATGGCACGCGGCTTCTTTTGGGGGGCAACGGGGTTGATCCCACCATACGATCGTGGGATACATCCACCTGGCAGCAGGTCGGTAGTCCCTGGAAGGGCCATTTCAAGACTATCCATGCCATTTCTCTGAACTCTAGCGGCACTCTCCTCGCCTCCGCATCTCATGACAATTGTGTCCGCCTCTGGCGACTCTCAGATCGACGAAACATTGCCATATTCAAACACTCTGGGGAGCTGAACTGCGTGACGTTCTCTGCGGGTGACAAACACATCCTCAGTGGAGGTGTGGATAAAAAGATTTCGGAGTGGCCCATATCCGAAGATGCTTTGTTAGAGGATGGTACAAATGATGGCCTCATGAAGGAGCAAGCGACGCGCCAGGTAAATTTGTTTTCATTTTCCCGCCCATTCATCATTTAAGTATCTTTTTTACGTCAAGGTTCAAGTCTACTCTGATTTCAAGGCATGTTCCCACCTTCGGCTTTTATAACGCAGCGTGAACATGATTTACGCAGGTCCTCACTATGAACTCAGCAGCCCGCAATGCATGCATAGCTGGGGCCTTGTCTATCGCTGAAAATGTGCTAAATCAAGATATTGAGTCTGACGCTAGTCACACCGCCTATGCCAATCGCGCATTTATTATGGCGCGAAAATGCGACTGGGACCGAGCGCTTCAAGATGCAGTTCAGGTGAGATTGACTGGCCCATCATGACCTCCTAACAAAAGTTAACTTTGATGATGGCATAGTCCGTCAGCATTCAGCCATCATTGATAGGCCATATCTCCAAGGGCATTGCCCTCTGCGGGAAAAAGCAGGTTTTGGCTGCTAGGATATCATTTGACCTTGCATCCATGTTCACAAACGGTGATTTAAAGACCGATCACATGCTTTTCTTGATCAAGGCAGGTAATATTTTTCTCACATACTCCGCGCTTCATTGCGATTTTAGGCCATTGCATTGTTCAATGCAAATGAACATCAAGAAGCGATGCTCCGCATTGGAGAACTAGCCGCGAGTCCCAATGTCGATCCTGTTGCCTGTCGTATCGTGGAAGTGAGTGTGATGCGCTCGATCACACCAGGTTCACGTACTATCATTTATTTCATTTACCCTTCGTACACAGGCCTACCTACGCGTCCAACTGGGAAATATTGCCTTAAATAGTGCACGCCATAACGAAGCTGTTGAACATTTCACTGCCGCCGCCAATGCTAGCACTTTCTTTTACAAATCGTCAATTCATTTGACATACGACGAATTTGTCGCGGTACGTTGATATGACGCAATCCAAAATTCATTCATGCTCAACTACGTGTTTTCCGCAGCTCTTTGGTTGGGACCTCAAGTCCTTGTGGCAAACCGCAAACCAACAACAGTGTTATGCACTCTTCCGAGCAGGTAGTTTTGGAGCAGCCATCGAATCGTATCAATCCATCATGGATAAGGTTGATGATGATACGAAAGTCGGTTTGCGTGCTTGGTTCATTGGTAAGTATTTCAGTAATGTCTTCCCGTCTCTCCGTCTAGAATCATCAACTGCACTTCACTCAGCTCTCAAGTAAGATCGAAATGCGCTCTATGCTTCCCATGGGGATGGTGCGCTCACAGCGAGCGGTTACTCGTAGTTTTCATTTGTACCTTGACGGTAGTTGTATTGCTCTTGGTCCTTGTGTCATAATATTAGAGTTTGATCATGATACCCTTATCAGTCGAACCTTGCTGAGCTCGGTTCTCTCGAGTTACTCCAAACCCTAATACCCTTAAGGCAAACCCTCATCGTTTAGCGGGGTGAACCGAACTGAAAAATTAAGTGAGCCCCATATTTTGGCCTCACTTGACCGATTATATTTGCCATGATCGATCACAGCGGCATCTTCTGTGCCACTCCCCGAGTGCAACGTTAACTTATTATGTAATTGATACTTGTTCAACTATGATCACGCTCTAGATTTCGCAGTCAGTTTGAAAGCTTGAGTGCAACGTTCAGTTGAAGCCGGAGATAAGATTACACGGAAAACGTGTCCAGGCCTCGAGAAGATTTAAACAACATGCGTTCCCCAAAGAGCGAAAGGGCACTACGATAGATAATGAACATTTACGACTTGTTTATGACTGCGTCCTCGATTTCTTGTTGGTAATAGGTAACGGAACATACAGATCCAGGCAAACAATTCTAGGATGTATAGGAAGATACAGTATAAATCAGGAAAGCTACAGAGAACAAAACGATTGAAAGCTTGGTGTAGCGAGCTCGCGAGATAGAATAAACTGATAAAAAATCCTAGTATCACATCGTAGATGGTCGTGAAATCAAGATCTGAAAAATCCAAAAGAAAACCAGATAAATACACTTAGAATCCCGTGGCAGATGCAATAGATGGAGCGATGGATCCGTGCCGCTGGCGCTCCCACAATTTGTCCTTTGCGCGGATTTCGATATTCTCAAAGGCAGCGCTCTGCGTCAATTTTACGCAGTCCCGTGTCCCGAGGACAAGAAGCTCAAAGAAGAATGCGGATGCAGCACGCCGAGAAGCTTTCTCCGTCATCCTGCGGAAGCTTATGACTCGCTCTTCGCCGTCCTCGCGGGCTTCGGGTTTCAGCTCCTTGCGAATGATACCCAGCGCTTTTACCGTGTTCTTGCTATATCCTGTGCCTTCACCGTCACCAGCAGCTTCCTGAGCCTGAGTGGGAGAGGGCCGTACATCGAATGATGCGATAGGGCATGTCATATCAGCGTAGGTCTCGTCACCTTCTTCTCCATCGATGGCTGGCGTGGACGATCGACTTTGTTCTGTTGCGGCACCTCTGCCTTGTTCCAATCCCAATTCGTCATGTGCCACCGGGAATTCACCACCAACATCCATCTGAAACTCATCCAAACCGCCCGTCATGTCGCCAAAGTCGAAGCCACCGTCAGGAGCCATACTGGCACGACCGCCAAGAGCTTCGCTGGCAAGTGCAATGCTCGGAGCAATACTGGCATCCCGTCGAGCTTGTTCGACCTGCTCATCCTCATGTACGCTCCCTTCAACCCTAGGCTTCTTCCTCCCTGCCTTGTCAGGGGATGCACCCCTCTTTTTCGATGGGAAGCCAGTTTGTAAAGGACGCATGAACAGGTCGGATAATTCGGGCGCTAGTCCAGGGGGCCCGGCAAGGAAGAATGTGCCTTCGGGCGTAACCTTGGTGGGAAGAAAGTAGGCAAGGGGATCCTCGCGGATCTCCATGAGCCGCATCACCATCGCAGAGCGAGGAAGAGATGGATGCTCTGCAAGGATATTACTGACATCCTTGATAACAGGCGCGCCTAGACCGCGACCAGCTCTGGCTCCGGGGCCATCGGTGAGCTCAGTAACAGCATCGATGATTTGCTTTTTTTCTTTGGGCTTGCGCTTGGCCTTTGCAGCAACTGCATCGTCAGCTAATTCTTGTGCAGCTGCTTTTGGTGTGAGGAGAAGGTCGGGCGGTGGCGTTGGCGGAGGCTCCGTGAGCGGAGAGGCTGTTTACTGGGCATCAAAAAAAAGTCAAGCAGAAAATATAAAACCACAGCGTACACATTCGAGAAGGAGACCTGGTTTGTCCGGGTGTCTTTTCACGATCGCTCAAGGGGCGGTCCCCGAAATCGATACCCAAATCAATGTCCATAACTCCCATGTCTGGACCAAAACCCATGTCCACATCCATGTCGGCACCAAACGGATGTTCGGAGGGTTCTCTACTTCTGTTCGAGAAGAAGTCTTCGCCCTCTCCACCTTGTCCCATCATTCTAGAGTCCAACGACTCTCTGGCACTTCGTGGAGTCGGGGCATCACGACCAACTTCTACGCTTCCGTCAATAACGCTGACCGGCCCGTCCCCAAAGTCAAGACCAAGATCAAGCTCTCCAAAGTCCTGTGAACCGATACCATCTGATGGTCCGAGGTCAAAGCCGTAGCCAGGATCGTCAAGGTCAAATTGCAGGTCGTCAGCTGTTTGAAGGGTAATATCTGCTTGGCGTGCAACATGATGACCTTGAGGTTCAGCAATACGGTCCTCAAAATCGATGTCCCTGGCTCAGTATATGAGCCGGGGGGATAAGAGACGAGAGAATGCATAAGGATCTCACCAATTGATATCTGGAAGTAAGACGTCCAGGTCCAGATTGCTGCTTTGAAGTGTGATGGCATTGCGGTTGACAGCCAGTTGATCTTCCGTCATATCAACAACACCTGGGCGGAATGCCTGGAACGAGGTCAACATTTATGTGACACCAAAAGTACAAGACATTACCATCTTGATTTTGAGAAGTGCTTCGTTACAATCATCCAATAGATATTTCGCTTTTCGACTGTAAATTCGAACAACACCGAGCAATAGCTGGCCGCTTAGGCGCAGTGCCATAACTTCAACCTCCTGTCCCATAATGGCATCTGGGATCAGTGTAAAGTGTCAGTTAACGCGTCAGAAACAGATAAGATAATGACGCACCCGCTGCCTGCTCAATATCCGTCTGTAGTGTCTGTGTTTTGGAGAGTTTTCTCTCCATATGCGCGGCTAGCCATACTTTGGCTAGTGGCCCACGGCGCGATAAAATAGCTTCTGAGTAAAACTTTTCCGGAGTAAGCCACCGCCAAGTAGTTGCAGGAGTAAGGTATACGAACCATGATAATCCAGGCTTTAGGGGATATACAAGAAATGAAAAGAGAGAGGGTGTTGACCAGGCACCCGGTCGCGGACTGACGGTTTTGAACAACTTGGTCAGGCGGTGGCTGTGTCGCAGTGGAAGGTTATTGAACTGTGTTTGGCCTATTGGCCTAAATTTACAGATTTTTGTGGAAGTGGGCTGGTCAAAGTCAAAGATGCTGACTTCCACATCGCGAAACTCTCTTAAAAGAGTCTCAAGGAAAGCCGCTTTATGGACATCCCAGTCCGAGTGCACTGGAGTGCTGCCTGTGACCTTTTCCCGTGAGTCAATTCAACCACTCGTTCGCAAACACGGTTTTGAACACCGTGTAGGATGTCAGAGCACCCAACAGGTTGCAGCAAAGCCTGCTCTACATTCGAGCTCGTCTAGAATTCGGAATAAACCATGGTCCTTCGTTCCCGACCAAAGTTTTCAGGGAACTGCAAGTGGTAGTGCTATAGCGCGCTACCAGTTCAGGTCTACAGGGTTTGCCAATTCCAAGAGCACCGCAATGCTTCTTAGAATGTGCAAAGAAATGAAGCAGGAGGGCGTAAACCCGGACATCATCATTTATAATAACTTGCTGGCATGTCTTGCGGACGATTGTCATGTGCTAGAGGCTTGGGCTGTTGTCGAAGATATGAGTTCTATGGGGATTGCACCCGATCGAAACACTTTCAATCACCTCATACATGTGCGTTCGTGTTTCTTTGGTCGCTGTAACTTGCCTTATCGTTTCACTGTTGAACCTAGGCATCACGTCGATTGCACTCGGGAGCTATGTGGGATATCCTCGACAAGATGGATGCAGCAAACATCCCTCCGAACGAACGGACATTCCAGTTGATGATTCAACGCCACACAACGCCAGAAAGAAAAAATCTCGAATTTGCACTGCAATGTGTTTATGAGATGGGGACCCGGGGGCTCATCCTTGAGCTCACGATCGCCCAAGATGTGATAGGGCTTGCGGCGGAACTCGGCTTTCCCCGACTTGCAATCGACCTGGCGGAGAATTTCGAAGCAACCTCCGTCCGGAGATTAAGCTCAGAAACATGGCTAGGATGTCTAGCATCATCTGCCGAAGCTCTTTACGTGTGTGATATTTATATCTAGTATCGTTTCCACCTGACATTCGATCGGAAGGCCAAAGGTGTTCAACGATGCTGGGAAAAGGTTATTGGTGACCTTAATGTTACTCCAGACGAAGGACTCTGCCTCGATGTTCTCCATACTGCTGGACGCCATGGACTCTCTGACCTTGCAACAGATGTCATTCGTGTCCTCAGAATTCTGGGCGCTGACTGGCAAGAGTACCACTTTGCACCGCTCGTGGAAGCAATGTGTAACGCCGGAAATCTAAAAGATGCCTTTGGCACACTCGACTTGATGCGAAGTAGTAACATCTTCCCTACTGCGGTAACAACCCAGCCGATATACGAAGTCCTGAAGCAGGATGTTGACAAGGTAGACGGCGCTTGGGAACTGCTTGACAAGCTGCGAAGTGAAGGGAAGACGATCGACAGGACCGCCATCAATGCCATCATCCGCGCTGCCATATCACTTTCAGATCTGCAGCGTGCCGTGGGCGCCTACAAGGCTTTCCCCGACTACAAATGCGTCCCCGACATTGACACCTTCAACTCACTTCTTTCTGGCTGTATCATTGCCAGTCACCGTGGACTCGGAGATAGACTGCTCCTGGATCTGAAGGAGTTGGGCATCAAGCCAGATGCAATGACATACGAGCGGATCATCGTCCTTTGCCTAACACAGACCACATATGAAGACGCGTTCTTCTATCTCGAGGAAATGAAAGCGCAAAAATACGTGCCGCCACGGAGCGTTTACGACGCCATCATTCGCACTTGCATCGCTGCTGGTGATTCGCGTTACACACTAGCATTGGACGAGCTGAAGAAGTGTGGATACACCGTTTCGGATAACTTGCAGACGTTCATTGATACTGGAGGACGAGAGTCACGGCCGAGGTCATAGTGTTCGTGTGTCAAGTTACATTCATCATCGATAGGTAGCTTAGCTATATCTACATAATTTACCTCTCGAGATGTGAGGTTTAGAATTGATGCTTATACCGCTCTTCGAGCCTACGCGCGATTCTGAATACGTTGACCATCATGATCTCCACACTGGTACGACTGCCTTCCCTTGTGAAATCAGATTTGGTCGAAAACCCCATGCCGGACATAGCCCTATCCGAGTGCAGGGCCTTACTGGTTGCTATCGTAGTTTGTACTAGGGATTGAGAAGACACAAGGGGTGGGATCTTGCCTGCTCAGCGCTCAGCTACCATCTCTGTGACCTTGCCAATTGAGGATATTGCACGGTAAGAGGAACAAAGAAGTTGATGCTTGCGTGCGGTAATGCAAGGATGCTTTCGTATCAGGTAGAACCGAAACAAATCAGCGCCATAATCAATTTTTTGTGTTTGGTGAGTATACCGTTGAGGGCAAACTGCCGAAAGGATTAAGGTGCTCGTGTGACCAAAAGGGAAATTGGTTGTGGCCCCTATTCTCTTTTTTATACTTCGACGTTCTATTTGGTTTGACTAGTTGCCCCTCTATCATGACTACCAATCCTTCAGAAGATTTCGATGATCAAAAGTCTGTGGGTGCCGGTGATGCACCTCCCTCGTACGATACGACACCTCTGTCTGAATCATCATCGGGGTATGGGGATGCCGGGCTGGGGTGATGTGAGCGGCAGCATGCTCTTGGGGTGGCATGAAAAGGTGCACCTGGAGCTTACTTCATATATAAACTTTCTGACCATAATGGTAGCTGACCGAAGTCGCCTCGCCGGCACTGGCTGTATTGTACGAGTAATGACTGACAGAAGAACTGCATAGCACCAGCATTTGAAGTTGTCACCGGTACACATGGTCCCGAGCTCATGCAAAATGGGGCAGCCGCTCAGACACGATGATCGTGACGTTGCTAATCTCAAATGGAACCCGTAATACCAGTGTTTTGCCAAAGAAAGAAGGCGATTGGGCCCGAGGGTGGGCACTGAGTGCTCTCACTTTAATGAAGTACAAGCGCTTCGATCACCTTCGGACGTCGGCTGCCTTCAAGTTTATACGGTGAAGAACGAATCAGTACGTAGGTTCAGCACCGCTTTCTCCAGTGAGTCCTTGACATCCGTTGAATGTGGTGGCATAAGCAGGTCGCAGGGTGAAGTTGTTTTCAATCGACGGTCTAGCTTGACCCCGTTGGATTGAAAGAGAATGTGATGCGAGGCAGGGAATGTATTTCTCCTGTTTGAGGGATCTCAACCTCCGATGCAGAGCGGTGATGCAGACTCGCGCATTTTGCACCAATCCGTCATCGGACATGTTGCGTTGTATTGCGCATATAGCATCCACTTTGAGATCCAAACGATGGGGAGGCGTTGACGTTGACTCAGAGTCGACATGGCGAGGTAGTCGGGCGTTTGCTCAGGTGCGTCTGGAGGTGCTTGGTCTACTTCTACAATGCCGTGAAAGGAGCACGCGGAGGCCATGGTGGTGAAAGAGTAGGAGCTTAGATCCGTTGGCGCTAGACCAATTTGGAGGACAGGTGGAGTACAGACAGGAGAATCACGCGAATTGGTTCCGCGGGATGTCCTTACATATTGTAGATGTACTTTGGTTGATATGATGCTTCCTGGCTCGCGGCGCGTGTCGGATTTTGATCAAGAGCACACGTCATAGCAATTGCACATCTACATCAATCCCAGAAATAGGTCCCTTGACTAAGTAGCAATTGGATATTAAACCCCCCGAAGGATCAAGGCTCTGTCGAGAACAAGATTGTACGCGCGCTGACAATGATCCGTCGGGCTACCGGCTCGAGACTCAGGCCTCCTGATCGCCCTGACTGGTTGTGGCTACCTGCCATGTGAAACGATTCAACAAATTCGTGCATTGCGATATATATATCAGACGAGCAGGTAATTGAAAAGCAAATACAGCTACCCCACCCACCCCTTTTTCTCTATTGCGAACACCTTCCTCGTCATGCCAGGACGACTAGACACCATTCCATGGTTTGTACACTGTTTCCCCCCACTCCCCCGTTCCGCTTGCCACACACCATCTACTTTCTCTTGGCCTCCCCGCCTGTGCTCACAGAGACAGGTTCTTCGTCCTCCCACGGGCTGAAGTTGGGCTTCCGAATCAACGGCAGCGACTGTAGCCACGCAGGTAAAACAGCCCCCTTCCCCCCAAACGCCGGCAGCGGCTGCACTTCAGCGTGAGCGTGCACTGGAGAAGATGGAATACTTCCGACGTCGCTGAGGCTTGGCAGACGCTCGAGGCTCGTATTAGTCGAACCACCAAGCGCGCGCTGAAGTACCTCACGTTCCGCTCGAGAGGGAGCAAAAGCGCGAAGGAGAGCAGATGGAGTCGAGGAATTGCTGGACATCAGCCCGTTTGGATTCAGCGCGTCATAGCAAGCCATAGGAGCGGCGCTGGTGGATTCGGATATAGCCGGAGCTTGTCGTCGCGGAAGTCTGAAAACCTTGGCATCAGGATTGAGGCCCTTGCGTTGCTTGTCCTTGGCAGATGTCGAGAACCACCTGCGTGGTCCAGAATCCAACCCCATGATAGCGGCATCATTGACAAGAGTGTTGTCCAGCGCGCGTACGGCGGAGGGATCAGAGTTCGTACGGTGAGGCATGCTCATTTTGTCATACATGGCCTGAGTGTGGTGGCGAACTTCGAAAGGATCATACTCAACATTCATTTCCTGTGTGGGCGAAGGTCCAGTAAGGGATACAGGTGACACATTAAGTGTGTTTCCAGCTCTTCCAATGCCTCGGCAGTCTCCAGAAGGGGAGTCTAGCACGCTAATGAGGCTACTTGGGATGAATGCTGAAGACGGTGTTTGAACATCAAAGGGAGAGAACGCCAAATTCGTGTGGGGGGAGAAATGACCGTGAGCGATTTTACCAGATTGTGATGGTTGCGCGAGGGAAGCGATATCGTCATCAAAGATGGTGTACCCCTTGGAGCGACGCGAAACAGCACTCGTTTCACTTGTATTAGGGCTGAAGTTTGACAGTGATCCCAACGAAAGTCGTGGAGGTCTCGGAGAGCGTGAAAATTCTCCTGAATCAAGACCGCTTTGTGCGCGTTCCGAAGACCCCGGTGAAGAATGGATGTCTAACGGCTCATCAAAGGGACTGAAAGTTGAAGACCAGGATGGTGCATCTGGTTGACCCATGTCATAATCATTTGCATTGCCGTGACCGTTGATATGACCGTATTGCTCTTGCGTGGAGGAATGGCCGCTGTTCAAAACCTGCATAGGGACAAACAACGGCTCCTGTTTCAGAACCTCCGTTCGCTCCCTAGCGGCTTCGAGTCGCTCGCGTGCCTCTGTGATTTTAACCTCGAGCTCCTTCGCACGTGTGTTGAGCGCGGCGACAACATCCTCGGCAATCCGAACCTCCTTCTTCTTCGTCTCAAGCTCCAGTTCCAGTTCCTGTGTTAGGTTGGCGTCCTCGACCTCAGCTTCTTCAAGCAAAGTCGCTCGGTCTGTCTCGATTTGACCCCTTAACCTGCCAATTTCGTTCTCCAATTCCTCAATGCGCCTTACAGCGCCCTCCTTCACACCGCGGGCGGCCTTGAGCTTCTTCTCGGCATCTCTTCTTCCCGTTTCAGCAGAGCGTCGTGCATCCTCAAGCATTTTGGCACGAGCTTTCCCTTCGGCTTTGCGTTGATCTTCATCGCGCTTACGTATGCGCAGCTCGGCCAATTCAGCTTCCAGCGCATCATGGGACGTAGTGGCGGCTGTTTGGGCCTCGCAAATCTGGGTATCTAGTTCTGCCACGAAAGCCTGCTGAGCAGCGATTTGCCTCAAGACTTCCGCGACCATCGGGGAGTCATCGATGGATACAGATCTCGAAGGGCCACATGAGATGGTTTGAGCAACAGGCGGGACGTAGACGCCGATACAGGTCTGGTCGGAAACTGGTTGGGATATTTGAAGGTTATGCTCGTGCGTTCGGTGATCTGTGTGCAGGGGAAGTGAAGCCGACTTGGGAAGTGGCGGAGGCGTCGAGTTACGACGAGGAATTAATCCAAGGCGCGGCGCGAAACGTTCACGATTACGTAACCTAGGTGGAGTACCACGCGATGGAAGCCTGGGACAGGGAACCGACTTTGCAAATGGGCGACCTTCTTTCTACATTAAGATGGAAGGACGAATGAGATCGAAAAAACATACTGTTGAATTCGTTGAGTTTGTCAAGAGCCTTGAAGCCAAGTATACCAGAGCTCCAGCCTTCAGCGTCCTTTGATCCGATCATGGCATCGTGATACCATGAATCAACAAGACCGCCACGCCACCAGTGACCAAACGCTCCAATAAACCAAGAATCTGATACTACCGATCCATCATGATAAACGCCCGACAAGTTCCCGTTACCATGTAAACTAGTTGTGCTTGAATTACGTCCAGTAACGCCAGCAGCTCCGCGGGTAGTGGCGATCGTGCAAATGCCGATGCTATGGAAGATATGCTTGGGGGTGCGTAGAGATACTGAAGCACGGTTTGCAAAGTGAAATGGAAGTGGCGTGCGGTCAGTCAGTGTATTGCGGTCCACAGGACGCGAAGAGTATTGGGCATCAGTATCAGAAGATTCGTCCGTGGTATCATCAAGATGGCTGAGGTGTTGGCGGAAGGATTGTTCGGTTAGATAAGCACGAAATGATGTCTCTGAGGGGTTTGTGAGATACGCTGGATGTTTTTAGGTTGAATAAGGATGCCAATTAGATGGACGATCAAATGCAGTGAACAATGATAGTATGCAAGAGTGAGAAATAAAATGGTCAATATGGGGAATAAAAGAGGTTGAACCACATTGCTCACCAAGGATGAGCACTACAGCAACAAATACAAGAAGAAAGACGAAAGACCTGAATTCACTAGCGAACACGGGCGGAGTCATCCCAGAAATACAAGGGAGTCCATAGGGAGATCAAGCCAAGGCCGCCGAAAGATAGGCTCATTAGCAAGATGGTGGATGGTCTTGACGACTTTGGGATATTATGCACGCTGGGATGAAGATTACGAGTAGAGTGGGTGCGATTAATGGCAGACACTGTTGCAAAGGGACAATGACGTCCCCGCACTTAAATTGAAATGTACCTGTAGGAAGTGAGTTGAGTTAGTGAGTTTGAGAATTATAATGATGAACGTACCGTCGTTTTTAGGGATAGAACGTCGCCAACGATGATCACGTTGAGGAACGTTGAGAGTTTAGGAAGAAGAACAGCGCCCGCAATCAAAATGCCGGAGTCGGAATTTTCGTACGTAAATCAGTGCCACAGTTTCACAACCAAACTAAATTCGCTACTAATCTTAATCCACGATCATGTCATCCACACAGCTTGCCATATAGGTTTCCTTGACAAAATGCACTGTCATTTACATGTGCCACGGCACCGGAAATCTTTTGGCTGAACTCTTTGTACTTTTTTTATATTGATCTAAGCCAAACGTTATCCATCGATAGTCGCATCAGTTATCCGAGGTTGGAGAACAATGCGCCAAGAATTTTGCACCTTACTTACCTTGGTTTTACATATTTGATAGAACATGCTGCCGACCACGAGCTGGACAACGTGTCTTACCATTTATACACGCAGGAAATTTACCCTGTAGTGGTCTAAGTATGTCCATTGTCCAGACTGTTCGCATGTCTTTCATTCACACATACGAGTCCACCCTGCAGGAGAGTGTGACGTGATCGATAGACGTACGATGTCATTTCATTATTCTGTTAGTACATAACCATCACAACGTTCATCCCCTAGGCTAGCTAATATCGTCATTAACTGGCAGTCGTGGTATGTGGTCAAGTTGATATCCCTTCGGCTTTCTGCCAACGATGCTATATTTATGCATTCCGTGCTACTGCTGAGAAGGGAAATAATGCACCAAGATCAATAAAAATTTCCCATGAACTATTTTGTGGTGCACCCGGGACCGCATCCCGAGCATTTCTTTTTACAGTAACACCTGCAACCAACAGGAGAAAACTATATCAGCGACGAATCTCGTTGGCAATATTGTAAAGAGGCATCAACCCCATGCTTATTTAATGAGTTGGAGCGGAAGGCCTCTCCTGGGGCCCGAGTTCAACTACTTCCGTGAAGAAGTGAGTAGTTTCCATTACCCCACTAGGCATGTACTTCGGGCATGTGCCAAGGGGGATGCTTTTCGATAGACTTTAGTTGGTTTTAGCATTTTTACCCTCTGTTACGAGTGTTCGGTGACATTCGGCCGAGTCTTAGACTCCACTGGAACCTCTAGGACTACCAGGGACTGTTGCATAGTCCGATGTTCCTAGCCTTCCCCATGACCCAACTACATATAACGCATCTCATGTACCGGTATAAATGCCGTCCGCACCTGTGATCACCTGTCTTTCAATCATAGTTTTGGACCATGGATTCCAAACTTGGAGGTGATGATCGACGCAGCTTGTTTTCAAATTCAGCTCTTCCTTTGCCTCGAGGAGTCTGCATGTACCAGAAGTTGCCTCCCACAACAACTTATTCGCTTTCTCATTGCTTCAGAAAATGGCCCATTGGAACAAGGATCAATGGGGAGTGCAACAGGCACAGGGGTATTCGCCATTCTATACTACCCTCGGCGCAGAGCCGACGCCTGGACACTCTCAACCATATGCGCAACCAGTCGTTCAGCCGCAGTACGATCCACAATCATCTGCAAACCAAAAAACACCCTTCGACGACGGTCGGTTTGAGCCGAAGAAGCAGGTCAACGACATTCTCTTCCTGGTCCTTTTCATTCTGCAGGTTAGTCTACCGTGACGTCATTTCTTGGTCCACTCCTTCTAACCGGTGGCAGTTTGCCGGATTTGTCGCGCTTTCAGGAATTGCCCTCTCAGGATACGTGTCGGATAACGGACTCGGGGGTGGTGTAGGCAATGGCTCTCAGGTTGGCTCGTCGGTGACCCTCAATCGGTGTGTTGACTGTAGGCATTTGTCGACATATTTAATTGATGTTGACTGCGTTAGGCATACTGCCTACCTTCTGTTGTTTGTCACTGCAGCAGCTCTTGTCTTATCTACAGCCTATTTGATACTCGCACGCATCTTTACACGGGCCTTGATGCACATCACTCTCGTTTTGTCTGTAACACTCAACATGTAAGCCCCCTCTAACGCCCTAATCGACTATCATGGTGATCGTCACTCTAGCGCCATTTGCGTTTATTACTGGATCACTGGCTACTATTGTGAGCGATACGAACTTATCGGCCACCTCTTTATTGACTACGAAGCCACAGCTGGTGCCATCATATTCACTATCATTGCCTTGATTTCGATCTTTGCCTATTTTGGCTTTAGGTCCCGCATTCCATTGGCGTCACTACTCCTGCAAGTAGTAATGGATATCTCCAAACATCACAAGAGCGTCTACGTCGTTGTCTTCATCGCCTTGATTTTGCAAGCTGCTCTAACCGTGTAAGTTATCGCTGTTGTCACGCTTGAAGAAGTATTTTTCATATGCTATTAATTGCAGGTGGTTTTCCTATACACTGATTGCGATGCAAGTGTTTCAATTTGCTGTGCAATCTTTAGTTTCTCTAACATATTTGTAGATATACGAAATGGACACCTGGCAATCCAAGTAAGTTTGCGTTACTAGTCAATTTTATCAAGTTCGAACGACCACACAGGTTGCGACAGCGGAACGTCTTGTTCTGGAAGTACTGTGGCAGGCCTAGTATTCTATGCAATATTTTCGTACCTCTGGACATCTCAAGTCATCGGTAACGTCGCCTTAGCCACTCTTGCTGGTGGACCGTACGGAAGTGAGCATAGCTAGACGACTCGATTGGTTTCATCATCTCATATACACATCACAGGTTGGTATTACTTCGGACCTCAAGAGCAGCAACTGATGGTAACTTTCTGTTCTATGTGCCCTTAGTTATGCTTATACATGATTTCAGCCAAAGCATCCAACCCTTAGCGCATTTGGACGTGCTTCAACGCTTTCTCTTGGGTCGATAGCATTTGGATCCTTGATTGTCACTATTTTGGAAATTGTTCGCCTTGTGCTAAATGCTGCGAGGAACAATGCAAATGCGCAAGGGAGCTGTGAGTATCAATCTGAATTTTTCCATTTTAATGCCATTTTGAAGTCTTTCATAAGTCGTTGAAGCATGTCTTGCTTGCTGCGCAGAGTTCTTCGTTGGGTGTATTGAAGGACTGGTAAGGTACTTCAATAGGTATGCCTACATCGAGATCGGTAAGTTATATGAGTTGGTCGGGTTGTACTTACCAGTCACTCGGTATTATTAGCGCTCTATGGAAAACCTTACATTAAAGCAGCAAAAGACACTTGGACCATGTTCATGGATCGTGGTACGCTCCGTTATCGTTTGTTTTCCCGTAAGCACTCTCAGGATTCTAATATTGTAGGAATTGATGCGCTTGTCAACGATTCATTGGTTGGCATGAGTGAGTCACCAGTGGGGGATACTGACGTCATCTGATGATGTTCGACAGCTTTGACGTGGGGAGCGTATGCCATTGGGCTTCTATGCTCACTCTTTGGATATCTCTACCTGCGCCGTGCGTGCTGAATTAATGTGTTTGAGAAATCGGTACCATTGTTACCACACAGTGACACATCCTGCATATAACGCCGATGGACAGTACACAGCGCCAGTTGTCTTGTTTGGATTCCTCATCGGACTGCAATGTTGTGCGTGCTTCTTTTTGGTCCCATCGAGATGATTATCAATATTTTGCAGCGATGACAATGTCCGCTGCCATAGAGGCTGGAGTGTCTACTATGTATGTACAAACCTCAGTATATGGAGATACCAGTTGCTAATTTTCTCGATTTCCAGCTTCGTGGGTCTCGGAGAAGATCCACAAGTATTAGCTGCACGCGCACCTGACCTATTTAGGGTGAGATTCTCAAAGTCGCAGTATATCTGTACCTGATCAGCTTTGCAGCTCATTGCTCTTACTTATCCTCGTGTCGTTCAAGGGGTACCGAGGGTTTGATGCTCTCGATGTGGCGATGTCCGGATATTTTGTGTGGCCGGATCCGGCTTAGGTCCCTGCGTCGAAACAAGTTTTTGAGATCCATTCAACATGAACGCATGTTACTGTATAAAGCCTCAAGTATGAACGTGAACCGAACTACAGATTGTCGAGTCATACGGCTATGACAGTCACCGGTCCGATATGAATGGAATAGTCACGGTCGGAACCATCATTTTCAAAGTTGACAGACGTGAACATTACCTCACAACGTAAAACCCTAACCAGGATCACCAGACTTGAAGTGTCTCCACGATGCTCAGACATTGTCAGTGCAGGCTGATTTGTCAATAATGACGATTGTCTTCTTTTGCGATCGTATGGTTCCCCAGGAAAGGCGGTTTACTTGCTCTACCTTTACAGCCATTGGATCAGACTCAAAAGATGATATTGTACTGATTCAATTGTCAATCACCCTCATTTGGTCGACAGGTACGATCAGATCCACAAAGCCCGTAAGCAGCCGTAAGCCAGGCCCTTTCTTCGACCTGTCCCCAGTTTCTTGAAACCGCTGATAGCTGGTTTCGGTTACTATGATATGACCAGTGCGTACGACGTGTCTTACGACGAACGAATCTAGTGGGTCGTGCTGCCAATGTACAGTTTTGCGCTCACCTGTCTTTGTTCTCATAGCGAGCACGAATGATATTTGCGTCTGAAGGCCTGTGCTATTCGCGCAAATTTACGCAAGTATCCATTCTTCCATGCAAGCTGTCAGCTCACCCGATAGGCTCCCTCACGAATGGCCTGCACCTGACCAGAACTTTTAAGTAATTCCAGCGTAAGTTCAAGAAGTTCTTACACTTGTGGAAGCGAGTGGAATGGAAGCACATCATCTTGAAGTGCTATTCGGTCAACTTGCGCAATTGTGCTCTATTCTGTGCTAGTTGTCAGATCATTTGATATCTCTTTAGCAATGGCAGCCGGTTAACGCGTTTGTACATCCGGGCAGAGTGCAGTATAAAAGCTCTCGGATTATCATCGTAGGGTGTGTCCCCATCTTCTTCGAAAGCCTTTTTCCTTCAAATCAATATCATGAGTTCCGTCGTTCCATGGGATGGAGTATACCGCATCCAGAATGTCGCCTATCCCGAGCAAAAGATAGGACTCAAGAATAAGGACGTCATCGTCGTCGGCCGTCACCAGGATTCGGTCAATCCACGCATCGAGGCAAGTTCTTCAACAAATATCTCATTGCACTACCGTTCAGTTCTCATGGCCTTTGCAGTGGGAAATCAAGGCCACCACTGTAGGCGAGAACAGCAAGATAATCATCAAGTCGGACTCTAGCTCCAGCTCCAACTACGTCGGTGCTGACGTCAGTTTTACTTGTCCTTTATTTTGAAACTGAATGCTAACTGTGTAAAAGTCTGAGAAAGTGGTTTATAATGCCACGCCCTATGAATGGAATGTATCGTACCGCGAAGTAGGCAGGTGGATGTGAGTATGCCATATATGATCACGCGTCTTCAGGGAGTAATGTGGATCTTCTCTTCAGTATTCAGGACCCTACTTCGGGCTTGTTGTTGCAGTTGCCTAAGAATGATGATGGAACAGAGGTACGACGCTTCAGTTTGTGCTATTGCATAATATTTTACATTGTGATTAGGTCCGACTCGTTAGGGATGGCGCAGGCGACGCGTCATACTGGAGGTTCATTCCTATCAGGCCCCCCTCGAATTGATTGAGTGCAGTGCACTGAGATAGCTAGTGTTGATGTGCTTTCTGTGTCGGTGGTTAACGTGTACGCTAGTGGAATTCAGGCGCTCTCAGATGAGCGGGCAATGAAAGGCAACGAGTAATATTCAGTGAGTGATTTGTTGAGACCAGTGCTAAGGGTCCAGCACGTTCGACTCGGCTCACGAACGTTTTAACCACCTCAACACACGGGCCGAACCGGGATATACCCAGCGCTCCACAACACCACCGGCAATAGCGACTGGTTTGGACAAACAAAGCCCAAGCTAGAGCGTCCAACAGAGCGTCGCAAGGCAGACCACACCCGCCCGACTCCTTTTAGAATAAAAGTCCGTTAGCTAGGGCAGGTGGAACGCTAGAATAGCAGAGGTGGCAGCCGTTGCAAACCCGCGAACTTCTTCATCAGAGGGCTACCGCTACCCCAACCGCGCTGACCTTTTCGTTCTGTTTAGGATAATACTACTGCGGCTGAACCTATATATCTAGTAGTGGGAGTACAGGTTCTGTCGCACGATTGCAACTGCGTCCGATGACCAGTTGCGTCCAGTAACCATGACCCACCGGTAGGGTAGTTTACGGTTGTGAGAGGGTTAGTGGGGAGTAGGAAGCTTCATCTCCAAGCAAACTCCAAGTATCGTCATGTCGAGACAACTCACCGATAGAGTGACTTCTGTTTCGGTCATTTCCGATCCAAGAATTCCGGAAGACGATACTGTATGACGTCAACTATGATAATAATAAGTTATCATTTGGCTATCATCGATGCCATCATATCTGTAGCCATGATAAGTTATTCATATCTTGTTCGTATCTGGACGCGGAGAAGCTGAGGTATACATAAATGTACTTGTGACGTAGTTAATCCTGGAGCAAAAAGACCATTTGTCCCAGGGAGGATTCGAACTTCCGGCTTCGCAGATTGGAGTAGCCACAATGCGATGATTTAACCACTAATCGACAAGGACATTGCCCAGTCGCCACTATCGATGTATCAGAAGCAACAAGACTTGTCGGGGCCGACGGTGTCGTATGTGTTCCTAGCTCGGGGCGCTCGGGACATAGTGATTCCGAATCAGACCGAAGTTGCAACGAATCTGCACTCAAGCGTGATGCGTTGAGGAAAGATTAATGTATGAGATTTTGCGAAATTCACTAAATATGTAGTGTAACGGTTTGAAAAGTCGTTATCTTTCCTGCTCGACAAGTACTGTTTATAGAATACCTTTTAATAACACTAGGTTGAAAAAACCCCGGCCTCCCCCACCGCCAGCTTGCCCTACCTACGTCATCAATACCCTGGATCACTCGCCCCTGCCGAGTTCCGGCCCGGGAGTGTGCTTGAATGGGTATTGCTACAAATTCTGCTACCTGCCTTGCCTGCTTTCAATTCTTGTCGATACTACTGATGCCAGACTGAAGCGATAATGAGGCCTTAGATAAACAAGATCTCCGGATGAACGCCCGAACAACGGGGATCATGATCATCTGGAATTGTGGCGACTCGGAGAAGACTCAGAAGAGTGGTATGGTGTATTTACATAATTGCACACTCTGGTATGTGTGTTGGTGGTCGATTCAACCATGCGGTGGTTGCGGAAACTACAAACTTTAGTGTACAAAGAAGTAAAAGAAGCGATACCGGTGCGTTGGCGGCGCGTCACAGATTTCCAATATGCTATGAATACCCCAAGTCCATCACATTTTGGGATCCGAGCCTCAAAGTTAGAAATGATGCTGTTAGGTGCACCAAATCGGCTTGGAAACAACGACAGAATGGTTGGTTGACGCGAGATATACGCGCTTCCTTCCACGGTTGTCTCTCTCACCGGAGCATCAGGGCATTGCATTGTCACGTACGATTGAGATATTTGCGCGAATGGTCGCAGATATCGCGCGGCACCAAACTCCCGGCCCTTCCGGTAATTGATTGTTACATAATACTAACAATAAAAGGCCTTGACAAGACATATCCAACCAACTGTGGAGCATCTCGAATATTACTTTACCCTCTTGCTATCTCCTTCAAAACTTCCCCTGCAATGAGGAAAACCTCATACGCAGCAACTTTTGTTGCTGTTCTTGCCATTCTTATCATCGTACGCCGTTCACCTCCCATTTCATGAATGACCACTCATCCAGGGGGTTTCTAGAATATTTTATCTTCGCGTCTCCCGGATTGGTTCGCCCAGAGAACTTTTAACCATCAAATACCCTGACATTGTATTTGAAGGCTTATTGCTAGATATGACGTCGCGAACACACACGTCACAGTTCGCTATGGCTTAATGCAACGTTGCGAGTCTTCTACCATCAGCATTCCCGGTCCCAACAAAGGACGTCTGGAATACGCCGACTACGAATGTCGCCAGTTTCCGCTCCGCGTACAGGACAAATGTGAAAAAGAAAACCGCCTGTTCTGTGCTCTGTGGACCTCCGCTCAATACTTCACCGAGCTTGGCAATGGGTTCGCAGGAATGGGTCTCGTTGCTTTGGTCATCGGCGTGAGCACGCACTCCAGGCGGAGAAGGGTTTGGAGAGCGGTGGCTGGGCTAGTCATATTACACGGTAAGTCTTTATGAAGCACATGGCTTCATCAGACGTCATCTTGATATGTTCCGCAGCTGTGTTCCAGCTGGTGACGTTTATCCTCGTCACCGAGCTGTATCGCAAGGACCGTTTCCCGGGATTCGAACACGCTAAGCCTGGTAGGTTTTACGGTGCCTTCTCTTCTTGTTGACTCTAATATACTCCTCAAAGGTGTTGGCTACGTCTTAAACGCCGTTTCTTGGGTTTCAGGTTTTGCTGTGGGGGCTGGCGTCATCATAACCGGCGTAGCTGCGGACCGCGGCCAGCAGTGGGCTGCCGGTAACAGATCATACACACCAATTCCGGGTTCTCGTCGCAGATTAAACAAACCCGTTCAAAATTATGGTTCAAATGTATAGTTCGTTTCTTACTCTCTACGAACACACGACGAATCGGACTCGGCTTCGGTTTTCCTTGTACCATATTTGGATACCTCTGCACTTTTAGTGTATACACGCATTTTGTAAATATGTTCATTGAACGAGTCGCTCTCTCACTTAATTATAAAGGTGTAATTGTTGTGTGAAAGTTGTATGCAAAATAAAATACCAAATATCGGTTGTCTAGATGTACCATCTGATATACATAGCCCTTCTTCACCCATCTTCTGGATAATCTACCTGGTCATATAGCCTCAGTGTCTCATTCCAGTCCCTCTTCCGCCTCCTTCTGACAGAGAAGTACTTAGCTCCACTGTCCCACGTGCTTCTCACACGACCCTTCTGTTTACCACCACGTTCGACGAAAAACTTCTCGGGATCATCCGGTAAACCCAAAGTCCCCACAGCAAGATTCATCAATCGCGAATGCAGATCCCGCCTTGTCACTCGTATCTCGTTCAGCGTCTTCTTCCCGACACACAGAAGCCTCGCTAGTGCCATAAAGGCGCGGAAAGCCGATATCGCGTCTTCTGTCCATCTCAGGGTCATCCACATCATTGCAGGGACGAGAAATGTTGTGAATGCGGCGGAGGGAAGCGTCAATAGAATACAAGCAGCCCAGACGGATAGACCCGAAAAAAGCCCATAGACTAGTTTATATTGCGCTATCTCGTCAAAGGTGTCCCAGACTGGCCCAGTTCTCTTGAAGTTCCGGACGGCGATGAATGTGGTAATGAATACTGGGGTCCAGAGCACCAGGCCTGGAAGAGATATGGTAAAGAGGCATATGAACCACGTCAGCCGAATAACCATCCGCATGGTAATCGTTCCGAAGGAGAGAGGACGCGCAATGCGATCGTCTTTAATACCCCAACGAACAAGCCGGTCTTGATAATACTTGATGATAATTTAGAAACAGGTGCATTCATTAAAAGCTATATTACCTTGAGGTCACGACGCAGTTGGTTGAGTTCAATGTCCTCCTTGGTGAAGTCGATAGACTGATCCTCAACAATACGTTTGCTCTTTTGAGTGTCGTCAGAAGCTTTGAACGCCTCGACAAATGTTCTGGTGATTCGCACATATTCTCCTAGGCTCATAAGAGTCCCAAGAGGTGCATACATGCGTGTCGCCATCTTTGCAGATCTCACAAATTCCCAAGATGGCGAGTCAATCGTCCGGGAACTAATTTGTTGTTGCATCCGTGCAGTCAGAGCCCGAATTTCGTCATACTGTACGGGTGCGAGAAGCTCTGGATTGTCCTGAACCACAGGACACTAAATGAAATGCTCTATATAGATATTATATATGCACGCACCTTGGGAGTAAATGTCATTGGGGGGTTGAATGTTACTAGAACATCTGATCTGAAATGTTGTCGATGCCTATAATTTTACACGGTCAGTAACTAGGCGGAAATATCAGAATAGTTTGATTACATGTAAGTGATTGAGCATGTCAAAATGGATACAGAAAAGTTTGGATCATCACGATTACGACTCAGGACATCCGAAACAATACGAGCCACTGGAAGATAGGTGAAGCAAACATTAGCAGATACTAATCAGTCGACAAACCTCCTGTCTTAAGGGGGGCAATGGTGGGGTGATAACGACTTGCCCCCTCCGGAAATAAACAAACTGCATCTCCCAGTTCGAGTGCCTGTTAGATTTGATTGGACTTTCAGATCCCCTATATGTATATTATAAGCGCATCTTACATCCATTAGCTTATCCATGGCTTGGCTGTTGTCAACCTCGCTGCCACTGTAGTCTTTACGCCGCTTAATAGGCACAGTGCCTGCGGATTCGATCAGCCAACTGGTGAATGTCCGATGGCCGAATTGGGTGGATTTTGCCGTGAGCCGCAGCATATTACGGGTCTATGCGGCGATGGGTCAATGATGACGTTAGATTCAAGGTCGTGGTTGCTTACTTTGGACGGCATAGAAGTTACCAGAAGACTGACGTATACAAACTACATGAGTTAACACGCTTGGCCAAGGCAGATGTATTCTCACAGTGCATCCGTCAGGGAATTGGGATGGTTGGCACAGACAATGCTGAGTCGCAAAACCATTTAGCTAATGGAGGATAACCTGACTGAAAACGGACCATGGTTGCCCGGTTTTCGGTATAATATCAGCATTCTCGACGACAATGGTTCCATAGAATATCTTCAGCACAAACTTGAAGAGCAACCTAACACCGCCGTTAAATTCTGTCGACCTTTGGTATGTCGCTGACCTCACCGAATTAAGATGTAAGACCAAGGCGTAGTAGAACCTTTCGCCATATTTATGCGAGTTTCGTCGTGAAGGTCGTGTACATGAACTGTTGCGTATGGGGAGGATTTAGGAAAGAAAAAGGTTTAGTATATGTTTGGTACATGTCACTACTTGTCACTTCAAAGTAGTCTTGTGTATTACGTAATCAATTTTTTGATCAATGCTGCATATCAGCAGGACGGCTATTCACAAGTGATCGTCATGGAGGAAGCATTGGCCAAAATACGGCCTCATACGACATCAAATCTTGCCCACCAGAAAGCACCAGCCAACCTACTTCAGGCTTTAGAATCTACGTTTCAGGAAAAGCATGCGGACAGGACACCTACGGCTTATTTTGCTGCATTGATCACAACTCTCGATGGAAGCATTCAAAAGAAGGAGACTTCACTTGGAGATGGAGACGTACTACCCGCAGAACTGTATCTTCTTGCTCTGGTGGCTCCCTTCGTCCCCCCGCCAGTTATCCAGACCAATCTCAATACACTTCTCTCTCTGACCGCACCACTTTTTCCTGCCTTGATGGCACATGCTCCTCCACTGAGATCACAGTTGACTCTGTACAATGCTGTGTTTAGAGCCCTTGACAAATCGCAACTGGACGTTTCTGCAGTCCGCCAATCATTTGCATCTATACTGCAATTGTGTCTGGATCCTCGACCAAAAGTGCGCAAGAAAGCAGCTGACATTGTAAAAGACGTTCTTTCCTTCCCACCGAGTCCTTTAATTCGGCATCCTTACGCTCAGCGGGTGGCTGAGTGGGCGCATATCGCGCTCCAGCAAGCAAGCACCGGTGCCCTACCGAAATCAAAATCATCAGGAAAAGGGTCTGATACCTCAGCTGCAGAAACAGCCATCCATCTCCTTGCATTCTTACGCCCAGTGCTTCCAAATCTTCCCCTCGAAGTATGTTAAATAATATTTGAATTACCATCTACTAACACAAATATTTGCAAGGCCATTCCGCCCATCACCACTACGCTCTTGACCCTTCCACGATTAGGAAACCCATACCTCTCCCAGGCCGCATACTCGATTCTTTCCGATCTTTTTACTGCATCTACTACGACCGGCACTGCCAGTGCAATCGAACAGATTCCAGCCGTTTTACATGCCGTCCTGGAATCCCCACCAGCAAAAGCCGATAATTCCATCTCTCCATCTTGGATTCGTGTTCTAGGAGATGCAATGTTTGCATATCATGTCGCGGACGCATCGGCCTGTGCCACTGAATTTCACAGAGTGTGGAAGACGGTGTGGTCGTACTTCGAGACGAAGAACCCGCAAACTCGTAAAGCTGTTGCGGAATCTCTGGATTTACTGACACGGTGTATCACGTCTTCTCTCGTGAAAGACTCCATTTCGGATGGTGAAGCTGGCAAATCGCCTTTGCGAAGCATCATCTCGCAAATAACAAAAGCTCTCGACTCCCTGTCCTTTGCATCTGCTATGCAGGAACTGCTCTCGGTTATTTCAGCTCTGATCTCGAATTTGGGCGTTCGTGTGGACCCTGCAAAGTCTACTACTGCTACGGAGGCTTTGCTCATGCCTCTAGTGTCGAAAATCGCCGATCTGCGGGTCCAAAAAGGCTTTGAGCATAAGGAAGCTGCTGACGCTGTGCTCTCGACGGCTATGCGAGTAGTGGGTCCCGCCGTACTTCTTGAAGCCATTCCTCTGAATCTAGAGCCCTCGGATCGGTGAGTCATTTTGGAACGGGGAAAAGGACTAGAGCTGATATATATATTCTAGTCAAGCAGGCAAAGAACCACGGGCATTCCTTTTACCTATGCTCAACCAACCCCACCCGTCTCTCCTTGGCCATTTTGTCTCATACTTCGTGCCCATGAGCGAGCGGATGTTCAATTTGCAGCAAAAGGCTGATAGCGAAGGAAGGCAATCAGAGGCGAAAGTGTGGAGTGTACTTGTCACTCAGATATGGTCTGGATTTGCGGGCTATTGCCATGCACCTTCTGATATTAAGACAGTACGTGTGGTACTCGTATGCAAGCTTTTATATTGATGGATATCATTTTAGGCCCTTACACCGGCATTCTCGCAACTCCTTTCTCAGCTACTTTACAGCCAGCCTGATCTTCGACCACCTGTACTAAGGGGTCTGAAGGCTTTGATAGAGTCCAACAAGGTTATCGCATCCCAGGTCGACACAGACATGGGAGAGTCCTCGGGATCTGACAACGTAATTACCCCTGAACAAGCTTCCGAGAACCTTACTGTCCTCAAGACCCAAGTAGAAAGTTGGTTTGCTGTCTTCTTCAACGTTTTCGGTAGCGTGGATAGGGATAACCGTGGCATGGTGGGCGACGTGATCAGTGTTTGGGCTGGACTCGCAGAGAAGCAAGACATTGCAAAAGCCTATCGCAAGGTCGTAGACCTTTTCCGTCAAAGCCTCCAACAATCAGACAACGGGAATACCACTGCAATGATGGAAGACCTTTTAATTCTCCTCCTTCCCTTCCTTGACACACAAGACGTCGCCGCTCTGTTCTCGACGTGCCTCGCGCAGGAAGTACTGTGCCACAAGGACAACGGCGTACAAAAGCGTGGTTACAAGATTCTAGCGAAGCTTCTGGAGCACGGTAAAGTAGAAGAGGATGCGCTCCAGACATTTCAACGTCTGGACGAGCTTTCTGTTGGGCTTTCACCTGCCTGCAAAGAAAGATCGATTCATCTTGCTCTCTCTGCTGATACTTCGGGTGCCTAGCGAGTCTTTGCATATCATTCCTTCGCTTATCCCAGAAGCTGTCTTGGGTACGAAGGAAGCCATCAGAGAAAGCCCGGTTAGCGGCTTTCGAGCTCATCGTTGCTATGGGTCAAAAGATGAGTAACGGTGGTATAGTGAAGAGGAGCATGGTGGATGGAATGGATGAGGACTGGTGCTGAAGGCAAGCCATGATTGCATTGTAAATCTCAGCTATTGACATACTCTTTGCAGCACAAGCAAGCATTAACGAGTACATGACTATGGTTGCAGGAGGCTTAGCAGGAGCTTCACCGCACATGATCAGTGCCACCGTAACCGCCGTCTCCCGTCTCGTCTTTGAGTTCAGAGGTATGTAAATAGACGCCGCGACCGCAACTTATCTAATGAGTTCGGGTAGAATCCATCGATACCCAGATGCAGACGGAGGTCTTCACAACTCTTCTTGTTTTCCTCTCCTCTGCCAACCGTGAAATCATCAAATCTACGCTCGGGTACATAAAACTTGCGATTCATACTTTACCTATTGAATTGCTCCGACCAGCATCTAAAAGACCTTGTCCCTGCACTCCTCGCCTGGTCTCACGATCACAAGAACCATTTCAAGGCAAAGGTCCGCCATATCTTCGAGCGGATGATCAGGAGGTTTGGGTGGAATGACGTGTATCAAGCGGCAGGTGAGGATCAGGCCGCGAAGGTGTTGGTGAACTATCAAGAAAAGGAAGGAAAGAGCTAAAAGGAAGAAAGCTCGAGAGGACGATGACGAAGAAGAGGGGAGGTTGGTTTTTTATTGAACGTCTATCATTCACTATCGCTGATGACCTTATCCAGACGACTAAAGGAAAGGTTTCCACAGGTGATGCCTTTGAGGACGTTTTGTATGGCAGTGAAAGCGAGTTGGACGACAGCGACGAAGATGAGCAGGCGTCTCGACCTATGGCAGGACCGAAACGGAAGGGAGTTGAACAGGGGGTGCGTCTGCGGGTGGATGATGACGAACCGATGGACCTCTTGCAGGGTGTTGCATCACGATTGACCAGTGGGTGTTCTTCATGCGCCTGCAAGTACATCATTTACCTCTTTACAGATGCCCAAGCCAACCGACGCCGCAAGCCGGGTCAGGATGCAGGTCACTTCAAAACTGATACTGACACTGGAAAGATTGTTATCAATGAGGATGAGGAGTCTGACATCGAAGTCAGCTCTCGGAAGGCTGCCAAAGACGTTGCTGGCAGTGCATATCGGGAGAGTATGACCTCAGTGGATGGCTTTACCCGCGGACCCAATGGGCGCATCAAGTTCAACAAAGATACTAAAAAGAGACGCCGCGAGAATGAGGACGAAGACGGAGATGTTGAGATGGCTGATGGTGCTGCCACTACTCCGAAGAAGCACAAGCGACCCGCCGAGCCAAAATTCGGCCACGAGTTCAAGGCAAAGGTCGGTTGTCTGCTGTGCTCATGCTCACAGGCTCTGATGTTCTATTACAGAAAGCTGGTGGTGACGTCAAGAAAGGCGGTGTGGATCCATATGCTTATGTGTCGTTGTCTCAAGCCGCCAAGAAAAAAGGCCGAAACCGTACTGGCATTGCTGGAAAACATCGATGAAGTTCAGCGCAGACTATCAAAAAGCGCGTGTAGATTTGTTTTTGGATCATTACTTGATAGTTTTATGAAAATCCGCACCAGGCTGTAGAATACACTTATCAACCATACAATGTTTGATCGTGAGGGGTACCGAAAAGACCATGACCCCAACTGCTAGGCTGCTTCCAGTTAGGAACGTCTACTTGCAACACCTTGGATACTACAGCTGCCATGAGCTGGGCATCCGCTCTGTTGTCCCCCTCCATGACATATTGCAACAGACATGCAGTCGGGATTTGCCATGTGTCGGAAAGTGAGGAGAGTATTCGACGAGATAACCCTCCGCCTGGTATGAAAGGTATGATTGTCCTTTCTGTATCAGTATGCAAGAACTGGGAGACGGGTGAAGTGTAGACGGGTATTGGCAGGGTTGTGAGGGCGGCCAGTGGACCAGAACTCAGATCAGGTGTTCCAGGTGGAACGATCTGACAAGTAGGTGTACTGGAGGCATCGGAAGAACATCAATTTGACAGCTCAGATATCGAATCATTTCAACTCAACAGCATCTGAGGATCAGTCCTGTTGGACATGTCTACTCCGCCAATGACCAGAATAGCCGAGGCTCCCGACGTACGGATGAATTCCAACAGGGAGTCAACAAATTCCTGCTTCGAGGACTGGTAGGACGCAGGATCAGCACAGCAAATATCAAGTCTGGGTGATGACTTTATTACCTTTAATGCGGGAGAACGTTGTTGTATGACTGCGATATTAACATTGTCACGGCCAAAAACTAGCCTAACCGTTAGTCCGGTCTCTGATAAAACAAGTACTGAAACATACGCTCGAGTGGTGTTGTGACGCCAGGAAGATCATCTTCGCGAGCTCCGACGACAGGGACTAAGCTCCTAGGGTCGAATATGCCTACGCGATGCAAGGAAAGTGAAGCGATCAGGAGATCAGCCGCGAGCTGTGCAACGTTCGCGACAGAGACAACTGGCTGCCTTGGGGAGTTTGTCTTCAGTGAACTGTCTTGAATCGAATGTCGGCATACGCACAACGACGATGACTTTGCCCTTTGTACTGAAATGATCAGTCGGGTGATAGAATGTCATGGCCGGCGAGTTTGTACAATAAGAAAGTTATTAGTGAAAGCTGAGAGTATACTGCTACACGACGCGCGTCGATTTGGGCTTATGTGTGGTGGTCGGACCTACATATGACTGGGAAGCGAAAAAGAAAGCACAAAAAACTCTCTGGCGGGGAGTCGAACCCCGCTCTCCCGCGGTCGTGTTTCTTGCATGACAGGCGGGTGTACTATCCGATATACTACCAGAGACATGTTGTGGCTCTTGCCTTTTACTATACGAGCAGGAATCGTTCTAAACCAATAATACTCAGCAGATCACAAAGATCTACCATCACATTGTCAACAAATAACCCCCTCCTGCATGCCATCATGGGATAAAACATCACGTCTGGAATCTCGATACGAATATTTCACTCGGGCCACATCCAATTTTGTGAAATACGCGGCTTACCATCTGGACATGAACCCGAAGACGTTGTGGGTTGCTGAAGTTTCGTTGCTGAGTCGGTGCTAAGCCGAGAGTGATGCGAGACAAGCAGGAATGTCTTCGTGCTTCAATCGCTGGAGTGTGATGATTTCTCTGCTGGTGTTGTATGCTGCTCCACGGCCGGACCATTCATGCACTCCCACTGGCCTGTTGGCACTACTGCAAGTCACAACCTGATCCATTATGGGCCAGTGTTCTGCCGGTCAGTGAACCAAGGTCACGGTCATTGACCGGATTGCGTGGGAAAGCTGGCGAACTTCGTCGACGTTCATCTGAACACGACTTCCAGGAGTTTCCTGGTCCTACTGTAACGAATCATACTATGTCTGGTCAATGCTAGAATCTTTGATTATCCTCGTGCCACTTCACATATCATTACTCACATAAACGCATGGTTTTCGTGTGTTCGGTTCAAGGGCACGCTTCAAGGCTTATAACTCGAAGATGGACTCCCGACTTTCGACATGCCAACTCGATGGTGAAGATCGGCAAGAGATCAAACCGAGGATGGTGGTGGGATCACTTCGTGGAGCACCCAGGTTATGCGCGCAGAGAAGGAGGTATGCTTCATCAAACTGATTCTTTCAAGTTCAGAAGACATTGCTAACAGTCCCCAGGGTGTTTCAGTCGATCCAATTGATATATGGACAGGACTGTCACATCCCGGTTCAGCACGTCGGCCACTTCATACTATTGCCCAACGTCTTCTCTCGATTTGCCCGAATTCCGCCTCTTGTAAACGCCTGTTTAGCATGTTTGGCGCAATCCTCACAAAATGGCGCAATCGGCTCTCAACTGAGACACTCACCCTTCTGGCAGAACTCAAGATGTATGTTCACGAAGAGCATGTACGCAATGACGTAGTCAAGAAGCGGCTTCAACGCCGGTACTGTGACACCGAGGCCACTGACAAAGCAGAGCCTACTCAAGTAGTTCATGCAGTTGGTGACGATCTATCAGGAGAAAGCAGCGAACGGGAGCCACGCAGCCTCGCTTTCGAGAGGCGAGGGATAAGTGATGTTGCAGCAGACCTTATCCGAGCTGTTCAGGAGGAGGAGATTTCCGCCACAGAATCAATGCACTCAGTCCCCGTTGGTGCTGCCAGTGCCAGTGGTTCATTCTCCCGCATTGCTATCAATGACTTACTCGACTATTCTTGTGCGGAGGAATGGTTGGGATCTTTTTATAAAGTCGCTATTCGAGGTTTAGATGCTGAGCTTGAGTTGTGCGAGCTTCTTGACTTAGATGCAGAGGGAATTGATGATCCAGACTTTCCTCAAGTTGATGATGTTCTTGACGAGTAGATTCAGAAAATGAGCAGTGCTACCAGATGTTATAGTAGTAGTAGTAGTCGAGTACTATCCATTCTGCGATCGTTGACGCACCGTGTACTGCGGCACTTTGAACATTCACTCCTGCTTCGTCGTCCAATCAGACATGATTATCTAATATCCAAGCAGGACATCTGGCACTGCACGAGTTGAGTTCACTTGCATTCATGGGAAAGTTCGCAGCTGAACGTACGTTAACTTTGATAAACGTACACTGACCGGCAGAACACTGTTATGGGCTCATCTCGTGCCTTTTCTTTGTTGTGCATCTCCTTGACAGGCGCAACAAACACGGAAGCAACTCATGGTCAAGTCCAAGCTTAGGCGTCATCACATTCTCAGCCTGCTGCCACCTCGACTTCCACGACACCGACGCCTACTGCACTTGATACAAGTAGCAGGTGCAGCAAATGCGCGGGCACGATATATTGCATTGGGGGCTCGTTTCGTGCCTTTCTTTGCTGTGCATCTCCCCGACACGATGGTGGTTGTTGATATTAATACGTTGGTGTACAACTATTAATGTCTAGTTCTCTGAACAGAATTCCGATAGGAGTGTCATATGATTTCACACAAACTAAAAAAAGAGTAAGGTGAGGTGGGTGCTGTGATGAGGGCAAATGCCATTTAAAGCATTACGATATCAACTTGTTAACGAGGAGCAAACGAGGAGCGTGATCGATGTTGAAAATACGCAGTGACTAGTGGAGCGGGGCGCTCTGATCGGGAGTGGCAGGTATCCCTGCGCAGGAGCAGGAGTCCTGGCTCGCAGCCTGTCGTAGTCGGTCCTAAGGCCTCTGCAGCCTCCCGCCATAGAGGTTTGGCCTTGGGTTTCTCTTGCAGTCCGTGCCCGGTCCACTAGTAGTCAAAAGGGTAATATGACCCTATCGAAGGTTTCTAGTTCGAGGGAGTATAGAGTTTGAGAGCGGGCAGAGAACGTGCATTGGAGATAGGAATTTTCCCTCAGAAAGTGGAGATAAAGGCTATCATAGGCAACGTGTTACTACGGGGATGCGCAATGCATTAATGGGCCCATACACTTTGATCTAGAAGTGAGGCAACGATTAATCCTAATCTTCCTTAAGCAGACCTTGAACTTAATACTTGTAAGTCATTGCATCCAACGATGGGTGTGTTGAATAAGGAAGTTCTTCAGAAATAGCTCCTGGCAATAATGAAATCTCCTCGAGGCTGCCAACGAGGCCAACTAGCTCAGTGACTGGACTGAGACGTTACCGTTAAGGCAGAGTGGTGGCCTATCCCAAGTAACATGCTGTGGAAACGCGTAATGCATTACTAAACGTGCAGCATGCTCGAATAACAAACGTCGACTTAATCTAGAATTGTGTGATCAGTTGGTAGACAATTGAACTTTGTAGGTCCAGGACTCCAGGCAATTACCAATGACTCATCCCTTCTATGTTGAACTTCCAAGTTCTTTGGAAATAGCTCCCGGCATTCTCCATAACCCTGACACTCGTCTCCTCGAGGCTACTTGAAACGAGGCCAGTGACTTGACTGAGATGCCGCTGAGCCAAGGTAGAACAGTGGAGATTCCTGTGGTGAGTCACGTCGCTGACAGTGCGAGGGCCGCTGATCAAATGGGGTGGTTGAAAATTATATCTCCGCCGATTCGCTGAATCTTGGGGTTGTCTCGTAATGTCGACCGACCGACTCCTGTCACTCACCTAACTGCGTCTATCAAAAAGCGAGTGTCATTGTTCAAACAACTAGCGTGCGTATCACAACAATATCAATTTTATTACATGCAAATAATCGTATTGAATCTCAGGTTAGAAAAACCAGGTCAGGTTGCATCAGAAACAGATCTCACACGACATTGCCTTCAAAGGATGCGTATCAGCTGGCAATCGGCCAATTGAACACATCCTGTGAAGCCTCGTGCCGGAAGAGCTCTATTAGTACTCCTGAATTAGTTCGTTGCATCGGCTGCGTCTGTAGGTCCCCCAGGCACCTCATAGATAATCCTTTCACTTAAAAGGCGCCACAGCTAGAAACTGTCGTACTACTACTACTACTAGTAACCCAACATGTCTCAACGCCAAAGTTGTAGATTTTTTAACTCGCCAGGCGGCTGCCGCCGTGGCAAATCTTGTACTTTTGAACACATTCAACCAAATGCACAGCATCGTGGAGGAGACGGAAGACCGTCATCACCGGGCGCGTCTTCTAGTGGATCTCCTTCACGACGCAATGCTCAAGGCCCTCAGCGCCAAACGTCACCGTCAACCCCACCTCCTCGAGGAGTGTGTCGAATCTTCTGGGAGACAGGTCGATGTTATCGAGAGTTCGGCTGCCGTGGTGCACATACCCTCCCGCAGGGTCAGGATGGCAGGCGAACTCCGCAGCCTTTCGCAATCCCCACACAGGCTGCGCAAGCGTTCATTGCCCCATTCCTTACAGAGAAAGGTCTATCAAAACTCGTAGGAGGTGGTACCGACGGTTATTTCCCTCAGGATGCTACAACGTCTCTGACTCCGTCGGAGACTCAAAGCCGCTTGAGGAGATTCTTCAGAGAAGACTTTCGATTCAAGACTGCACCTGAGATTTACGGCTTTCTCATCCCACTGTCGAGTGCCAATATTCAAAATGACTCATGGGTGGGTTTTTAGACATGTCGTGCAACTCGTCTTAATTAAATGTTGGATCCAGACTCAAGAAGAAGGACAGGTATGCTGCTGCTACCCGATCCAATCTCTATGTTGACGATGCTTATTCCAGTTACTACTCGAAGCCTTGACTTCGGTGCGTTCATTGAGAGTCTTGTGATGCATACTCAACCGAAATTCGCAGAACGCTGGTCGACTTCGGGTCGCCGAGATAGTGACTTGGCCCAATGTTTCTCCCAAAACAGCGATGAGTCGCGAAATTCTTTCATTCCAAAGAGGGCTTATACCCCTGCTGAGAGTATGTCGACATGTTAAACGCCCGTGCTAATATTGACGTTGTTGCAGTATATGTCTTCTGACTTCGTTGTTCAGAGCACTTTGAGGACTCAAGCAAAGTATGTATCTTCGATTCGTCGTGACGCATCGCACTGAGCTGCCGTTAGTCAACTGTACATGACGGTTTTACAGAACCTTCCAAGTTTTGCAGATGCTGTCGAGAAGTCTATGGACAGCATCATTGCTTCCCGTTCCTTTAGCGACCCGGGTGCTTCTGGAAAAGACCCTGTTGACGCACAGGCGTTCGCAGCCATTGCTGGTGTTCTGCACGAGTAAGGAACTGTCATTACCTTCATTATCATTACTGCAATCCGCATTAGGTTTCTGATTCGCTTCAAGAACGCTGTTGCGACATATCCTCGGCTGGCACCCTTGGTCATGAACTTGCAGAAATGGTTTGTAGAGTGGAAGACTGGTGTTCACGCCAATCCGCCTTTGTTCAATAATTTTCTTGGAAGCCTGCAGCCTACTGTACGAGACCTGCTCGTTCAAACTCTCAACGAGAAGATCCACAAGCTGGTTTCCATTGTTGAACGGGAACAAGGAAAAGAAATACGTCCTGATCGTCAAAAAAAGTCCGCCCCCTCCAATGAGGGCATCCTTGCTGCCCTTCATAGTACATATCAAGGCCCGGGTGCCTTACGTGAAGGTGGATCTCGTCACGATAATGATTTCGAGAATATCAATGACATTCGCGTTGCTCCCACTCATGAGGAACTCATGTGCCGTATCCCCCCGTTCTTGCCTGTGAACTTCTTTGGTGCTCCTCATCCAGCACCTATGGAGAGCATGCAACGCTTGCTCGACATCCAGTTCAGGCTTTTGCGAGAAGAGTTGACGTATGTTGTTGTCTGTTTACTCTTAGTCGGGCGCTGACTGAACTTTGTGCAGTGCCCCTTTACGCCAAGCTGTTCAGCTCGTCCATGATGACCTCAAAATACAGTCACGCAAGAAGACGAAACTGGCAGAGCTTCTAAAGAACAAAGGAGGAAAGTACCATGGCCAGGCGGACACACAAGACAGTCTTATGTTTAACGTTTACACTGGCGTTGATTTCGTGTCGCTCGTACCTGACTGGAAAGGTATATCTGCAAGTATCGTTGTTGACGCGCCCCCGGGCCGTGCGCGCTCCAATAACTCCCATATGCGAACTTCATTCTGGGAGAGTGGCAAGCGCCTTTCCCAGGGCGGCTTGATCGCCCTTGTGTGGCAATCTGGCAATGATATCTCTGTACACCTTGGGGTGATCGCCAGCTCCCTCAAAGATGTTACTGAGTGTGTGAAGCGCGATCCAGATCGCGTGAAGCTTCGCATCGTCTTCTTCGACACGAAGTTGGAGTTGCGTATTCTGCAAGAGCTCAGGAACACTCAGACGTTTGGACAAAACATCAAGTTGTTGGTCGAATCCTCCGTTATGTATGAAGCCATCCGACCATTCCTCGAAGCTCTGAAAGGCGAACCCGAGGAAGTCCCATTCCCGCGCTATCTAGTTCACCGACCACCGGGATTCCTAAATACTTGCAAAGTGGACCCTCCACGTTACTCAACGATGCCTGGCTTCGCGTTCAATCTTTCATGTCTCTTCCCCGACAAGACAGACGTAGAGGACTTGACGCTCTCAGCGACAGATAATCAATCTATCGAAAATGCGCGTGCTGAGCTACGACAGGGTAGCCGCCTTGACCCGAGCCAGGCGGATGCAGTTGTTGATGCACTGACGAGAGAGGTGTCTTTAATTCAGGGGTGAGTGTGTCGCACCCAATGAGTATGAATGATGGCCTGACGGTATGTTTAGTCCTCCAGGGACAGGAAAGGTAACACCTTTCACCCAACCTATCGGATTGTTCTGATTCGCACATCCTAGAGTTATACCGGTGTTGAATTGCTCCGTGTGCTACGAGCCAATGACATCGGCCCCATCTTGATGATTGCATTCACGAATCACGCACTGGATCACATGCTTGGCTCTGTGCTGGATGCAGACATCACCAAGAAGGTTGTTCGTTTGGGTTCTCGCTCGGCGGATGAAAGAATTTCGCAATATTCGATCGAGACACTGGAAAAGGTGAACAACGAATCTCGCCTCAACAGAACATTTTCCAGCAAGCGCAGGGAGCTTAAGGAGATCCAAGAAAGTATCAGGAACTTGATGTCCAAGGTCCTGATGGATGACCTGGAATCGAACTCCACCGAAATTATGAAGTATATCTCAGTCTTGCATCCGGAGCACTCCGGATACCTAAATGCTCCGCCAATGTGGATTCAGAACATCAAGTCCCTTTCCAGCGACGACAACGACGACGGTGCGGGTGAATGGCAGCAACAGGGCCGACGAGGCAAGACTTTTGTCAAGGACATGTCATTCTATGCATTTTGGAGGGACGGATCTGACTTGGAATTCATCGAAGCTTTGAATAACGGCTCATACGCACCTTGGAAAACCACGCCTCCGCCTGAAGAAACGACAAGTAATAGGTTTAATCTTTTAGAACAGGATTCTTTGCCCGAATCGGATGATGAATACGTGACGAGCGAGGAGCAAGATGACGAGTCGCCCCCTGAAGACGTGCCGGTTGAGGACGCTTGGATGAACGTTAAGGTCAAGCCGCCACCTCCCGAACCTGCTAGTTCGAAAGAAGTCCCTGTTGCTCCCACCAAAGCTCCCGATGCCTCCACTCTCGAGCCTGAACCTCGTGAGGATGCCGGTCTGGAACAGGCGGACTTTAAGGACCCTGAAGGATTTCTCGAAGCCCTCGGATGCTCGCAATGGCCTGTCGTTCCTACTTCCAGTCGCCCCTTGAATGAACTTCTCAATGATGTCGGCGACGTTTGGACGATGAGCAGGGCAGAACGGCAGAACTTACATCATTTCTGGGTTGAAAATACGCGCATAGAGTTGGCTGAGACACAGACAGGCGAGTTTGCGCGCCTTCGCGGGCTTCACGAGGGTATACTGCGAGAATGTAACGAAGGCCAAGAAGAGGTGCGTGGCTGTTTCACTTTAGCCATCAGCTGATTCGAATAGTTGTTTAGGTGCGTCGAAATTTACTGCGCAACATCGATATCATTGGTTGCACCACGACTGGTATGTGTGTTTTCTACATTCAGCCAAGCATATCCACTTACAACGTGATATTTACTAGGCGCAGCAAAGTTGGCCACGCTCTTAAAGGTCAGCGAATGAGATTGGCGTTGCATCGGTCTAATCTGAGTTCTCACAGTGTCTGGGTCCTCGAGTTTTGCTCGTTGAAGAAGCTGGTCAGGTTCTGGAGGCTCACGTGCTCGGAAGTTTGGTGCCCTCGATTCAACACCTAATTATGATTGGTGACCCCTTACAACTGCGGCCGACACTCAACAATTTCTGTGAGTACTTCATGATGAACATAATATATGTTCTCTGACGTCTAACTAGCGATGTCCATGGATAGCCAGCGAGGGCGAGATCTCTACAAGTTTGACATGTCTTTGATGGAACGTCTTTCGAGCTCCGGACTTGCGATGTCTCAGATTGATGTACAACGCCGAATGCGGCCTGAAATTTCGAGTTTGATTAGGTCCGTCTCTTCTTACATATCAGGCGCATGCTGATTCTCTATCAGGAACACGCTTTACCCCAAGCTTGATGACCACGAGCTCGTCCGCCACTATCCCTCTGTCCGAGGCATTACGAAGAATCTGTTCTTCGTCAGTCACAACCACAGGGAAAATGAGGGTGCAGAAGACTCCGCCAGCAAGTACAATTTGTACGAGGCAAGGGTCTTTATCACCCTGATGACTTAGCTGTTCGCTGATCCATAACAGGTGAAAATGATTCGCGAACTAGTATTGTATCTATTGAGGTCTGAGCACACAAAACTCTTCGTAGTTTGATTACTAACCTGTTTATTCAGGCAAGGCTGCTACTCTGAGGAAGGTGACATCGTGGTTCTTTGTGCCTACCTTGGTCAGCTTGCCAAGCTACGAGATGCTCTTGCTAATGAGGTGGCGATTGTGATTGATGAACGCGACCAAGCTGCTCTTGCTGACCACGAGGGAGACGATGAAAATGATTTGGGTGGTGGGACCACGATTGAACATGTAAAAGTCACGCAAAGGGTATGCATTGTTGTTGCGGGGGAGTCTCTTTGTGTGCTGAATCAGTTTCCAGGTTCGATTGCGCACCGTTGACAACTATCAAGGCGAAGAGGGTAGAGTAAGTATCTACATCAGTCTTACTCCATCTCCTGAATGTTTCCTCCTAGATCGTGATCTTGTCATTGGTTCGAAATTCTGGAGAACTGGACGATGAAATTGGGTACACGAACGGAATCAGACCTAGCATTGGTTTCCTAAAGGTGAGTAAACGGGGATATAACTTCGAGGTGCGCGCTAAAATCCGATTTCATGGACAGTCTGAGAACCGCACGAATGGTAAGCTGATTAGTGATACAATGGTGTGGCACGTTGATCGCCGTGCTCTTAGTGGCTTTGTCTCGTGCACGCGAAGGTCTTTTCATTTTTGGAAATGCTGCAAACCTGTCCTCCAAGAGTAAAATGTGGCGGCATATCATTGAGGAACTGGAAACGAACGAAGCCCTTGGTCCAGCACTTCCTATCGCTTGTCATATGCACCCGGAGACGCTCGAGTACGTCTGCGAACCAGGTCAACTACCCCAATTAGCCCCTGATGGTGTGTATGATCGTTCCTCCAACTCGAGCAATGCATTGAATCACATTTTCAGGAGGATGCATGCGACCCTGCGACTTCCGTTTGAACTGCGGTCATATGTGTCCATTCAAGGTAACGTTCTCTTGTTCAGTGTAGCATATGATATTAACATTTCTTTTAGTGTCACAGCGATGATCAGAAACATGCTTCCGTAACGTGCATGCAATCATGTACGAGGCTCTGCACAAGAGGCCATCCATGCACCAAGCAATGCTCTTCCACATGTGGCGATTGTTTCTTCCCGGAAGCCAATGTCGAACTTCCGTGCGGACACTTGAAGGCTTCTGTTCCATGGTGTGTCTTGACCGTCTCCAGCCGAAAACTTAACATTAATGCTGTATTTATAGCCACGAGATCAACGCATTGGAAAACGTCTACTGTAATTCCATGGTTGACAAGGAACTGCCTCGTTGCGAGCATACTGCTCGTATGGCATGTTCGACTGATCCAGCCACTTATCTCTGCAAGGCTCCATGTAACGGGATTATGAGTTGCTGTGGAAGATCATGCAACGCAAAGTGCTACGAATGTCAGCAGAAGAATACACCTACCGAAGGAGAACATACACGGAGGACACAGCATACTGCTCACCCTTGCGAGAAACCACTTTTCTGTGAACATCTGTGTCAGGATGCTTGTTCTGACGACCACAAGCACACCGTCGCTTGTAGGAAACCATGTAGACAAGCCTGCTCCCATGCCCGGTGTCAATTGTTGTGTTCGATGCCTTGTGCGCCGTGTCAAGAGTCATGCACGTGGTAATTGACACCTTTCTAATTGGTTTTCATATTTTCGCTGATTGACATCCTTAGGAGCTGCCCACACCAGTCCTGTCCTGTACCATGCGGCTCTGTCAGTGTGCTAGCTTCAGCCGTTTCGTGCTTTCCTGATACTCCATTTTTAGGTCTGCGCAAGGTTGCCCTGTGACGTACCTTGCAATACAATCTTGCATTGTGGACACAAGTGTCCTTCTGGTGAGTGACAAATCGCTTCCTCGAAACCTCGTGCTCACCTCGTGGAAAGTTTGCGGGGAAGACTGCGACATTCAAATTTGCCCGCAGTGTGCTTCCGATGACAAGAAACGCCATGTCGTTGATTTCATCTTGCAGCGCACACTATCCGAAGTTACACCGGAGTTGAACACTCTCGACGAGATGTTGATTACCATTCCCTCATGCAAACACACGTTCACCGTAGAAACTCTGGATGGTCACTGCAGTATGAATGATTTCTACGTCCAGAACGAGTCCGGACGGTGGCTTCGCATGCTTTCCCCCATCGGATTCAGAAAACCTCCTACATGTCCAACATGTCGTTCACCCATTACAGCTCCCAGATATGGTCGCATCTTCAAGCGAGCTGATCTGGATATCTTGGAGCACAATGTTGCCGCCCGTATGTCTCGAGCGCTTCACCAGGTCCAAACTGCCATTCTCCGTATTCCTGAAGATGAGATGAAGGCCGCGGTCATCCGTGATGCAGCTACCATCAAAATTCGCCCCTCAAAGCTCAAGGGGTCCAACTCGCAGGCAAAGCCTCGTTCTGAGGAGTTGATGTCAAAGAAGGAGGTCCCTACCTCAGAACGTGCCCTCAACTCTACCAACACGTCTTTGCATGCTATTGATTCAGCGGTTGGCCGAGTTTGGGGTAAGATCACCCACAGGCTATTCAGTGCCTACAAGGAGGCAATTATAGTTGCCGAGACACGCTCTGCCCACCTACATGCTTGGGAGTCTGCATTTTCATCCCTGTACCACCGCGAATTAGCCACTCTTGTCGACAATCCAGCTCATACGCCTGTTCGGCCGCAGGAAAATGCGATGAGGCTTGCGAGACTGCAAGTTGGCCAGCCGCGTCCGCGAGCTGATAGGCGGTTCATCGTAGAAGCCTTTTGGTGTACGTTGCATATTCGCCTGACTCTGATTGCTCTGGGTCGCACGTGGCTAGAGGAGGTGGGCAAGCGCGAAGCCGACTATCCGCTGTACCATTTCCAGCTATGGGCAAGCTACGTCAAGTTCATGCTGCAGAGTTGTTCTCTCGATGTGATCAAGGCTCTTGAGCTCGCAAAGAGCTCTGAATCACACCGACAGGTCACCAAGACTTCTCTTCTCTACATGCGTGTCAAGCTAGAGAACTTCCGATTTAGCCTATACATGTCCAACAAACTTGGGAACATCAAAGATCAACGACCAGAGATGGTAAAGGCTGCGGAACAGTACGGCTATGAGGCGCAGGAATTCATGAGGGATGTAATCATAGATCATTTCGCAAACAAGGTCACGCCATCGCGAGAGGAAGAGGCTTTATGGCTTGCAGAGAACTTTTCTGGTGCTGCGCAGACGATTGTGGATGAGTGGGAGGCCATTAAGAGGGCCGTCGGTAGATCCACGTTTTATCAGGAAGTCTCGTTAAACGAGCAGATGGAAATAGTGCAAGCCTTCAACTTCGGTAAGGTTGTTGTTCTTGAAACTGCAGATCCTTTTTCACGGTGTTACAGGCAGCACTGGGCACTTCTACAACTGTGCAAATGGTCACACATTTGTGATTACCGAGGTGACCCCATTTGAGTATTTGGTTTATTGCAATACTAATTCATGTCCTGCAGTGCGGAGGAGCCATGCAACGTAGTGTTTGTCCAGAGTGCGGCTCTCCCATAGGAGGACAGAGCCACAGTCTCGATAGTACAAACACCAGAGCAACTCAGTATGACGACCTTGCTCAGCGAGTGAACCCCCGTATAGCACCAACCCCTTGGGCCAATCCTTATTAGAGAGCGCTTATGACTTTGACCGTCGCAGAATGCATATGTACAAACAGATATTCGACTGGCTTTTTATATAAACAGTTCGGCGTTGTAACACTTACTCCAAGAAATCTACGATCTGGCCAGATGATATATGGTTTGGAAGTATCCTATGGTATAAGTTTGAATCATGTCCATTTGTTCAGACGTGCCGAGGGGCTCGTCGGTAGAGTGAATGACGTCGGTGTTGAAACAGGAGAACCACCGAATCAGACGGAAATGTTTCAAGATTGTCATCCCTCATGAGGGCAGTCTCATCTGTACTCCGGAAAATTTCGACGAGAATATCTATTGTCGGACATGCGGTGCATAATAAAAAGTAGTCTATAGAAGTGGAACAGCTACAAGAGTGGAACGTTACACGAAAGGAACTGACGGGTTACTCAGCTTCAACAACATCATATCATAATGTCAGAACTGTCAAGTGGTATGAAGGAAGTCTTGTATCAAGTGGAATCCCGTCGAATGAAGGACAGAAAATCATCCTTAAAAGTTTCCCAGGAACTGGCAATCTCAGTGTCGAACCTTCATAGACGAATCAAAGTCAAACTTCATAAAGCATAAGCGACAATAGTGTCAACGCACCACGGCCAGCTCTCCTTGTCCAGCAAATTATTTTGCAGTAGTATGCGACTCAAAAAGCCCTGTTCGATTGCAAACAACCAAAGCTTGAAGTTCAGCTTGTAGTTGGTAGTCGTGTAGTTGTACCGGAAAACCGACGATTTGATTGCCTTGTAGACGGTGCCCATTCCGTGTTGTACTCGTTCCAAAGCCCAGCCGTTGTAGATGACAGGATCGCACTGGAAAATGGAAGAAGAAGGGTTCATCTGTGGACGCAAAACGACCCCGCGTGTGTCCAGAGGCAGTTTCCAAGTATAACGGTCTCCGACGGTGCGGTCTGTGAAAGGATGGAAGGCAGAATTTTGTGGAGAAGTACCGCCCGGTAGTGTGGAAATCCATGCGAAGCCGCGTTCGCCGTACTTGATCACGACAGTAAGGTCATGCAGCGGTCTCGCCCTCCAAACTGAGAGAGTATCTCTCTTTTCAAAAGTCGCCACTGGATACAGAGAATAAGCGGCATCGAAGGCTATGAAGTTCATAACGCAGGCTGTATGCACATGTGCAAGTCCGTCGTGATCAGAAATCAGCAGACTAAACCTATAATATTTCGAAACTCACTGGAATGAAAATTTATAATGGCATCGAATGGGCTCGTCTCGCATGCTATAATTTGGATCTTCAAAAGGCCATCTGGGCCACTTTTCTCGATTGTCAGTACAGATTCGACTCCTCTGATTTGGTAGTATAGCAAGAGCTCGTCATCTTCGGGGGACTCGTCGCGGATTTGAGTACCATCCCATTCATCAGACACGATTTCACGGTAATCCTGGGGTTGAGTCGAGTCCGGCTTGAACCTATATCCTTCTCTTTCAACAAGATAGTCCAACACTTCTCTCACGTGCCCTGGATGCACGTAAAGGTCCATGTCAGATTTGGGATAAAACGACCGATCCAGAAATTGAAGTGCGTTGGAGCCCGCAATAAGCGTCCCGGTACGCGCTTGTAAGCTGCGAAAATTAAGAGGTTCGGAAAGATACCGAGAAAGATGCCGGTGGATGTTGTAGGCACGATGAGAGAAGTCCTTGGATGCAACATACGCAGCACGACAACAGCAACCAATGCGTACAAGCGTGCGGGGCGAGACGCAAGAGAAGATGGCGTCATAGATTGGAGCGCGACCGAATAATTCGCCTACTGCACATTCGTGAGCAAGTCGAGGTTGTCGTCGATTGGTGTGTTTGACTGAGATTTGCGACATATCGCTGTAAAGTCAACTGAAGACTACAGTCAGTATCTGAATCGCTCGCAACTGGATGAAGATAACGCACCCTCGAGTAATATTTGGCAAGTGGGTTGTGGTGGGTAGATGAAGGTAGACAAAGCTGTGAAACTTTTGGTAAAACGTACTTTGTAGTCAGCAGCCTTGCGCCACCGTACGGCGGCTCTGATACGTATGATATCCGCATCATGTTTATTTACGAATTCGCGAAGTAGCTATGGAGCCTTGAGGCTTGAGATGAGCTATATATCCAGTGCTGAACTCCGCGCCACGGTGGTTGTTTACAAGTAGTTACGTATTCCTGACTCCCACGTATGATGTACTGTGATTTCGGCGTTCCGAGTTGCCGCAAGCGCTACTGTGATCAGTAGCACAAGCCAAGCGTCAAAGCCGCATTTATCTCCCATATTTCCACCAAACATTCTTGAGCATCCATGTCTCTGCAGGGTTTGATTTCTGGATCTGAGTGTGCTGTACCGCTGAACCCGCTGTCGCAAGTTCTGAAACACACAGAAGGAGACAGAAGTTTACAGCAGGTCTGTCAACAGTGTCAAAATCCATAATTCATCTGACAACAACTACGAACAGGATCGTGTAGCTGGTCCTTCATCCTCCCGAGTCAGCTTTCACTACATTTTACCGTGAGATGTATTCATGTCATCGATCAGCTCCAACACCTTCCGGGATCTGCTCCAGCTCAAGCCGCAGAACAAGATGTCGCAATGGCACGTCAGTTCTTCGAAGGACAGCAAAGATCAGGTGGCCCCGCACTTGTTGCACCTCCGTATCTTCATCCGGCAGAACTCGCTCGCATGGCGGAAATGAATAGACTTCCGGAACTCAACGAAGCATGGAGCAGGGAAAGATATCAGCCTCTAATACATAACAATGCGGCCCACAGCTCATGGGCAAATGAATTTAGCGGTACTCAGCAACAGCCCATCAACGGTTCCGCCATGCAACATTCTGTTGCCATGCAGATGCCTGAAAGTGAGTTGTCCTGTGTAAACTTCTGGATTTTGAGTCAACAATAGGCGTACAGCTCAGAGACAGCAATTCATTGGTTCACATGGGATGTATGGAACCCCCATGGGTTTGTATGGGAATATGGGACAGCCGTTCTTCCAGGGGTTCAATGCTACTCCCCTGAGTGCAGACGCGAATAAAGGGAAGGGTAAAGCCCGCGAAGCTGATTATGAAGCTGCATTTGCCCAGTACGCTGCCTCGTTGCAAAATCAATCAGAATCCGCCTCTAGGATTGTCGAATTGGACGATAATACGGCTACTTTAGAGCAGGCCATGAAGAACGTCAAACTTGGAGATACTGAACTGAAGACTAACGGGGATTTCAAGGAGTTTGTCATCTTATTATTATTATTACGTGCCTACTTAGTTTTCTGTAGCGTTTGGGATCACCTGCAAAACTCGGATATACCACCTCCCGCAGAAGATATCGGCCAATGGGAAGCACAATTCAACCAGCTCATGAGTCGTGATCGCGAAGAGCTGGACCAAGATTACTCTACAGCCATGCAAGAAGCTTGGAATGACGGATTTGGAAATCTCAATGAGAGTGCCCTCCAATCCAGGTATAACGATGATGGGATGCCCATTCTGGATGAATATGTGTTCGGTGAGTCGGATCCGATACATCACGCCCTCGTTTGTTAAGCTGTACAGAGTCAAACAACAAATATCTTGATCCATCTTCGTCCCCTCGGTCGCCACTGAGCGAAGCAAAAGCATTTTTGGAACAGGGTGGTTCGTTATCTGAAGCTGCTCTTCTACTCGAAGCTGCTATCCAGAAAGGAGAGCTTGGCGAGGGCGGATATGAAGCCTGGATACTTCTAGGCGAAACCAGGAACATGGATGAACGCGAAGACCTCGGTTTGCGTGCATTGATCGAAGGTGTTCGCTTATCAGAAGCTGCCAATGCCAACGGAGTGGGCATGCTGGTGTGTATCATCTGGAAACTTCTTCCAGCCCACTCTCATGACGTATTGTTTACAGTCCTTGGCGATCTCATACACCAATGAGCAACATGACCGGGCTGCTTATAATATGTTATTGCGATGGCTAGGAGCACGTTTTCCCGATTTTCCGATATCAGATGAGATCCGAAGAGCTGTCTCTTTACATTCAGCATGGGACTCGCATGATAAGCTTACAGAAACCTTCCTTACCCTGGCACGACAGCAGTATGACCAAGGGATTGTCGATCCTGATATTCAGATTGCCCTAGGAGTGCTATTTTATGCAGCCATTGACTACGAACGTGCGAAGGATTGCTTCGAGAGTGCCTTATCACAGCGTCCTGGGGTAGGAAAGTTCGGGCCGCTGACATTTTATCGTGACTGATAAATGGCGAACAGGATTACGTACTCTGGAACCGATTAGGATCCTGTCTTTCCAACGGGAACAAACCTGAGGAAGCCCTTGGAGCATACAGGGAAGCTTTGAATTTGCGCCCTACTTACACTCGTGTTATTTATAACGTTGGGGTGGCATGTGTGTCCTCTGGTTAATCCCCTGCACATGTTTTGAGCTAATCTCACACGTAGGTCTTAACATAGGAGCGCACGAAGAAGCGGCTGAACACTTTCTAAGTGCACTTAGTATGCAGGAAACCACAGGCGGTGGTCAAACTAGTGATCAGTTGTGGTTGACCCTGAGGCGTGCCTTTATCTCGATGGTGGTTATATCCAGTTCTATCTTCTAGATGTGACATGCTGAACCTTGCTGTTCCAGGAGCGCAATGATCTTGCGGAGTTGGCTAAGCCTGAGAATCGGTCAAACTTGGATTCCTTCCGGCAGCAAGGATTTGATTTCTAGTAATTTTGCCCCATGCATAGACGCCACACGTAGACCGTAATCGGAGTTTTGTTTGCTCCTTGTATTCAATCAGTGACCATAGTGCTGTGTTCGTTGGCTCAAGTGCTCAGATGTTCGGATCTCGCTCTCGGGCACATATCAACATGGAGGTCCGCTCTCGCACGGGTCCACACAGGCTTCGCACGCATGTTAAGTTTGCCCCATACTCACCCACAAACACGTTGGTACCCTATATAGGGGCTCTGTTGTGATACGGCAGTCTCCGGCCGGATCTATGCTATCAGATTAATGGGAGCATTGAAGAAGTCGATGAGCTATACTAGTGCCATGTGACGTTGGGAACCCTGGATCGGTATACATGTGCGGGCTGGGAAAGATAGCCGAACTTCTTTTAGTTACCTCCCCTGCTGCGCCTTGTGGGATTTTGGGGACTTGGCTGCATCTATCCGTTTTGGTCTCAAGGCGCTAATATTGGTTTAGCGATATAAAATGGCCCCTCTTCAGCTGGCTTTTTCTCCAGCAATCTGCTATCATCAACTACCTCACATACAAGGTGAGCTGTCTGCTCTGAACTCCCTGACCACGACACGACTGACACCCTCCTGCAGCTTAACCGCACTCATAACCACCATGTACAACAACAACACCGAGCAATGCAACTGCGGCGTCGCCAAGTGAGTTTTTCTTGCGACATTTCAATCACCTGATTCTGACCGTCTGTCAACAGCTGCAACTGCCAGGCTGGTAGCTGCAGCTGCAAGAACTAAACCACGCGCATGTGCACTTGCCTTGCCGTGTATATAAACATAAACATATTTGCTATTCGACGTGACTTGTACTGTTTGTTGTATTGAAATGCCAAAGTTGCTTTAGTGTCTCTTGATAGAGTTGACAGTAAAGACTGCGACATCGTCCGGAATTCCGAATGACCCTCGAGCTCGAACTTGTCACTTGCATGCTCATGCACAATCCAACACACCATCGTCAAGCGCAACAGGCGGGACTGACTCTACTATGTAGCTCTCTCCAAATTCCGAAGCCTCGCATCGTTTTTCTTCGCAATCGCGTTCTTCGTTGTCCTATGGTCTCCGTTGAATTACTATAATCATCGAAGGAAGCAAAAAATGCGGGATTTGGTTAGTCTGCGTGAGGTCTATGACTCTATGCAAACTGGATGCAAATTTGTATCTTGTCAGTGGGTAACTCGGATTCAAAAAGTGCAGGGAAGTCTGGCCGAATCAAGGACGCTGCATGATGTCACGATCACCCCCGCCCAACCTCCATCCCGTCTGCCCGCCATCAAGATCTTTATCTCCATTTCTTCTGATCTCTGCGAGTCTCTTACGCTTGCCCGTCTGTCTACCACTTCCTCTGTGTTCGCCTATTTCCTACCCGCCTGCCAATATCATGCTGTTGTCTGCAGCTCCCAGTCTGCGGCTGCCGTGTCCTCCCTCCAAGTAATTAGATGACGGCAATTTGACAAGGGTGAGATTTGCATGATGGTTGACATGGATGGATGCGTAACGGTGACTGATGTAGATGGCAGGGCAGTGGTTGCAAATTGCAATGCAGACAGAACTTTGACCACCTGGAACTTTCCGATCACAGACCAGACGTTGCCCAGATGGCCCATTCTGGAAGTACACCCAGACTTTATACAGGCTAGCCTCAAAGGGAGTACACTGAACAATATCTAGATCTGAACCAGCCAGCCGGTAACGTTCGTTGAAACGAGTGCTTTCTATGTAGTAGGCTTTGAATTTTTGACCCCAATTGACCCTAATGTAGACATTCGGTACAACGGATTTAGCGGCCTTCTCTTCTCTTGCTCCCATTCATGCAGGACCCAGGTCCACATGCGCGAGCATAACTCGTTCGTCCTTTAACTCCTCGTTTATGTACGTCGCGTGGTCTTGCTGTCTGTGATCCAGTCTTTTGTGCCACCTCCGAGTCAAACGCCTCTCTTCGTCCAATCGCGCTTCCTCGTCACTGACTCGGACTTCCTGGACAGCAAGACTCCCGCCTTCTGTTATGTATCTGCACTCACCTGCGACGATGAAACCTATTGAAATTGCAATAGTACCTGCTTCTTCTACTGCAACGAGCCTCCGCCCACTTTTTACTCTTAGCGACCCCTCGTCTGCTATCAGTTGCTTTGCAGAGGATCATTGCTGGCATGAAAACCTCTGTCACACCCTCAACAGAACTGGAGGTACAGAGCAATGAGAGATTAAAGGCGATACTCGTGACCATATCTTCGCGGTCAAGGTGTTAGCCACGAACGACGTCTATAACCTCAAAAAAGAGATTTAGCATAATAAGGATAGTTTCTTCTACGATTACGACGCCACGAATATCCTTCTCTGGAAAGTATTCCCACCTTGCGATGACAGGCTGCCAGTGGAGCGCAATATCAAAAGTCTTGACCTCGATGAGAACCAACTACTATTACCTTTGGAAATGTGTTGGCCACTATTCTGGCGACAGATCATGTACATCTTCATTGCAGTATATAAACGTGAGTTGTCTGTTAATATCACCCCACTCTCCCGCATACTGATTATCATCTGGTCTGGATGCAGATTAGCCCCGCTCTAGAGTGTTGTTAACAACGCTCGGGCTTTGTAGGTGTTAATATGCGCAGGGAGCCTGAAAAGCAGAATGGGAAAGAACATCCTTGCTGTGATCCTCGCAGAGGGAAAGCTATGTCCATGGAGATCCTGCCGTCTAACGGAAAGCCGGTCGCATCCTCCGCGAAGCAGAATGAGGATGGGCACCTGCGGTGATTATTGCAAAGCCACATTGGCAAAGACCCTGCTGTCTGGCGGAAAGCCGATCATATTCTCTACGTAATGGATGAGATCGTGGGTATTGATCAAGGGACTCTACTATTCATTGTCGCATTTTCCGCGATGGGGATAGTGGAGCAAAAGATGTTGTCTTACTATGGCATAGTCAGACTGGTCACGAGTCTGCCATCGCCATCCCTGTATTTATAATATTCAACTATAGCATACATTTGCACCTAAAGTTTGACTCGAGAAATTCGAACTTGAATATCCTGTATTTCAAAAATATCTTGGGGCTTTGACGGCTGACGTTCACATAAACGTTGCTCGATGACAGATCAATCAACCCCTAATACAATACGCCGGGTGCCAATATGCTCAAACTATCTTGAAAGTGCTCGCAACTAGTGGAGTTATTTGGTTTAGACCCGGGGGATACCGCACCATGCAAATTAAACGACAGTCACAATATTGCAGAAATCCCTGGAGTGGCGGGTTCGTCGAGGCCATTCAGAATTCCGGACAACGTGCCGTGCAGTCTTTACTGTCAGCTTTATCAAGACTCGATGTCACTTTACTAGAACAACTCTGGCATTTCAATATAAACGGCACAAATCACGTCAAACAGCAGACTCGGAAATAATTATGTTTATATATACGGCAAGGCAAGTGCACTTGCGCGTGATGTTTAGTTCTTGCAGCTGCAGCTACCAGCCTGACAGTTGCAGCTGTTGATAGACAGTCAGAATCAGGTCATTCAAATGCCTCGAGGTAAAACTCACTTGGCGACGCCGCAGTTGCATTGCTCGGTGTTGTTGTTGTACATGGTGGTTATGAGTGTGGTTAAGCTGCAGGAGGGTGTTAGTCGTGTCGTGGTCAGAGAGCTCAGATCAGACAGCTCACCTTGTATGTGAGGCAGTTGATGATTAGCAGATTGCTGGAGGAAAAGCCAGCTGAAGAGGGGCCATTTTATATTGCTGACTATCAGCGGCGCCGCAAGTCGGAGTGACCAAAATGGCCAGATGAGAAGTAGACGGCGCATTCGTTTCCGTCAATCCCAGGATTGTCAACACCATCATGATATGTTTACAGGGCCCCAGGGCGCAGGGAGGTAACTAAAAAAGTCAGTTTGTGCTCCAGTCCGACAAGATAATCTGAAGAGCTGTGGCACGTGCATGCCACCATCCAGGGTGATCAATGCTGCAGGGCGCCACTGAGGTGAGAAATCAACTTGTACTACAAATCCGATAAGATGAAAGTATACCTGCCGGAAACAGCTGCATCAGAATATGGCGACGGCGCCCTTGTACAGGCTACTTGACAAACGTGCTGGCCCATTGTAATCTTGATTTCTTCAAGACACGAAACACGTGTGTGGGTGAGCTTCAATGTGAAGTTGACTTCTAAGCTCAGGTACCTAAGTACCTCGATGGGAATGCAATACAAAAGTAAGTGATCAAAGCAGCAATCACAAACTGTCTGACAATACATACTTACTCACACCATAACAGCGCTAGCCCGCAGCTCGTCTGATCACGTGCAGCGATTCCTGTGGACAAGTCACGAGATCGCGACCAGCATGTGCAAATCTGTTAGAGTCCTCTCATAAGATCTCCCTCATCCTCAGATTTCGCCCATGTCATTCCTTCCGTACCACTGCGCAGCCCTCTGTAGTATAAGCCACTGTTTCTCTGATCAATAGATTGTCGCTCACCTGTCGGCGAGAACTTTATCCTGACAGCTTCCGCATGCTCCGAATTTCTCCACCCTTCTGGCACCAGCTTAGTATACTTTATTGCCTCCCACCCCTTGAGACAAGTCCCTTGGCAGAGATATATTGGTCACTTGGTCTTTGCATGTACCATATCTTCTGGCCCGACGCCGGGCCGCTGGCCAGACACCAAAACACACCACACTCCGATTACTTTTGCAGGTGACCTGTTTTCTGGGGTTCTCAGTGTTCAGGCACTAAATAATTAGACTGCGAGCATGTGGAGTCAAGTGGTGCAGAAGCACAGAGTAGTCATAACCCGATGTCTGAAACTTACTTATACGGAAGCAAGTCACCAAGTGCTAGGTGCGATATTGCGGATGATAGAGTGCATCATAGTATACGGGGCAATCAGATACTCCATGTGTAATCAGTGGTGGACACACGAGTGGTACAGCATACTGAAAGCGGTGTAAGATAACACATGTATGAAATGAAATGTGGTGGTGGCGTATGCCCAGGCTGGGAGGAACTGGAAGGTGCAGAACGTTCTGGTGGCAATTTCTGCACTTGGCTAGAAGTTAAAACTGCTGACGCTGTGGCGGCACTCATTCGTTTGCCCCCAAGAAATCTCGCGAACCTTGGCTGGCTGGCACAGTCAGGATTTCCTGCAAGATGTTCTTTGATTCGTGCAGTCAGTTCAATTATTGTCTCATCTCGAAGTAGCAAAAGAGCGCCAGCGATAGTGATAAGGTCGTCCTTGCGCTTGTATGATCATAGCGAGCTGTTGAATGTCTTCGTTTTGACGTCTTCCTCAATGCGCGAGAGCCGAATTCATGAGTTAGTCAATCCTTGACAACTTCCTCTTCAGAGAGAAGGAGGAGCTGATGTGACTTGACTTGATCCCTGCGAGATACATGCAGACCCTTGTTCCAGTCTTTAAGAGTCTGCCGCGCGTCCTGTACCATCACATTAGCATTACAGGAACTTGAAAAATACATAATCACACCTTGTGTGCCCTTGCAGCTACTGGAATATACTTGCAGGTGACATTCGAGTGCAGCCTGGATCCTGGGCTCATAGTTGGGAACTTGGGACCCGTAGACGCCCTATCTCACATGAGCCCAGCTCACCACTCAAGTGACTCAATCACGATGTTACTTTGAAATTGAGTCACGGTGCTGTAGACAAAATCACGAGATAGTGGTCTATTGTCACGAATAGAGATGGTAACAGGGGACGGTAAGTAGCTTCCATCAGAGATCCGACCGGCGGAGCGAACGTCGTAGGCGAGAACATTACAATGTTGATGTAGACCTTATAATTGAATAATATTTAATATGCATCTGCAGCTGACTCAGCTCCCGTCGGAATTAGTCATCCAAATTGCTTCTATCTTTGCCACTGTCTCTGGCTACAAGCCTACGAGTCAGTACTATGTAGTAGACTTCGTGATGGGTCTTTGATCATGAAGTCACTGTCGCTCGAAGTTTTCTGCAGATGGCTGACTTTCCTATTCAGCTCCTGTTCTCTTCGATGATGGTATTTGCGATTGTCACGTGACGTTCGTTGAATCCGCATAATTCATTCATGCATACCTTCAGTTGCCGATACCAGTGGCATACCACCAACCACTGGAACTTTCCTGGTGTTCAAGCAGTCGCCGTAACACTGGTATGGAAATCAAACTATCATACTTTGAATTGTCCAGGCTTCTTTTTATTTGATTTTGCACCGCAATATTTTCTCCCCCCGATCATCCTGAGGGTCTTGAGGGGGATCAAATATCCATCATGCAGACTTCGGCGATACAAGGCTTATCATTACGAGCGCTGAAGCGCTTAACAGTAGTATATCTAGCATGAACGCCATCGTTACACCACCAACATTCCCCACTGGCTCATACACCCATCCTCGAATATGACCGTAGTCTTAAATAGTCCCAGTTTGTGGCCACTAATCGATTTGAATATCTTTTTGAGCTATTGGATAGGTTCGTCGCATCAAGATATCTAGATCTAACATTGACTTGCGGTGTTGCAGTTGCCGCCACTGCCGTCGTGGTATACGACTGGGGTGAGCAGGACAGTGTTCGAAAATTGCTGATATTCTCATAGTATTTTCAGTACTAACAGTTGGCCAAGAGGTGGGTCTATTTTATCGCTGGAGCAGCCAACTCGCTAAGAATGGTATCACAGATTGAACTGATATGGGTGAGTAATACGAGTCTGTATCAAAAGAAAACAGGAGAACACAATGAATTCGCGACAGAGGCAACGTTGGTCCCTCATGACCGTGCTGTATTTGGTTGTTCGTACCTCTTGTTGTGCTATAGCATGGTTGGCAAGTCATGCTGACTCCAAGATGTTCTAGATACGATATATTGGAATACCGTTTTCTGTGTATGTGTCGAGGCCAACAGATTAGCACCGTGCTAATAGTTCATCTCTCACAATCAGTGCCAATTTTCTGCGTATGTATCATATGCACTGTGTTCGATCCTTCTCACTGGGCAACACACAGGAATCATGCCATTGGTCTCGCTGACAGATGCAGTAAGTATTCCGCAACCATCTCATCCCCGTTCAATGAACACATTAATATGTAGGGGTGAGTGAGATGCCAACCATTAAACTTGGCTCAACATAATAAGTCAATAGGTGTAAGTCGGAGTGTTTGATCCTAGTACGAGGGTGTTCACTAATTGGGTGTTTCAGGTAATATTATATACAATGCAGTGAATTGGACAAACGTGGCCGTAGCTGCCATGTTGGGTGGTGAGTTACCCAGTTGCAACACCTCAGTGGTATCGACTCGACTGAAACACGATGCAAGTCATCATAATTGCTCGGTTGTATGCCATGTATCAAAAATCTAGAATCGTGCTTGTCTTCCTTGTTATCATTTTCTTGGCTGTCAACATTGCCTGTGGAGTAATCACGGCAATTGGACTCAAGTCTAGCCCAGCGGGTAAGCTTTACTTGTTGACTTGAAGAACACAGCTCATTAAATAAACACTAGAGGAGTTGATACTCTCTGGTACACATATGTGTTATTCTGCTGTGGACTCGGAGCAGCTTCTCATTTCAATAGTTTGGATGCTCAACAGTATTTGGGAGTTCCTTACACTGTGCCTTGCAGTCTGGATTGTTGTAAAACAGTTCCGTGACCTGCGACGACTCAACTCACCGACAGGATCGATCATTGGGGGCTGTTTTAGAGTGCTAATACAATCTCACGTGCTTTATTTTGCAAGGTAAGCTTGTAATGTGACTCTGGCTATCTTTTCTGCTCAAGTTCCACACACATTAGCTTCATTGGTGTCTCCTGTCTTCAGCTTGTTACTCTTTCTCCAGAAATATCGGTGCGCCGAATTGTCACTGACATCTGCGTTAATCACTGCTCATCATTTCTGTAGAATTCAAATTCTATTGGAGTTCGGGTACTCAGCGGTGCTATTCAAATTTCATCGGTCATACAGATGTTTGTGCTGGGACCACGCCTCATCCTTAGCGCTCGACAATTTAACGCCAAACTTGTGGTCGACTCCGATGCAGAAACTAGCATGAATTCGATTGTCTTCCAGGAGCGTGTACATGTATCAACTAGCAGTACCATTTAGGGACGTACTTAGCGAGTGGTCTGCAAGGAGAAGACGTTTTGTGGAGGATCCGTCGTGGTATTTATTTAACGTATGGTGTTTCGAAGTATGTCTATCTATTTCTTGTCGTATCACTACTAAAACCAAGTAACTACCCACCCACGCTTACACCAAGTGATAAGCCGAGAATGTCTAGCAACAATTCGGTCTTTGAAATTTGATGCTCGATATTGAAATACAAATACAACGAGAATCAGTGCAACCACCCAAACATCAACCAAAATATTATGTTGGAGCCCTGCTAAGCACGACCATCGGAGTAAAGCGCCGAACGAGATGCAGAGTTCAGATATCCATGCATACACCGATCACAATCGTTCCTAGGGCAAGCAAATGATTGATCACTTGAATGAAGTGTACCGTGATGACTCGACGACCAATAAGGAGAAAAACCTGTGGGTGCTGGTGACCAGTGAGATATTGATATGTCGCATGAATCAACACAGGATAGTAATATTGAGGAATAAAGATCCGAAGAGCGGTGATAATCAAGATTCTGGAAGTCGCATAGATTTCATTAGCTACATTCCAAGCTTTGTATTTATCTAGATCAAGTGAGGCGAAGTGACCATCAGTGAAATACGATGTTCTGGCACTGCACAGATCTGTCAAAGTTGTACAGTACCATAGTGTCACAGCTTGGTCCCTTCTGAGCCTGTACAGTGCAGTAATGCCGGCGGGGCCCCAGTGCGGGACTCGGCTGAGTCAGCTCACATCTGATCGAATGTGGCTTCTCTTTACCACCTGTGAAAATTTCTATTTCTCCTCCATCGTGGTGGGTCTTTGAAGCACTGTTACTCGAAGTTTTCTGTTGACAACTGACCATTCAGTGTCTGTTATCTTCTATGGTAAAGTTTCTAATACCATTAGTTATACAGACTCGTTTCTGTCAAGACATGTACTAACTCACTCCAACTTGTCAAGGACTTTCCCATCGTACTACCATCCGTCCTACCAGCGGACCACTATTAGTAATTCACTAGCACGAGACGGCCAAGGTTGGCCTGATATAAATACCACGGAATGTCGAGAATGTCGAGTGACGTAGCTCGAGGTTATCAGAAGTACTGGTCATGAGTCTACTTACCATTGTCGTGCAAGGCTGGATCCCTAATTCTCAGCTTCGGACCGTCGTGGGCGTAGTTGATAGTGTATAATCTGTTCGGCTCAGGTCATTCCTGGGTCATGGGACGTCGAGGTCGAAGCTGATTCGGCCCGACTAGAACGATGCATGCCTTCAATATAAGAGACGTGGTGATATGCGACTCTATCAACATCCACCTTCATTCAACCTCAGTCATGTCTGGAGTAGAGATGTAAGTTGATCACGCACCGCGATATAGATATCATGATATCTTACTCGCAATGATATCCAGTCATTCCGTCCCGCGTCCTACTGGGGCGCCCACCCCGGCAAAACTTAACAAGATATCTTGTCAGTTGACACAAGACAAGGTATTGACTACTCGCCCCTCTTGCTTCCATTTGCTGACGTTCGCTGCGCTTGAAGTCTCGGGGAGGTGCCCAGGCTATGTGTAAGTCCTTGCCCCGAAAGATATCCATCGTGCGATTGATAAAGGTGTGATATAGTATATGCCGTCGGTCTGACAGAGGGAGACATGGAAAAGCCTCAAGTATGCTTATGACCACTTGTGGTTTTCACATTGCCTTAACTATTCACTAGATCGGTATTTCACCCATCTGGTGGGAAGGTAATGATACCACACCTGTGTGCTATGTTGATGCTGATGTGTGCTTTGCAGGTAATCCATGCAACTCTCATCTCGTGCGTTTTGCTCCCCATTTGCGAGCGTCCGGTAAACTGATACCTGTGAAGCTCGATTTGTCCAAAAAAGTCAAGGAGGGTTGCACGGAGGAAGGTTTAGTTGGCTTGACCTTCAATACCATTGGTGTTAGGTGTGTCTGGTCATCTTCTCAATGAGTATGTCCTGAAGCTAGCTAGTGATGCTATTACAATGGGAACAGATGGTAAGGTGTCTTTGATAAATTTCTTTTGGCATGTCTGATTGCATCTATTCAGGGATGCGGTACTCGTGCGTATCATGAAAGTCGTTGGTATGATATCTTGTTGATGTAGTAATACCAGACTCCCAAGTCGTGATCTCATCGCGGATTCTATTGAAGCTGTAAATGACCTCGCTGAGGCTTTAATTTCACGCTAATTTGGGTTTTGTTTATCAGGTCACACTTGTAAGAGGCTCCATCATTTGGTAGCCTCTGGATGCTCAAGTTATCTGATTTTTGTAAGGCGCAACATTACGATGGCAATATCTCGATACCAGGTTGTGACAAGAACATGCCCGGTGTCTTGATGGCCGCCGCTAGACACAACAGGCCGACCATTATCGTGTACGGTGGTACGATTCAGGTCGGAACGCGCCATGTCGACTGCCCTTCCATGGGATACGAGAAAGGCGGGACTGTCAACATCTCAGACGCCTTCGAGTCTTATGGTGGGTGGTTATCCGACTCCGAATTCCCAAAGCCTTGAGCTGGAGTCAGGTGCCTATGCTGTTGGCCTCATCAATGATGAGGAGCGATTCGATGTCGTCAGACATTCATGTCCTGGCGCCGGTGCCTGTGGTGGTATGTATACGTACGTGTTCTGTCGCTTTTAAACAGAAACCTCCTCATATGTCCTAGGGCCAACACCATGAGCTCTGCTCTTGAAGTCTTGGGCATGTCACTTCCCTACTCCTCGAGCACACCAGCAATGTACCCTGGTGAGTTAGAAAACACTTATGTTGCATGTAAAATTTTGAATTCGTGTATCAGAGAAGGCACAAGAATGCTTCAAAGTTGCCAAGTATATGAAACGTCTTCTGGAGCTTGATTTGAAGCCCAGAGATATCCTCACCCGTCAATCTTTCCTGAATGCAATCACTATCGTCAACGTCCTTGGTGGCTCAACGAACGCTGTTCTTCACTTGCTGGCTATAGCCCGTGCCGCCGATGTTCCCTTAACCATCGACGACTTCCAGATGATTTCAGACAGGACTCCGTACCTTGCCGATTTGAAGTACTTTCGTATTCATGATTCGATTGCGTTCTCTCACAGTAAACATCGTCAGGCCATCTGGAAAGTATTATATGGAAGACATTCACAAAATTGGTGGCATACCAGCAATTATCAAATACCTTCTCAAGAACACCAATCTCATCGATGGTAGCCAGATGACTGTTACCGGAAAGACCCTCGCTGAAAACCTCGTGGATGTTCCGGAGCTCGACTTTGATACACAAGACGTCATCAAGAAGCTGGACGATCCCATTAAACCCTCTGGTCATTTGACTATTCTCAAAGGTAGCTTGGCTCCTGGAACCGCTGTCGCCAAGCTTACAGGGAAGGAGGGTTTGCGCTTTGAGGTGATTCATGGTTATTTGTTGATTCCATGTCATAGCTAACGGATACTGTGGCGGTTCAGGGTGTCGCCAAATGCTTTGATAGGTACGGTGTAACGCGAAACCTTATGGTTAGCTTGCCTCATATACTTCATCTTTAAGTGTGCACGACTTTTATCCTGCACTTGAGCGCGGAGACATCAAGCATGGAATGGTCTTGATATTCAGATACCAAGGACCGAAAGGCGGGCCAGGAATGCCAGAGGTTGGATGTTATCCTTGACATTAGTTCTTGCGTGCTCACATTTAATTGCAGATGCTGGGTACAGTTGTATTTTGAACGAGCCTTAGAGTCCTCCTAATCCTTTTACGCACAGGTCCCACCGCCGCTCTTATGGGTGCTGGGCTGGGCAACTCGACTGCGCTGATCACGGATGGTCGTTTTTCTGGAGCATCCAGAGGTTTCATCATTGGTGCGTCTTTTACGCAACTTCACTTGAAGACAAAGGCTTACTTCCGATCTACCAGGTCACGTCGTCCCTGAGGCAACCCTCGGTGGTCCAATTGCTCTTGTGGAAGACGGCGATCTCATTGCCATCGACGCAAAGAGTAGGACCATCGACTGGCTAGTGGGCGAAGAAGAGAAAGTACGCCGAAGAAAAGTATGGGAAGTCTCAGGCAAGAGTGCCCTCAGGGAGCGGAGAGGTATCTTGTTCCGATACGCCCGTGATGTTGCTGTAAGAGCCTCAGTTTGATGATCCAACCTCGCTTGCTGACCATGATTTACAGCCTGCTAATGAAGGAGCCTACTGCGACTGAGATGCCTTTTGTCACGGTATATGAGAGGGTAGCGAAACAATTGAGCAACGTGATCAATAAACATTACGCGTCAAGTCAAACATGTGAAATTATTGTAAATACAGAAGTCGAATATTCCACATGATTTTGGGCCTCTATATTGGTACAATCAGGGGTCTGGATTTGAAGAGACGATGCTGTGATTACCCCGCCGCACTACATAAACGTACGATCCAAGCATAAACCTTGTAAGTCATAACATAACGGCTGGACAGACTAATATCCACTATCACTGCATTGACAACGTCCTGGTTGGGTATTTGATTGTCTTCTCCGTAAAATAAATGTGCCTAGATATGACAACGTCTCAAATCACCTGCACCGCAGCAGATAAGATGAAAACTATGTCATACGCAGTACGCCGCGTTGCGGCCAGTTGTAGGGTTGAAGTCGGTGATATGGTGTGGGCGGGTCGCAGGCAAGATATGCCATGGTCAGAGGGATAGGCGGGCAGAAATAGGTGCACTTAGTATGTTCAAGTGCAGACTTTGCGACAATAGTAAGGATTCGATCTTGAAGCTTCGAAGAACCATTAGCCGAGTTGTCGCTGTGGCCGCAGATCTTGAAAGACTGCGATACAGCACAGCAAGTTAACTGCTGTCGGTTGATTTGCAGAATGAGAGGTTGTCCATTTCATCTAGCTTCGTCTAATGCAAAAACAGTGAGGTAGTAGTTGGGCTGAGACCCAGCGGCATCAGTAAAACCTCACTTTTATTTTCTGCTATTATCTCACTTTACCCGCCTTGGCGCCAGCGCTAAGGCGCGAAAATGAATATAAGGAGTGTTAATTGGGTGTCCTGAATTTTCTCAAAGGCGCCACAGAGTGGCTAAGTGAAATTGTCGGTGCAAAGGGAAATAAGGCACGTTCAGAACGAAAATAGTAGTATATAGTCAAATTGTGTTTAAGTAGCTACACGCTAGTATCCAAAACAAAGTGAAGTCAAAATGCAATCTCGAATGCGTGGTGATCAGCGTATTTGTTCACATAGTAGGCTTGAAATGCGTCATATGAATGATAAAATTTGAGCTCCCGGGGCACAAATTGCACGCCATACATGGGAATAAGATGCGCAGCACGATAAATAGAGTCAATATGAATGACCGCGTACCCTGGAGCACTGTCTGCTCCAAATCCAGGACGAACTATCCACATTCCTGTATCTTCATCTGGGGCGTCGCCAACTTTGTCGAACCAGCTTATTAGAGCGCAGGGATATAACCTGCCCCGGTACCTGAATGAGAAAAATGCACGAACACGGGCGACTTCGAGGCCTTGCATGCCAGGCAAACTGGAGTCTGTGTTGACGAAAACACAGTCATGGCGCTGGTACTCGTTCCGCCAGATGGGGCAAGAACGAATGTGTTCAACACGCATACCACCGATCCCGCTCAAATCACTCGGCGCATAGAATCGTGATGATGCGGAATTGAAGACCGAGATTTTGCTAAGATAGAGGGGACATTCGGCGAGGGGTATATTAGATGGGTCGCGAGGATCTTTAGGATGCAACTGTTGGAATAAGAAGCGTCTGAGGAGGTCAGGTAGACTAGGAATATTGAGTTCTTCGGCAAGTGCAGGAATAGTTTGAGCACGTTTTTTGCCCTCTGTACATAGTTTATTAGGACATTCAAAAGGAAGAAAAAGAAGTCTTACGGCGTGTTTTCGCCAGCTGGACATAAGCTTGTAGAACCGTCGGACCATCATCAATTTCCAGGTCCTCATCGATGCCGATCAGCAGAGGTGCTGGTGCTGGTGCCGGCACATTTTCATCAAGTTCATTGATCTGCTGTGCGGGTACTATTGTGCACATTAGTATATAGGATATCTCACGAACTGTTTACCCACCCAAGGCGTCCATGGTTACTGAGAGGCAAGTACCAGTTAACATTCCCCGACGTGTGAAGTCAGCTCGTGCTGCGGAAAGTTTGTCGAGCCGTTGGTTGGTCACAAGTATTTAACCAAGTGCATTATAACGGCTGGATCGTCTCCATGGCTCCTTGACCGCTTTGATGTGCTTGTTTTCAGTAATCGATGAGCAGAGGCCGTTCGGTGCAGCAAACAATCGTATGTTTTGGACATAGTGCTTGAGTGAATGTTGACGAGGTAGGGAAAAGGTAGGAACCACTCCTGTCGTCCTGAAGATGTTACGGTAATGGTGAAAGCGTGAGAGAGCGTCTTCGATTTCGACTAGAGTGTCTTCTGTGATTATGTTACGACGGACTAGGTAACAAAATTCGAGAAGTGCACGAAAGGTGCGCATGACATCTACGGGTACATGACCCTCGATGGCAGGCAAGTAGACCTGAAGAATTAATAAGTTCTGCGACCATAGCATGACTAAATTGATGAATTACCTTCATCAGGGCCTTCGAATCATCTCCTGTCCATTGCTTGAAGCCACGTCCCTGAGGAAATCGTCGCAAGCCTGAAAATGAGGCGACAGCGGCAATTCTAAGACAATGAGTAATGTTATGTAGTCTAAATGCGGTCAAGCTTACCTGCAATCAATATCATCCATAATTTGATCCGCCTTTCGTTTCGTATGTGTGTGTCTGAGGTATTTCTCGACCCATTCGACGAGGTGGTCCTTGAATGCTCCTTTGACGAGTTGATGGAGAATATCCGGTGAGATCATCTGATGGATGTCAGCTCTGGGGAAGTCGTTCGTAAATGCCTGTTAAAATAAGATCATTAAGAACGGTGCTGCAAGGAGTGCGCTGATTCACATACTACAAGTTCCCCGACTATTCCAAAGTCATCCCACAGGTCACCTAAGGAACCTTCTTGAACGAGTGCTTCTGTGTATTCGCGACAACGACGTAACACATCTTCGTCGAGATCCTCGCGAGATGCCATACATCTGCAAAAAAAATTGTAACTTATACAAAGATACATACTAGATGACAAAAACGTACTTAGGGCACCAACCACGCACGATACATGCTAACAGTGCTTGCTCCTCATAATCTGCTATGTATGGCCCTAGTCCGTATATAACCCGACGGTAGTGACCGTCTCCAAAACGAGTGACTTCGGGGGTTGTCATGCCTGGTTTCAGCGTGTTGAGAATCTTGGAGAGTGACGAATGGAACAGCTGTCGACGGAATTTTCGGAACACTGCCTCGGTAGCATGTTCCTTTGTAGCTGTAAAAATCAGTTAGTCATTATCGTAGAAGCCCACACCACGACGCACTTTTCGGCATAGCAAGGAAGCCAATGACTGCTACTCCATCATGATGGGCTCGTCAAACATTGTTGCGAATGTTCCCAATTGAGGCGTATAGCGGATAATACTCATTATTACCTGTCCCGACTGAAACTGTCGTTTTGTCACTGCCAAGGATGACAGGGACAAACGTAGAGCCGAGCGTGCTCGGGTCCTTAGCTATTTCATCCTACATACAGAATTAGCAGTCATTACCGGATGAAGACTGCACTTACTGCCTGATCCCATGCCCAGTCACCAGACATAAAATCCTTCCACTGGCGCTTGTCGCCCTCGGTTGAATATTCTCGATAGGGGCAGTAGTCTACTTCACTGGCGTATGTTGGATTTGCAAGCATATTGCGCACGACTTCACGTGGGTCACGAAACCAGACTTCGTATTTGTCGTCCATCCACGGCTTGGTACCATCTTCAGGTCTCTCACCATCGTAAGTTACTGTAAAATTTTGCCAATTCACATCCCCAAATGGTGAATTATCGATGACGTCGTACAGATCACGATGATCTGCGAATGGCGGCTTGTCGCCATGTTTCGCAAGGGTAGATGCCCATAAATCCAGCAACCGGTTGATTTGACCTGCCGGCATCTGATTTTGCGTATACAGGAACTCTGCCGTTTCGAATTCTGTACGATTGCGAAAGGGTGTCCAGTCGCCAGTTGCTACGTTCTCCAAAGGTGGGGGCGGAGTGCCAGGGAGGAGGAATATACCATCCGCATTGCATGGTCTGGCTGTAATCACATTCAGCCACAGTGACAGAATCATGCGAATGAACTTACCATTGAGACCCGTATGATAGTTTTGATACAGGTGATCCCCAGGCCCAACGAATTCCGTATCAACGTTTGGTTGAGGCGATGGTTGATGTTGGTGCTCCAAGTCAGCATATCCTTCATCCACATCCATGTCGATATCGTGGTCGACATGAGGCTGTGGGCTTGGCAGACGGGGCTCTGGTATGATGGGTTCCAGAGAGCGTTGGTGGTTGTCCTGAGGTAGTACTGGCGGGATGGGATGTGCTGAAATGCGATGTTTTGTTCGCCCGGCGATAGTTTTGAACCACCTTGGACAACTTCTACATGGTAGTTGGAGCGAACTATGGTTGCGACGGCGTAGTTGACTCCGTGGAATGTTATCAGGCATTGCAGCAATACTAGACTAGAATGATGTTCAGTTCTGGCGATTTGTACATTGAAAGGTGGAAAACTCACCAATCAGAGATCTGCGTGTTGAAAGGCGGAAGGATTACCAGTATTAGCTCTGGTGGTTCGCACACCGGAAGGACTGCCAGTATTAGTTCTGGCAGTTCACGCGTTGAAAGGTGAAGGATTGTCAGTACTAGTAGCTCTGGCACATTGAAAAGAGGAAAAATCACCAATAGGAAATCTGTGTGTTCAAAGGTGGAAGGATTGCCTATGTTAGCTTGGAAATCTGCGCGTTGAAAGGTGAGAGCTCTAGCAAACAGCAAAGTTGAAAAGAAAGATGGCAAACTTACGTCAATTAAGGACAATTCAGTACACATGCGGACCCAGTTGCAAAGGACGCTGTAAATGACTAGACTGATGAATTGAACCTTTAAAGTTTCGGGTTGATTTAAGTAAGGAACTTACAAATTTGCAGTCAAACTTCAACTACACGTTGTCCTTGACATTTTTTTCACCCATCTCAAGCTTGCCGCAGCACTCATTTAATCTGCTACTTGTCAGCAATTATGTCCGATATCACTGAGGGAATCCGCACTCGCCGAGACAATAAGTTCAAACACCTGGGCTTGCCAGACCTGCCAGTGCAAGGACGGGTTCCGCGACGTAGCAAGGCCCAGAAAGCAGAGGACGACAAAAACCTTGAGGAAGCCCGCCAAGCTCAAGAGCGGGCTGCAGTCGAGGGGCTGCAGTGGCTTGCTGCAATGCAGATGGAGATGGAGGAGGCAGAGGAACAAGGCGTGGCGACTAAACCAAAGCCAGTCAAACCCCGTGCTCGCCCTGTCAAGAAAAAAGTAGTGCCTGCCAAACCAGTAAGAAGCTCCTGGCAGCAGGAAGCGCTGGTGTTACTAGTATCATGAATACTGACTCACCCAAGGCTGGTACCGACATCGAGGACCAAGAAGAAAGCAGCCAGGACACCAACATTGAGGATGGAACAAAGAAGAAGAACCAGAGGGCCGTCAAAACGTCTCTGAAGGACGCAATCAACAATGCACGAGGCTCGCTCACAGGAAAGGTTGAGTTAATTCAGGGGCCACGTGTTGGCGACAAGAAAGGAAAGTCTTCTACCGCGACGTGTGTCTTTTTGTTCCGATCAAAACCACGATGTTGATGCTGACTGAATCGACTCTTTTTTTTCTTAACTTGACCTCAAAATTCAGGACCAACCCCAAGTTTTCATTGATAAAGCGCGTTGATGGTTGGATTTCTGATATTTCACCAGATGCAACCGAACTACTCAAAACTTCCAGCGCTTCTAAGACTCGTACCACTGCCTCAGCTTTGTCATTGGCGCATGGGCCACCAAGCAGTGCTTTATCCAGTTCCTGCGCTACATCAGTTTTGGCCATAACTACCAAGTCCTCCAAATCTAAGGCCCCCCCTGCTCTAGCTAATGCATCTGACACTCCCAAGGCTCTTGTTGGCGGCTTTGATGATGAGTCGGATGATTCTCAGGAACGTTTGGATGCCTTCATTCAAAAGACGAAGGGGAAGCAGTCTTCACTTAGGGTGCGTACTAGATGTTTTGTAATAAATTCTAATTCTAATGCACAAAGCCAATTATATAGATTACCTCAGATGCAATGCCTGAGGATGTGCTGTCTTCAACAGAGGACTTACAGGATATTGATATCGACGCACCGATGGACCTGGACGATGCATTGGTGGACCTGGAGGACAATTTGTTTGAGGGCAAAGATGCCAGGATGTCCAAGGCGGTGGACAGTGACAGCAGCCTAAGTGATGGAATCTTGTTCCGTCGGAGTAAGAAGCGCAAGCTTGCAGACACCAAATCCTCCACCCTCGTCTTGGAGAGTACCCCCTACGAGGATACATCAGATGTTGAGGTTATTGATGTCCCTTCAGGCCCTGTCGCAATGGCCAATACAACGAAGACGGCTGTGCGTTTGACCTCTTCGGTAAGCTTATTTTATTGATGATTATCACAACTTATATTCTCTGACAGACTGCTGTTGCCGTCTCCCAGTCGGCCACCACAAAGATGCAACCACCTGCAAAGAAGGTGAAAATTGAAGAGGACGTTGATGCCAGCACCGCGCAACTAACGCTCACAGCCCCACCTGGCTATTGGATCGAGAAGCAATACAAGACGCGCTCGAGCTACCGAAACTATCATCTCCCTCCTCATTGCCAAGATCAACGGTGGCCGAAGCAGTTCCTCCCAACACTTTACCTGTGGGCCGGGAGTCAAAATGACCTCTGGCAATTCTTAGATGCTCCTCTGGTCGAGGCACTCCAATCCATTTATGATGTCGTGTATTCAGAAGAATCAGATCTTGATTACAAGGTGACCGCTCAAGGGTCTGTCTTTGGCGTTGTAAGTCGCATTTTTTTTCTGTCACTATTACTAATGGTTACAATCTCAATCAGGCCACCCAATGTCTCGCAGAGTGGCGCAGCAATTTTGGATCAACGGGACTGGCTATTATGATGGATTTTTTCACTAGGAATGCTGACACTGATCCAGAAACACTTGCTGACGCGCTTCTGGAGGACTTCGCTTTCATTTATGAGGACATGGAAAACCTAGACCCGATGCAAGCCTTCCAGTCTCCATTCATGTTGCAGCTCTTCACAACCGCTCATCTTCACGCCATTCTCGGGCATGTTGAAGTCCCCACACTTAAAACATATGTGCTGTCCGTCGTCGGGATGACTGGTGTTATTGGCATTTGTGCAGCTTCAGTAAGTACTCTGTACATTCAAGTAACATTACTGATAATTCTACAGCTCGAGCGCGCCATCAAACGTCTCCGTGTCAATGCCATTGACATTGATGTGGACACCCTAGATCTGGGTCCCGCACAAATGAAGCGCAAGCTGCGGTGAAGGTACAACAATTCAGATGGTGAGTCTGAACAATGTTGGGTCTTGCAGAACCTAGCTGCTATTCGACCCTAAAGGGTTTCTGGACCAGGCTCAAGGCTCAGAGAAGAGGAAATATCATGAAAACTTGCTGAGTACTCAGACTCATACTGGTAACTGGTGAAAAGATAACTTGATTATGTAAGCTACAAAAGTGCAAACATAACACTAAGGTAAAAACAGTCTCTGCAAGCCCAGCCAGAAATGAATCCCTACAGCGGACACCGAAGACCTTCAACAAGGCCACCGGCAAGGATAGCACTACCGAGAATGCCTTCTCCATCAACAACTGGGGATCAGTAACTGCGTCATACGTGGTTGCTATCAAGGCGAAAGGAGATGACTACATGAGGACCACAACATTAACGGCTCGGAAATTGCTGAAGAAATCGGGCAGTGTCAGCCTCCAGAAGTACTTTCGCACTGATGATGACGGCTCAGAGGCCGTTGACATCCGCGCCATCCTGTGGTAATGAAGATTGATTCTTTTTTTCCTTTATTGACGAGCTGATATCATTCTATAGATGTCATTTCTGCACTGCTCACTGCAAGTTTCCAATTGTGCGGCGCCCGTCTTCAAACCATTGCATTTTGCCTATCCCACCATCACTCCGGTTTGCTCGTTTTGTTTTTCATTATCCACATTTCATATCCTTTAATCTCCTTTTCTTTTGTTTTACATTCATTTTCACTCTTACAATCACTGCCCTTTCTTCCTATTTTGACCACTTTTTCACACTTCACGTCGCCATTTACTCCATTTTAACCAATGTTTTGTACTTTGTATTGGACAATGTGACGCCGTTTGCACTATTATTACTGCTTTTTTTGTCGGTCAATGCCTAGTAAGTGACTTTTAAGAGCAATAAAGTAGAATTCAGAGGGCGAGTGGCCTTTTTCTCAAATTTTCCGCCGTCTCTTTCATGTCACCCCAATGGCTCCTCAAACCCGGTTAAAGTGAGAAAATAAGGATAAATTAGGATTCATCACCAAAAATAAAAGTGAGGTTTTACTGATGGGCCGCTAGGTGACCATGACATGTATGAAGATAGATAGCTGGATATCGCGTTCAACCATCGGTATATCAAGCCTCGGTAAAGGAAACGCGATGTGAACGTTCAACTGCAAATAATAGGAACATTGTATACTGACATAGAGCCCTTTTGATTTGTCATAAAATTTTCGCGTAAGTCACCCGAGTTTTCGCGAACTTCAATTGAGTTGGATGATCAACTCATGCGAGCCGGTCCTGTCAACACTCTGCTATAGTCATAGCCGGCAGTTCCTGCAATCTCTTCAATCCATGTATAGCGGAACAAGCTGGATCTGATACTTGCGTTTCGGGCCAACATCTACCAACGGGTCATACACGCTCATTAATTTGAAGCCCTATTACGATGGTTCTTCCCATGTAGGAAGGGATAGTACGCCATCAGCTGCCTTATTGTTAACCTAATCCTCCAAAGTCAGCTGAACTTCATTTTGGACTTCTATCTCGTGGTCCAAGTCCATTTTCATACTCAGAAATAGGCACGAGATGTGCAGTGCCTGTCGCGATTGATATCAATACCACTCCTCGACATCCACTCCTTATCAACTCGACTTTGTTGGTAGACGCAGCCCTTTTCCAGGCTTAACCTTATGGTTCGAAAACTGACTTTTGGGCGTGTCTTCTCGAGATCGAGGGACACCGACCGACCTCCAGCACATCCTTATAATCCACCACCACTTTCTCCGATCAGCATCGATTTGCCTCTCTCCCAAGGCAGCAAGTTTAAGGAGGAAGCTGTTTCTGCGATTTTCACGGCTACTGCCCCTACAGAGAGTATTACAGGCTCACTCAGGCCGTATCCCACTCCGAAGCTTCAGAAACGACCTCGCAGGGTCATCACGACTGCACCTCCTACACACCCCATGTTTTCACATAAATTCTCCCCGATATCTTCCATGGCTAATTCAACGGCTTCATTTGAGGTTTCGTCCCCGCTCTCCACGGTATGTTCATGTCATTCCTAATGCTGAATTATGCCAAGCGCCAGACCTATCCTTAGACTCAACAACACATTCCTTCTGGCATGACTTCGTTCTGCCCAGCCACGCATCCTGCTGAGTCTTTCACAGAAGACTACCGTCTCCAGATCCCACTCCACCAAAACCCCTACCTCGCCGTCCTCGAAAAGACATCTCCTGAACAATTCATGCGTTGTCTCCACCTCCTTCGCACGTCCCTCCCCACCAACCTCGATGCGGTGCGTGACATCATGCCAAAGCCCAACGGATTCGTGCATACGGTGCTTGAGGCATACAATAACCATCGTGCGCTCATCCTCCGCCCGGACGACGTCTGGACCGCGATCCTCATACAGTTCAGCTTCTTCGTGAGCGCAAATGCCGAGCAACTTAGTGCGCACTTTCCAGCCCACGGTCGGGAGGAACTCATCATCATTGGTGATGGAAATCGTCACACGGCAGATTATGCATTCTTGGCGCGCCAGATGTTGGACCTTATGCACACGCGTGTAGTGGATCCGATGCTGAGGGATTGGATCATGCCTGAATTTTCAACGACGACGGATGTAGACCGGACAGTGTACGCGATGTCCATGATGGCGACGATGAAAGAGTATTTTCGCTACAAGTTTGTACTACGTTGTGGGATACCGGTTGTGACCCTCCTGGGGGAGAGACATGACTGGGAGGCAATCCTTGAACGACTTGAACGACTAAAACTATACAGCATAGAAACAATAGCGTGGTATCACCTCCTGCACCCCATCATCTCTCGATTCGTAGCCGCCTTCGACGCGCCATCCAGCCCCGAAAACCTCGATTTCTGGTCCAAAGTCGCGCACTACGAGGGAGGCGGGAGCGGGCCGACCTACCTCTCAGGCTGGATCACCGCATTTTGCGTATTCAATGAGCAAGGCATGTGGCAGGGTCCCCCGCTAAATGCTGAGCGCATGCGGGAAGACGCGCCAAAGAAACTGCTTCGTCCTGTAGATCCACGGGTGCTGAGTGCAGCCCAGTTTGCTGCGGTGTACACTTTCCGTGGAGCGTGGCGTCCTTTCTTGGTGCTCGAGGGGATGCCGTATCCAATCATCGATGACGAATGTGTACCGTGCGGGTACGCTCATCTCGATGTGAAACTGGATGATCATGGACACTTGTTCGATACGGTGATTGTTGCTGGTGCAGTTGGCACACAGATCTGTTCGAATGATAAATCGGAGCTGTTTAAGAACGGGATGCGGGACAGCGTAAGGCCAGTGGTAGGGTATTGGTACTTTATCACCGGGGCAGGGTGATTATAGCGTGGGCTTCTGTGCTGCTCGTACTTGTTCTCTGTTTCTCAGAGCTTTCGTGATGTCTTGTTTTGGACAGTCCCGAGAACGCGCCCTCCGAGAGGTGTATATTATCTTACGTGGATGTCGTTTATGCTCACTTGTTACGATATAGGAGAGAGGATTACTACGCTGTTCCAGGTTGTTTTCCTACTAATGCTCGCGGAATATGCACAACACTTTGGATTTGGATGTGCAAATGCAATTCATCACTGACCAGGTGTACCCTGCGACGCACCGCTTAGATCCCAAGTTTCTACTCAAGTACACAGCTCGACCCGTTTCTTCTGCTGGAAGGAAATACTAACTACACATTGAAGCAAGCCAGACTCAAATCGGGAAGTTCTATGTCCACGCAATCATCGATATCCCGGACCGCGAATGGCCTCGTGTTTGATATCAAAAACGTTTTCAAGTTGCTAATCCCCATGTGGGTTCGCTCGTTGATGTAAACCGAGATCCGGGCAAGAGCTTCACATGTAAGTAAATGCATATTTCGAAATTCATGCTCTGCCTTTTGTACTAATATCTGGGCCGGAATGGCAACGTGCGACCACGAGCGCTTGGAATCCAGTGATTCGTACCTTAAGCTTATCGACACATGGCATACATGGCATGAATTGACCGGGTGGGCTATCAAGATATTCGTCACGTCGAGTATCCCGTCTTTCTTACTGAAGACCTGTTCCTGGTTGAAAATATGGTTCGGGAATTGACGAGTCCTCAAAGGGTACCCAGTCCCAGCGTGATTTTCAGTATTGCTCACTGACATGCCGCGGCCATCCTCCGGTTGGAGTGTCCCCCTGTGCGAAGAGTCGTAACACAAATTTCTTCCAATTTCTCCGTGACAATTTACCATCGTATCAGGAGGAGATCCAATCCACTTTCCGCTTGAGTGCAGAAAAGAGAGTAATAGCCATTCTAGATATCCTTCTACGCGGAAGAAGCTCCACTTTTCAATTCCCAATCTCCCATTGAAGGAGAACAAGTCGGACCATTGCATGATCGACGATTTTCAATTGTAAAATTCAAGGCACATGTACCCGGTGACAAATTGCGTTTTCATCCTAGTTTACCATTCTGTGATAGGTCATACATGTGTACTAGACATCCGTGCCCAGAGATTACGAATAAAGCTCTGACGCTGCTCACGCAAACAAATCTGTTCGCCCCAACGTCTCCGATATAACACCCACCACCTTCGCTTCAAACTCAAACACATCCCCACCACGGTATGCCACAAGGTCCTGAGGCATCTCCCTCTGTACTCCAAGCGCCTTCTCGAGGTTTGTCGTGGCAAGTGCGAGAGCCGTTGCGCGATCAATAAAACCATTGGACGTTAGGAGGAACTAGGAATATTATGGTTAGGAAAAGTGACATGACAGCAGGGTTTGACTAAACGCACCCAACCGGCTTCGAAACGTGTATTCCGGGTATTGTACTCATCAATAACTCCAATGGCTACATTGACACCTGCTTTCAAAAGCGCAGTGACCAGACTCTCCTGCGTGATCGGCGGGCCAGCAAGTCTATGTGATGGTCAGGTTAGCATCCTTAGTCGCAAATGAGAAAAAAACCGAAGATAGGACTAAGAAGAAAGGGCACAAGGATACTTACATCCTCCGCTGCTCCCAAGTCGACGGGAATGGCTTGCTCTGTGTGACGATCACGCTCACACCTGCCTTCGCAATCTCGTGCGCAAGGAGATGAGCTTCAGTTGCCCCCGCGAAGGTCATACGGAGCTCTCTCCCGGAATGAGCCTCGTACTCATCTTTGAGCCGAAGCAGCGTCGCCATTATGTCTGCATTCTCAACGTCCACAACGAGCGTGGTTTTACCCTTGATTCTAGATATCAGTGTTGATTCGATGCGGGGGAAACACCCTAAGCCAACCTTTCTAACCCTCCTGAGCACCTTATCTCCACCCTCCCCAAACAACATGTTCCTAAGTGCCGCTATCTGCGTACTTACACCTATCCTTGAAGACATGCTTATGCCCACATGTAATGCGACTTCATCAACAACGCTCGCATTTTCCACGTTTGCATGCGCAGCTCCAGGTGAGAATGCAGTAGATACGCCCTGCAGGAAGGTCCCAGAGGGAGCAGTGATGGCTGTTGTAACGCCACCGCGATAGGCTAGCCTGCAATCCAAAAAGTTAATTCAGAAATGTAGACCCTGGATGAAAAGAATACACACAGCAAATTCTGACCACCAAACATGGGCCCGTCTTGTGCTCTCATGATCGTGTCACCCAATATGGCAGGGAGATCCCCATCGAGAGGGTTATAGACGCTTCCATCGTTCGTGCTCGGCTCGAGCCTTATCTCCACTAGCCCCAGCGGCGCACCAAAGCTCGTCAGTCCAGGTGTGATCGTGCCGCCTTCAAGGTCCACGATATCGACAGCCCCCTCTGCAAAATCCGAGCATTGACCAACACATACTACTCGGCCATCTTCCACGCCCACCGATCCCACCTTCTCAGAAACATGCACCACCCCACTCGAGCCCCCACCTCTCATATAAAGCCCCGAGACATTCACGAATAACGCCCCTTTTACGCTCCGAGGTCCAAGAGGTGGAATGCCTTCGTGCGCGACCGCTGCCACCTTCTCAGAATCGAAATCGGGCGTGCGTGGGGACGTGGTGGGCCCCTTGGCGACATGGCGGCCGGGATGGGAGAGCTGAGGGATACCATCAATGTAGACCTGAGTGGGCGTTGCAGCAAGCGAAAGTGGATGAGAGGACCAAATCACAACATCTAGTTCCGATTAGACAATTGGACTGATCTTGCATATATCCAGACTGCGAGCATGACGTACCGGCATCATATCCTGTAATCCAACCGAAATTCAAATTCTTCATTGAACTTATATAGTAGTCTTACATACCTGCTTTGAGCATTCCAATCCGATGGCCCATCCCCATGGCAGTAGCAGGAGTATACGTAACGGAGAGGAGCGCGAGTGCGGAGTCAAGGCCATAATAGTGCGCTTGGGCGGCTTCGTGCAGGAGGTAGCGGGAGTTGACAACTGGGTGGTCAGACTGCAAGTACAAGTTAGTTGGAAGCAAGATCGAAGTTTCATGATGGAAGTGAGTGAAAACAACATGCATCAAGGATGAAGCGAAAGATCAGTAAATCATGATCATTATGTAAAATATACATACGAGTTGCGTGGCGCCACACACACACACGAGTACATGTATAGAAGAGCACGTTGACGTAGCATAAATAAAGAAGGAAGTGGGGTGGAGGAGGACATTTACCTTCATAACAACGTTGATTCCATGCTCCGCCAGCACGCGCGGTGCGAACTCCGATCCTCGATATGCCTCGCGTTTCTTCCTTCATGCAAGATCAACTGCATCAGCAGATTTGCAGAAGTCAATCCATATATACGTACCGGAAGTTGGATGCAAAGAGTGCTATGGCAGGTGTGCCACCCTAGTGGAAATGAATGTCATTAGATGAAGTTGTGAACGGGCACCGAGGAAAGAGGAAAGACTCACCCAGGTCTTCTTCAACAAGTCCGGAACAAGGTACGTTTCTCCAGCATGATGGAACGATGCTACTGGGAACTCGAACTCGTTCGTAAGCTGTTCATGCCCATACATTAAGCAACCACATGCGCATATAAATTAGAAAAGAGAAAACTTGAACGTACACGGACGATTCCATCGAGATCAACTGCCTCATAGCAGTGCACGGAAAGCCTCACACGTCCTCGGAGTACATCGACAAGAGATTCCCATTGCAGGTCTTCAGGAAATGCCTTTCCCGCGAGGTCGTCCCAGGAATTAGACTCTGCTTTGGCGCAGAAATCGTCTTGAGCGTCGCGCAGCTTTCGGGCACTGTCGTAGGCGGCGCGGAAGTTCCACCCAGAGTCAAGGCGCGTCATGCCATAGACACGAGAGGGGTTTTCACCTTATGGGTGAGTGAGCGAGGATAATAACGAGGCGTCTTCTAGGACATACCACATGCATGTCTGTCGGGTATTATCGAAAGCGAGGAAGATTTCAAGGTAAATAAGAGAAGATGGAGGGAGTGAGATAACAGACTTCATGTGTCGCCAGCGGGGCGTGAGAGAGTGGTCAAAGTGAGAGCCATTGAGGGTGTAAGGAGGCTCAAGAAGCATGGAAGAAGGCGAACGTTCGGCTGTAGGACGAAGCTTCATTATGAACGCTTGGCCACCTAGTAGACAAGGTTTATGATGAGCAATTAGACAATGTGTGTATTGAGACAACTCTGACCGATATCATTTGCGCTCCCAGGGAGGATTTGCGCGGTTGTGACGCCTCCAGCTATGGCGAGTTCGTATGATGCGTCATGGGTGTTCAACCCGTCGATACTGCGCAACCAGGGCAAGATGGGGGCCTTGCGAGAGTTTGTGTCGCGTGCACCTGCAGGAAATGGTACCTTGTAGTTATTGTCAATGTAGACTAGCAAATGAACGCACCATTTAGCTCAGGCACGCTACCGACACCAATATGGGAATGTAAATCTACAATACCAGGGGTCACCCACGCTCCGTGAACATCAACGACCTCCAATTTCCTGTGTTTTGACTCCACCTGCCGAATCAGGGAAAGAGGAACATCCCCGATGGCTTTGATGAGACCGCGGTGGATGAGGAGGTCACCATTGAGAACCTCGTGGCCGTCATTAGCAGCTGTCCAGATAGTCGCGTTGCGCACAAGAACGGGAGCCGTGTTCTCGGAATCTGCGTAGCGGTCACTCTGGGTGCGGTCGTGGAAATTGGGTGGAGGCCCGGGTTTGGAGCGTATGTAGGCACATTTGGAGAGGATCTGGGAGCGACGGGCAAACTCCTGTGGACTGGATTGAAGAAACGCAGAAGAGATCAAGGTCGAGGAATGGAAAGGAACGATGCAGACAAGTGCGATGGCAAACAAGACTAGGTAAGCCCAACGTCGAAAAGGAGGGCGGGTCGCCAACGGTGAGCTACCCATTGTGTTAGACGGTGCCAGGCGAACTTGACTTGAGTCTTGTCCACATCGTAATAAAGTGTTACGTTCGTGGGGAACATGTCGGTAGTATTGGGGATAGTAGCTTCGAACGAACCGAACTTCCGTAGGGGGGCCGCGAATGACTTGAATCTCAACTTGGTGTGATTATTTTCTATAAATAGTACCCTTCTGATAAAACCGTATGCATTGCCGCTACCGACATCATCCACGTGATTTTGACATGTCTGTTCACTGCGGCGAAAATTTCAGAGCGACTAGAGACACAGTACGGATTCTACTACGGAACTCATTCACCACGACTCAGAGCCAGCAAGAACATATCTCACTGTCCCATCGTACTGAAACGCGGCCACGACCGTCTCCGAAAGCTATGCAAACCTGAGAATTGACCAGTGACCACGCACATCAGATTCAGACAGGCTAGTGTCCCAGTTCGATTGTAAGTCGAGATAAATTTCAGTGATCTCTTGGTTCAATTTCCGTTTGGATCGCAGAGAGGCCCCACAGAACCACATGTATGGCATCAGGGCGTCTCGGTCGTTACGGTCACCTAATGTGGATACTGAGAGTGCTTCCTGGTGATTCCCGGTTGACTATTAATCTCTTTTATACTGCGTGGCCAATAGATCAGGCTCATCCAAAATCACCCACTTACAACGGTGCAATATGGCAGCTCCGAGCGCTTCAGCGATTTCAAAGTTGCACCCGCAACCAAGTGGAGATGAGGCGACTCTCGCCAAGCTAGGATATAAGCAGGAATTTTGCAGGGAATTCACTCCGCTAGAGGTGAGCTTGATTTCAGACTCTTCCATGTACACGACACAAGCTAACAATCGCAGGTGGCTGGACTTGCATTCAGCTATGTTGGAGTGGTTCCTTCTATAGTGTAAGTTGTCACTATGATGCAAGCCAATTTAAATTAATGATGAAATACCGGTTAGCTCCGTGCTCTTCTATGCAATACCAAACGGTGGGCCTTTCGCGATGGTTTGGGGTGTAAGCTGTCATCACACGTGGAGATTGCTGTTTTGTAACGTCTTACGTTTCCTCTGTGCAGTGGGCATTTGCTTGCCCCTTTATTCTCTGCACCGGGTTGGCGTTGGCAGAGCTCGCATCAGCAGCACCTACTTCTGGCGGCGTATGTCATCGACCCTGTCGCTGTTTCACACTTGACTCAACACAATCTAGCTATACTATTGGACTTACTCTCTCGCTTCTCCACGATGCCGCAATTTTCTGTCTTGGATAGTTGGCTGTAAGTCCTGCATTTCGATGCAACACGCAGCCAATCCTGACATCTGCCAGATTCGAATACCATAGAGATGATCACGGGAGTTGGTAAGACGGGTTTCATTCTCTCAACAGTCTCCCCCTGATCACGCATGCTAGCTTCCGTAAACTGGGCTTGTACAATTCAAATCGTCGCAGCAATCACCATTGCCTCCTCTGACCAGGTATATACGGCTACCAGCCTGCAGCTCTAGTAAGCTCGTTCTCATGCAGACATGTCACTCTTTATATTTGGTTGTTATAGTGGTATATACGCAGCTTTGGGTTTGTCACAAGCTGTCATCGTGAGCCTCGGTACCAAAGTTTTGGCAAGGTTGCAGAGACTATTCACGTTGGTGAACGCATCGTAGGTGTTGTAGAGTTCGTACATGATCATTTTTCAAATCCTCCAATAGCCTTTGCTTCATAATCATCATTGCGCTTCCGATCGCGACGCCACCGGATTATCGAAACAGCGCAAATTTTGCGCTAGGGGAATTCACTAACTGTATGTATCATTGTCCAATTACGCCCGCAGCTCACAATTAGTTGTAGTGGCCGGCTGGCCCTCCGGATTCGCATTTATTTTGAGCTTAATGGCTCCTCTTTATACAATAGGTTAGATCATATTCTCTCGAATCATTGCTCCATGACCATCTTTAATCCACCAGGGGGTTATGATGCTAGCGTCCATATGAGCGAAGAGGCCTCAAATGCCACTATGGCGATACCATGGGCGATAGTAAGTAACACTAAAAATGACCAATTACTGTATTTATCTCAGTCAGGTCAGTTCCATTATTGTATCAGCCTTCCTTGGTTTAGGTATGTGGAATGACATGTCACTCTGATCTTGATGACATATTCTGATCCAGGAATCAACATCTCCCTTGCCTTTTGCATGGGCACTGATGTCGGCGGCGTCTTAGACGGCCCTCTTGGCCAGCCTATGGCACAAATCTTATTCAATTCGCTCGGGCAGCAAAAGGCCCTGGCTATATGGTGTCTCATTATTATAGCGGAGTACGTTTTAGTGCCGTGTTGCGTATTCCCAGCCTAACCATAGAGCAGGTACATGGTAGCAGCAAACTGTCTCCTGGTCGGTTCTCGTCAGACGTTTGCATTTGCTCGTGATGGAGCCCTACCTTTTTCACGGTATTTGTACCGGATCAATCGCTACACAGGAACACCCGTCAATACAGTTTGGTTCGAAATCATCTGCTCTCTGGCAATTGGACTTTTGTCGTTCGTGAGCACCCAAGCAATCGATGCCGTATTCACGATTGCTGTCACCGCATCGTACATCGCGTACATAACGCCGATCACGAACCGCTTTGTGTTCAAGAATGATTTTAAACCCGGTCCGTTTTATCTGGGGAAACTGGTGAGTTAATCGGCGCGATGTATTCTTGAACTAATATGCCTCGGCAGAGCTTTCCGGTCTCTGTGATCGCTGTGGTGTGGATGACCTTCATGAGCTTTGTTTTCTTCTTTCCCGCGACTCCGCAAACGACGGTACAGGAGATGAACTATACAGTTGTGGTGCTTGGAGGGTTCATGTTTCTGGCGATTTCCTGGTATTATTTTCCGGTGTACGGAGGCGTACATTGGTACACTGGACCCGTTGCCAACTTTACGCCGGCCACCAGAGACGAAGATTCTATATCGGAGAGGAAGGATGAACATGATGCCGATATCTATGTTGAAGCGGTGGATGTATAAGTAGTGTTCGTATAATACTGTCGTGAAGTCAACGGTATACAAAGATGATACATATGTATTCAACAGAGCAAGAATATGAGGTGTGCCGAGCGGGGACTCGGAGTAGAGAATTAAATATTCGGAGCTGACTGTTAATGCCATGACTCACCACGACATTCCGACATTGCATCCATACATATGTTGATCGGAGCCGCGCCATCGCCAATGCAAGTGTAAATCGTGCAACGGGTTTGCGTCCTTGCAATGATCTGTTTGAACTCATCATGCGACGTACGGATAGCAGAGTAAAGGGTCGATCGAGATACATACATATATCCACCATCTGGACCATCGAGCGAACGGAAAGCGAGGGAACTGTAAAGTAGAAGTAGCGTGTTTGAGCTCAGACTGTAGACAACTGATAAGCCAAGGGTTCTGCAGCATCATTGGACTCTCGCCTTCAATTGCAGACTGTCCAGGCAGAGTGCCCTTTCCATTCAAGGTAGCTGCGGAGCGGCCATCCCAAGTACTATCGATGGAGGCATGGACATTGGATAATGCCTTCGCTCATAGACGCCACGCGATAAACGAGGGCAAGCTTTCATTGTCATGTGTTTAAATTGTGAATACAGGAAGCCTTGTCAGTGTTTCTGATGACGGTACATGCACGGGTCAACGAGAGTAGTACTTGTCGGAGTTTGAAGAGACAAAGTGTAGAACTTCGACGCTCCATTTGACTCGGAACTGCGACTCACCCCTCACTGCACAAATCAACGACTATTCTATCCACGTGTGGTAGTCCAGTAGATGCAACGACATGCAGCCCTTGTAAGTCAGTCTACTGAAGAAAAATTGCATCTCGTCTCCATGAATAAGGACTTTACGAGTCGCTGAATGCACCTGGTTCGGCACTGTCTCGGTCACCGTGAGGTGAATTTCTCCGTTTAGACAATACTTCTTCCACAGAACTGACATTCAATCACAGAATAGTCGTCTGATAGACGCCCATGCTGATATATAAACATAGTTCAGTTTACTCAGAGCAGATATAAACGGAACACCCTTGAATTTATCCTCAACTTCAATCCCTCGTGCTCCCTGCGAAGTTTGAACTGGTTTTTGGCTTCATCGCGTTGCAGGACGCGGACAAGGCTATAGCTCGGAAGCGAACCTTGTAATGTCTCTGAGGTTGATTGGTGCGTTGGGTTTTTCACAAGGAGGGACGGGTGCAGGTGTTGACTCAGTGACGTAGGCATCTGCAAGGTGGTTAAGATGGCACTCGACTATGTTGATCGCCCGATTCACCTGAGCTTTGATATTGACGCGCTCGGCCCCAGTGTTGCACCTAACGCGGACAGTAAGCATTTTTATTTTTATTTTTATTCTTGATAGTCAGTGCTGCATCGGGTGGGATGGAGTCAGTCATATGTTTGCACGCTTTTGATGACGTAGTGCGCACCGAAATACCTTCTGATGGAGATGTGTTTCGAAGGTCACGTATCCTGAGTCTGATAGCTCACTCACTACAGGCGGGCACAGCACACTGACTTACGCAGATATTTTATACATCGTTTATCCCGTTCCATTGGGACTTGGAACTACAAAGACTTCGATTTGTTGTAGGAATGTCCAAGTCCACGATGGGTAGACGATGTCTTCCTACGCCAACCTATTCCAAGTGAAATAAAATGAAGTCAATAACCAGCACTCGCCAAAATCCCGCAGGTGGGTAGTGGCCTTACAGGACACCACAACTGTGAGGCGATTTATGAGACTGGTGTATTCGTCGCGCTTGACTTGACGGTATGTCTGTTACTTTCGCTCACATAGTCCCTTGACGACCTGACATGTTCCCCGGAGACAGATCGCTTGTGGACGTGGAGAGCATACGCGAGACTGTAACGTGAGGTGCTTACTAAAGAGCACAACGACCCACTATTCTATGAGAGGAGAGTGGTTGCATGGGTTGCTGAAGCGTGGAATTCGCATCCAATGTCCTTGTGGAGTGTGCCCGACAACCCGGAGACGCGGCCTTCTATTGGTGGTTGCCCATATACCTACACCGTTAGTATTAATAACTTGGCTTCCTGTCCGTTGTGTTTATATTAATGAATTTTGTCGATAGATTCTGAATATACAATTTCAGATGGCAATATTAAGTCTGTCGATAACGTCTGGAGCACATACAGGAAGAACATACCCAGCCAAAGGGAGAATACCCTCGATTCAATAATATTTAACGTGCCGTGTTCGATGATTACGAATAAATACCCATTTAAACATATCCACAGTCGCGTCGGGGAATATCCGGGTGGCCTGCGTGTTATACTATTGTTGGAATCAAGGTCAGTGGATGCATTGCTTTGCATCTGTGTTGCTTGGCCCGGGGTAACAATTTGTTGACCACAACGCGACAAAGGGACGCGTTAAGACTAAGCGCGACGATTCATCGCCTAGTAGTGGTTGCTTCAACAGTTTAAATACTGCAACTTGCGTCTCTTTCCTCCTGTTCAACATCCATCGCATTTTGCCTTGCGCATCTCCCATCTAACTTGTGTACTGTGGGTCACTCTTGTATACTTACTTCACCTTCTGACACTCACCTCGTCCTGCCACAGACTGTAGCCTCGCGCCATACACACTTCATCTCAACTATTCTAGATAATTCAATATGTACCAGGAGCCGATTCAAACGGGCCAAGTGCCAGTCCAAGGCCCACCTCAACATCCTTACCCCCCAATGATGTACCAGCAGGCTCAAACGGGCCAAATGCCGGTCCCGGGCCCACCTCAACCTGGATTTCGTCCTTACCCCCCAATGATGTACCAACAGCAGAATCAAATGGGCCAAATGCCAGGCCCAGGCCCAGGCCCGCCTCAACCTGGGTTTCATCCTTACCCCCCAATGATGCCCCAGCCTCCACTTGTGCCCTCGCGGTTCAGGCCTTACCCCCCGGAGGTCTACGTATATTGTTATCAACAATATTTACACGCAACTGGCCAAGTCCCCGGGCCGCCAAACCCAGTCCCTCCCCCTCCCCCTCCTCCACACCATTTGGGTGGGTATCCCCCCGCCTTCCAGGGTATGGGTGTACCGCCAGCGGCTGCGCCGCCTCAATATCCTTCCGCACCCCCCTTGGCACAACCTTCCCACGACACGCATTTGGAGCAAGGACTAGAGGAACAAGCACCAGTAGCTGACGCTGAGGAGAGCGCTGTCAAGCGCGGAAAGCGCAAGGCGGCGGACTTGGATGACGATGATGCTCCCCCACGAAAGAAGCAAACGATTTCCCCCCTTGTTGACTACCCCGATTTCGTGAGTCCATTTTGTATTTAGTTCTAGCTATCATGCTGACAATTGTTTCATCAGGAACTGGTCCAAAACAACGGCGAGGTCCGTTACAAGTGCTGCCTGTCGCAGTGCGAAAACGTGCCTGCAGTGCCACGCGCTGGCATACAAGATCATATCAAATCGAAGAAGCACCCGCAGGTCAGGTCTCGGTCCCCATCCCTAGAATATTACGAGGCGTAAGTACTATGAGGCTTTTAAATGTGACTTTGGAGCTGATATGTGAATTTTTGCTAGTGTAAATGACGGGGACTTTTCGAACATAGGCGACTCTTGTTCCAACAACCAGCAAGAGACTTACGGGATATCTCAAGGAACTTGCGAAGGTTTGACTTCGAACGAGCCGTTTGGACCTTTTTCTAACAGTTTTGAAGAAACTACCGATTTGACTTCGAGCGAGTCGTTGGAAACGTCCGACAACAGTCTTGACGAGACTACGGATTCGGGTTGGGACGAGGGGTTCAACGATTTTTTCGACATCGAAGCAGCTTGCGAACCAGTTTTTGGCGAGCAGATTGAAGAGTCGATCAACAATCCTGAAGAAACCATCGATTCGGCTTCGAGCTCGCTTGACGACAATCTTTATGGAACTGTCGATTCGGCTTCGGACGAGCAGTTGGAAGAGTCTACCGACAGCGCGGAAAAGAGTGTTCACGAAATGGACAATATGTCATCGGAAGAGTTGCTTGAATACTGTATCAACCATCTTGATGAAACTTACAACTTTACTTAAGCTCTGGGTGAGTCGTTGGATGATATGTTACATTGTTTCTTTTTCTTTCTAGGTATTTTGAATCGTTGCAGCTTCATCCTTACTATATCTTATGATTATGACATACTGTGAATCCGAATACATACAAACTATGATGCATGCTAGCTACAAGTCGGTCTTGCTGAACTCGTACAAAGTACGTCGTGGGGCGAATTCGGAAAGGTATGAACTATAGGCTGTACTCAGTCTGCCTTTGAAGTTTGAGTCAATTAAGTTTCAAACTTTCTATTCACCACAGTAATATCTACGGTCTTCGATCCCCGTGAAATCTTTGAGTACCTACGCTGAGGACCCCTATATACATGCTCATGCTGTATTTAGCATACTTGGTTGTCTCTGCATCTGTTCCTGCATGTCGAGTCCAAACAGAGTGGAGTGAGCATAGCCCACTTCGTTTAGATCCGCCCTCTTTCGTTTAATTACGAGGGCGAGCTTTGCGACCGTACTAGTGATACCGTTGGACCCGGCCTTTGGGGTCGAGGGTGGCCCGGGCCCGGGCTTCTCAGTTTGGAAACACCAGGCGGCCAGTTTTTTCCGAGTCTGCTCTGACCGACACGACCACTTGAACGGTGTAGGTGATTCAAGCACTTCTTATGATGTATCAATCTTCCGAGATACTACTCCTTCAGCTTTAGAATTAGCATCAGAGTGCGCGGGTACCTAGGTTAGTCAGGATCCGAGGCTGTTGGGGTAGAATTCAATCTCGCATGGCTGAATTTGTTTTCCGTGCACTTATAGCTAGAATGACAGGCCCAAAGGGCCGTACTCAACATCCTTGGCGTTGACCCTCTGGATTTCAGGCCAAGGCAGGTCCGATACATCCGACTACTTTATATCTAGTAGGTGAACTTATTACAAATTCAGTTGTACTGAATTGAACTCTACCGCAACAGCCTCGGACCCTGACCAACATAGGTACCCGCACGCGTAGATTAAACATTTACGTTCACTCTGGTTACTGTTCTCCCTCAAGCTGTCCCATGATTTCACGCGTGACGCAGTGTACGCATCATTCGAAACTCAATTCCACTGTAGACAATGCCACCTTGGGTATAAAGTTACCCAACATATTTGGCATACAAACAAAACCTAGAAACCGCCTTTGAAAACCCTCAAATTCAACTTCTAGTTAACATGCTCTTCAAGTGGATAGCTGTCTTTGCTATATCTGCTACGTTGGCTGAGACAATCGAGCTAGCGTTCCCTCAGAATGGGGACAACTTCTGCCCCAGTCAGGAAGTGACCGCTCAGGTTATTCAACCGGTTGGTAGTTGCTTCGCTTCTCAGCATCATGCGTCACTCTGACAACTTCGATCCTAGCAATCCATGGCATCTACCGTTCAGGTTGGCATTGCCTTAGGAATCGCTAACTGCGAGAACGGTTCATGCCCCGACCCTGCAGACGGCTTAGGATCTTATCTTTATGCAGGCCCTTGGACATCTGAGGCCATGGGCCTCCTTATGGTTACTACCAGAACTTCATCGTGACAATACCGTCTTACCTTGCAAAGGGTCCTGCTATCTTTACGCTCACGCACTTTTGCCTCATTGGGGTACTCAGTGATTATCTTCATTCCTAGTCTAAGGCTGATCTTGTAGGCGGATTGGTACCCGTTCCTCGAATTTCGCAACGCGACGGTGAACATCAAATAACAATAGATGTTGAAGCTTTCAAGCGGCCCAGGTAGAACTTTTGAAGCATTCGGAAGTCGACCGGAACCAATGTTGTCAGCCACAGACAGCGCCAGTAGAGATACTCAGGATATTGGTTTAAACATTGCTAGCGTGTATAACAAAGCACTTAACTAAATACTACGACGAAAACTTTTGTATGTCTCCTTGAAATATAATTCGAAACACCAAATAAACTTAATCAATGCCATCACGAAAGCGCGAATAAATAAAAGCAAATTCCCCTGCTCCTTGGAGAGTACTAGAGAACCGTTAACTTCACCTAGCATCACACACTATTGTCAGTCGATATATGCACACGCTCTTGGAAAGCGATTGAGGTCATGCCGGTTGCTGCATCAGAGTCGACCACGAGCTCAGTGTGATATTTTCGAACGCTAAGAATCAGGCGTGGTCCCAGCACACACATCTGCCCGACTAAGAAAATTTGAAGAAATACAGAATAAGTCTGAACTTTCAGGGGATTTTTGTCCTATAGAAATGATGAACCATGGTCGCATGCAGAGGTCAGTAAAATATTGACATACCACTGAGAGTACTTCAGAGAAATCAAATATGAGCTGGAAGCAAGACGTAGCAACAAAGCTACCACCACCGAACCCTCAGTGAGAGGAATAATAATCCCAGCGTGAGCTCACCTCACAAAGTAAACCACGTGAGCTTTCACCAATACCGTGAAACAGTCCCCGGTAATACTTCCTGTCGAATATTGTCGCAATTCGCTGAAGTGTTTCACAGCAATCCAGATTGCGAGACATAATGTGAGGACCTCCCACACCGTTCCGAGTATCCAAATAATGAGATCCAGACGCAAGCCACCTTCTCCAAAGTCAATCGAGCACTGATGAGTGCCAGAAAGAATAAGTTCCTCTGGTACACATCAATGAGCACTATGCACGTTTATCTTTATCCACAATCAAGCGTACCTCCTGAAACATATAGAGTTATCATTACAACGGCCACTCCGTTAAAAATGTTGTCAGCCAGGCAGATGACACTGAGAAATATCAGGATCTTTCTGGATCGTTGATACATAGCATATAACCGAGTGACCACGATGACTTGCAGCATGTTTCAGTCAAGGAAATAACTGTCGCAAGTGCCAAGCTCACCCCCCAGTATTGGAAATATCAAACCACCGAGACAATACTGTACGATGTACGAAATAACGCCTAACGAATCCAGTCAGTGGCAAGCCTCGGGTAGCACACACTCCAAAATGGACTCACATCTATGGCAGTATAGTGTAGCAGTCATTAGTGAACTAAGAAGTTAGTAAAGGATCACACTGACCCCTACAGGACACCACGGTCAATTGAAGGGGGATGGTAGGCATCTGTGAAGGAAACTCACTGTATCTGTTAGCGAGATGGTTGGAAGACAGTCTGTATGCCGTTGATTAGGAGAAGCGAAGGCAGCGAATATACTAAGGAGACATACTCAACATAGCCACACTGATTATGAGAGATAGACAATCAATACGACATTGATTATTTGACCTTCTGAACATACGCAGTACATAAGATTCCAAGGTAGCGCACCTAGGATACGTTTAAGTCAGCATAACATGGAAACTACAACAAATAAGCCGCATACACCGAGATACAGAACTGTCATTAGGGACCAGCGTTGGCCCTGGAATTAAGTGTACATTCATGTGTGTTCCTCTGACATGATACTTCACTCACCCAGATCAGTTCGACCTAGTATAAAACCATTGTTAGCGAGATGGCCGCCCCAGCCATAGCATTGACACACCTCCTGTCCGAACGAAAGTGCTGAGTAGTTCCAGGATATCAGTAGTCCTTTAATATCGTCATGCTCACCCCAATCATATGTCACTCCAACAAAAGTGACAACTGCAAAACCGCAAGGTTAGAATGAGTCAGCTTCAACATTCAACTGCTCTGCACGAACCTACAAGATAACTGGAATAACGATATCCGTTTATGGTCGGCCACAAAGTGGGATCGTTTAAGACTATGGTCATATTGGTAGAGAATGAGTGTGGGTGAGAGGCAAATCAAGTTGGTGGACGTACTATGGCAATGAGATATACCATGTGCTTTAAGTACCAAAACGAGGTCGAGAGATTATATCCGTTCCTGCAGTGCACATTACCCAAAGTAAGTATTTTCGTATGAAGAAAGATGAATTCAATCCAGGTGCGTAACATAAATGTTGGTCGTGAAGCAGTCAGTGTCACTACTCTGCCTCCATCATCGGACTTTGTATCACCCTGCCAAAAATGGCAAGTACAGAATCCTCAATTTGCAACGTGGCGTGGTACGACTCAGACACAGCTAGAGACATGCAGTACTCTTTAGTAAGACCAGTGGAGTTTGTGATTACATTATCAATACCATCTTGATTTTGTTGTCTGCAGCTCGCAGTCTACAGCTGCCACGTCCTCTCCCCGGGAGGTGAACCTAACCGCGATGGCAAGCTGAAAGGACGGGATTGGCGTGGCAACGATTGGAACATACACAGCAGGATGCGTAGCGGTATCTGACGTGGACGACAGGGTGCTTTAAGACAACAGACAAACCTTTGACCGACGCCCGGACCTTTCTGACCATATCGCCCAGACGTGACAGCCAGACTATGTATAAACCGGTTATTTCATACATTTCCTGAGTCCTCGGGTTGTTTTCCTCTTGTCATTTCCCGAATGTCGTCCATTTTGAATGCCGTCGCTTCTTCCAAGTACCGCCCACCCATGTCGATCACTTGGCCCTCCTGTGTCTTTGGTCATCTCCAATGAACTATTGGTCAATAAAGGAAACTTTGGTCTCCACCGGCGTCTTGCACCGGAGTGTAAACGGGTATCCAGTATGCGCTTCATCGCAGTGCAGAAGTATCTCATTAACATTTTTTTTGGTTAGTCTCTGCCCTCGCTCCGTCAATGTTCCTACTTGCGAGACGCTGTGTTATTGACGCTCACAATATCAGCATCGATCCTCAAGGCAAGTCGTTTCAACATACCTCCCTACAGAGTTTGGATGAAACTCATCTGAGCTAGAGAATCTTACGTGTGCCGGAGGCGTCGCTCGCATCGGTTTCTCCATGCTCCCTTGCATCAATCGAATTGGCTACTGCAAGTAGACAAATAGGACAGAGGCGTGAAGTGAGGTCAATGGACACACATCCAATCTGTAAAATCTTAGATGAACGTATTGGGTATTGGGAGCATAAGGCGTGTTTGGCAGGAAGGTCTGGTACTGGTGCCGTGCTTTTGTATAGCGATACTGCATGCTGGTTGATTCGTTCGTATCCTGTCGTCGTTCTTTGTCGCGGTTGACTATATGATACACAGTTCTTGCCGATCACAGCTCATAGCTAACGCGGATTTGGCAATGCGAGCAAGCTAACCCATCGATCGCCCCTAAACACCCTTTCTTTGTTTTCTTACCTGATTGTGACAGGCAGAAATGTCACTTCCTGCCTTGGACCGCATGTTCATAACCTCAGCATGGTTACAGTCTATAATTTATGGCATGCATCCTGATACAGCGTATAAATTCAATGCTGATGTTCCGCTCGACAGGAGTCAAGTGAGTTGAAAGGGAGAAAGGACCCCAAAGGCTTACACTGAGCTCATTTTCATCGATAGCTGCGTGCTATTTGGCATATGCATGTATGCCATATTCATTCGGAACAAAAGGGCACATTGGTTCGTGCCATCACTCGTTCAATTACCTCCCGGCACTCAACTTTGGATCAGGATTGTTCCTCTTTCATGCATTTTCCACTTTTCAATGGCGACAGCGCACATCATCATCTCCTTTTTATATACTCTGCAGGGCCTCACAAATCCTGCTGTAACATCCGTCCCCAACGGAATTGTCTTGTACTTTGCCAGTGTTACAGCTTTGTGGTCGACAATGATAGGATTGTATCTTTTCAATGTGGGCATCGTAGTTCTATCGTGAATCGCACTTAATCATGTCTTCTTTCAGGTTCTTGTTCTGCATTTCCTGCTAGTGAGTAACTGCTTGTGTGTGGAAATGTTGAACCTAACACTTACGACAACAGATCTGGAGGTTTTATTTGGTTTGGAATCGTAACTTGATCCTTGCTATCATCCTGGTAAGATATCGTTACTTGTCGCACTTTAGACGAGTATTGAGATCGCTAGCTCATCCTAGAAGTTGGACACCTATGTGGGCCTGTTTACTTGAGTTGGCTGGCAGATTATGCGCTAAACATTACTCTCCTGCGTAGCAACTGCTTTAGCGGCCTGGTCTATAGTCACTCATTCCCGTGTCGCCTTTGCATCGGCTGCCTGGGCTTTGGCGACGGCTGATTTCATATTCAACCTCGTTCTCACTATTTGTCTCACGACCGGGATCGCCTATCGTCTTTGGCGCGCGGGAGCTGATACGTTTGGTTTGACCGGTCATAATGCCTACAAACCTGCTATATACACCATCATTCAGTGCGGTGCAATCTATACTAGCAGCATCGTGGTAATATGCGTTCTACGCCTTTCCGGGAAACCAGCTGGTCTCGTGGCACCTTTCGTCGGCATTCAGTTTGCCGTCAGCATTTTATACTTCTTCTTTGTACATAGTCTCACATCCTTCTAGACCTTGACCCCTCTTCTTCTCATCGTCAGTCTTGAGTTTGGCGTGAGGCATGACGAGGCATAGACATTGCGGAACACGCTTTCGCTCAACCAGTCCAGGTCAATATCGCTGAGGAGACCCGTACTTGCTATGGCAACACCATGGATCCATGACTCACCCGGAAGAATCAGAGACTGCGTGCATATGGTGGCAAAGAAAAGGGACGACATTTCATAGGTCTTTTCTTCTAATGAGACATCAGACACTGGGATCCACGTTCGTTCAACCAGTTCAGGCTAAAATCACCGAGGAGATCCGTACCTACCCTGGTGACACCGTGGATCCATGGCCTACTCGGAGGAATCAGAGTCTGCATGCAAAGAAAAGGGATATTAGCTAGGAGTATCTCATAGGTTTTTCCTTGTAACTGGGGGGGAAGGGTAGACATGCTATTGCGTCGGTGTTTACACCGTAAAATGATCTGAACAATAAACTTTTATGCGCTATCTCTATGCTTGGTATTGGCCATTGTTACTTGCGGCTCGGCGAATACTCTTGCCATGACCAATTTTCCTCTTACCTCTCACGAACTCGTCAGCATCCACGGCTTCAGCACCACCACGCCTAACAAAATCTGCATCGATCGTAGCAGAACGAATCTCATCACTATTTCTTCATCAATTCTAAATGAAACGTAGTCTCGTGGACTCCGGAAATGCATAAAGGTGTGTGTACATCCTTATTTTCAATGATACACAACTAAAAAAAAGCGACAACAGAACGGGCAGAACATGTTCCCTCACTTCAACTTCAACTTCAACTTCAACTTCAACAGAGACCAGCGCGTTGTCTTGCTCTTGTCTCATTCATTGCTCCCCTTCGAACTCGTATGCATCCTTACACACTATTCAGTGTTGGGTAAGCAGGTGAAAGACAAGGTCACGCACTGTCTGAGAGCGGGATGCGGGAGAGCATCGGCCTTGGCTAGGCGGCGTAATCTACAAACCCACTGAGAACAGAACGCGGTCAGAGCACCATCAGCGCCGGATAAGGATTAGTGTTATTGAGCTTTCAGTTTAAGACTGCTAGCAAGGTTCCATAGTAACATACCGTCTGCCTGACGTGAAAGTTGCGAATAAGGCCCATTTCTTCAGTTTTGGGAACGGAGTCGATGGAGGGTCGTGTGGCGTAGCCTTGCTGAGAAATCTGGAATCGTCGTTTACATACTCGACTTTCGGCTGTTAGGTGCCATCAGCATACAAAATACAAATATACTCACCAATTGATCGAGTAACCAGGTCGGCATTGAAGCAAATTCTTGGGGCGGCTAACGTGATTGACAGCGCGGCAAAAATGACATGTATATTCAACTACACGGCGTGTCTTCTGTTCAAAGACGACCCTCATGACGATCGTCGTGCCTGCTTGAATGCTTGGCCATCTACGACTTGCAAGTTGTGTTACCTGCTTGTCGTCATCAATGCACAAATCGTATTGTCTTTGCTCTATATACCGTCTCTGAACTTGAGCTTGGGTCGAGTTGTGTTTGAATAAAAGCTGGGGCTGCTCATTGAATCGCTAGAGAGAAGTGGATGAGTAAGCTTCCCCAAGGTGGATCTTATAACGAGCCTTACCTCAAACGAGTCGCAGACGTCCATCGGTATTGGATGTAAGCGGCCCGTTGCATCTACAAGTGTGACAAAGCCAAGTGTGACAATCGGCCCCACAGAGGACTGCACAGGGAAGAACACGCTCCCAAATCACATCAACATTTCGAGCGGCTTCTCCAGAATTTTCCGCATTTCGTAGATGTCGTGTTCACTTTGCATTTGAGATGACCACTGACGAAGCGTAATATTGAGTGCATGCAAACAATCTTGAGAGAGTAGAACACAACTGAATGATCCGCCAGATAATGGTCGATTTCGCTGGAGCATTCAATGATAGCTTGTGTGACAGATGTATATGCGAGACTATGGTTGTACAACTGTGTTACTTTGGCATATATGTCTTGCAGCATCCTAAGCGGACTCGACGTCAGGTGAATTCAAGAACACGTCAAGAAAGTATGTACTTAATCACGGTGTCCCTCCGAGTCCGGTGTTGCTCGAAGGGATCCCGGGCGATCGGGGCGTTACATAGATGTGAGCTGAGTCGTTGAAGTTGTGCCCTTAGGCGATCTATGTCCGCCTTATTCTGACTACGTCTCTGTGATGGCCTTTGAATCAAGAAACATCCTGGTAATAAAATAAACTCTCACATATATGGCTTGAAGGATTGACAATAATCCACTAATAGTAGCGTGGATCGGAGGACCAGCAACCGGAATTGCACCTGCAATTGTGGCCTGGACGACAGGCGAAATTATCTGAGCCATGTCAGAAGCCGTATGGGCAAAGGAATCGCCACTGCAAGTTGCGGGGCGCCTCGACCGAACTGCGATTCCTTTGAGGAGATCTGAATCCTTGAAAAAAACCTTAATCAAAGCCGACAGAGGGCATTTTGGTCGGGTGGGTTAGACAATAGATAAGAGGGAATATGAGACGTAGGGGGGGGGGGAGAATTTAACAAGTAGCTGTGTGCGTACAACACAGCCCAGTGTACTCGAGCTATACTTATGCTTGATATTGACTTATTGTTGCTTGCGGCTCGGCGGACACCCTTGTCATGTCCAATTTTTCTCCTAACCTCTCACGAACTCGTGGCCCACGGCTTCAGCGCCCAAGATAAAATCTGTGTGTATATGGAAATACCCAACGCTGAACGTTAAAACGTCAACCTTTTGATGGAGACGCGATCTCTGTTATTGAGCTTTCTATGTCTTCTTGAGTGAGACTCTGAGGAATTTTAACTGACTATTATCGTGATGGTGGTTATCACAGAAAGCATTGTTTAATGGGCAGCAATTAGACTCGTGGGTTTTTGATTTAGAAAGATGATTCGGATACTGATACGTCACGGTGTAGCATTTACAGTGAAGGTATAGCACGGGTATACCCGCGGGTCGGAAGATCACACTGTACCCGTACCCGTACTAACCCCCACGGTATAGCAGCTTACCCGCGGGCAGGCACACAAACAAGAAATAGTAACACACTACGTAGGTCTAATAACTTCATCCAACACTCTCGCCCTCTCTATCAAGGTCCACGCAAACGCGAGCAATAAGTTCACGTACTTAGATCAGCTTCGTCATCCTGTTTGACCTGCAGAAGGATAAGCTTAACATGTTTTGCAACATTGTCCGCTATGGACTGCAGAGACGATGATACATCTGAACGTGTTGAGGTAGACTCAGCGAGCGAGGCCGTGTCACTGGCAGTAAACTGATTAACCATAATAAGAAATGTAGAGTCTGTATACCTCACTTTATACTGACCAAATGTGTCGCTGATCCCTTGACAGTCTGTGAGTGCGTTGATACTGACAACGTCCTACTTATTTCGTACGATTGTTGTAACTTTCCTCAAAGAAAAGTTCTATACAATTGCTTCCGAGTTGGCTGGATCGACAGTGGCGTGGTGCATAGCGATGTGATGGGGTGAGTTTTCACGTTATGTATCCCTAGTACAACTTCATGGTTGCATGGTTCGATAGTGGCATTGCTACAAAATTTGTCAAAAGTATATTGCCAGCGTGAACTGGCGCGCTGTCAGTAGTTCTCTGACCGACCCCGATACTTATAATAACCAGAGGATGATGAGCACAGCCTGATCTGGCTGTGTACGTTCCACGTCACAGCTTAACAAGGCTGAATCTGATGGAAGGACAGGAGCCTGAGCCTCCTTAATACGAGTAGTATGTCGCGTGACATCACTGCGGGCAATGAATCCTATTAGTGCAATCAGACGGTAATCATTACAGTCGCTTTAGGCGCACTAAGAAATACTTGGATGAGATAGACCTCAGAAATGCGCGAGCCGCCTATATGTCCTCCTCGACAATCTGATCAGTGGGCGAGAATGAGTTTGGCGTCGTGTCCACGATGTCCACATTGCCTGTAGTTCGGTCTGTTCAAAACTTCAGAATTTGCGAGGGGGTAGCAACGTGACAAACATCTTCACCATTTTATAATTCCGGAATTTGCACATACTAGATATATTATGGTGTGCCGCGTGTATGATTCAAGACCTGATATCGACGACCATGCTATTATTGCTAGACGGATATGCGTACGCTGTGCTGGTTGAGTTCCTTGTCTCCTTGCAAGATGGCTGGATCCGGGGGTATGATGTATGGCTCCATCTCATTGGTCTCTTTGGGAGGATTCCGATTTTTCGATTTCCGGCGTTTAAGTAGAAACAAGATGAGGCCGACAATCCATGCGATGCCCAGCACACCTCCACATACGCTGCCAGCAATTATTGGTGTCAGAGCCTTGTTTCTAGGTACGGTGTTAACTAAACACTTGAATGTTTGTCGAAGGGCCAAAGGACACGTACCCATTAAGGGAAGCAGCTTCAGAGGAGTTCTCTGCGCGAGCTGCTTGAATTTTCGTTGGAAAGCCATGACTCTCCCACTGCATGTCTCTCTCGCCTTATGTTGAGCGGTAGGACAGATGGAGTAGCCTTCAAGTTATGTTTGAATTTGTCCTCGTACTCTCTACTAAGGACCGATTCTTCAAGGCTTCAAAGTCGGAGGATGGGAAGTGTTAGCCAGTGAAGAACGCAGTGAAGAGCTCCGCAAACTGCCGGGACCCGGCCTGCCTTTCTTGATTTGAGAATGGAGACCAAAGGTCTAGAGTCTCTGCATGTACGTATTCACAAGTCTGTAGTTGGGTTGCGTCTGTCAAGCCCGCCGCACACTAGTACTCAATCATCCCGCTTATGGTCGACATCCATCCCGCCTGCCGGCTGTTACCTATCCGTCGAGTCTCTCACGCTTGCCTGACTGGTCTACGACTTCATGTTCCTACAATTTTGGTCTCCACCAGCGTCTTGCACCGGAGTGTCAACGGATATCCAGTATGCACTTGATGGCAGTGCAGCAGTATCCCATTGCCAGTTTTTTGGTCAGTCACTGCCCATATTTGTGGCGCTCCATCAATGTTCCTACTTGCGAGACGTGGCGTTATTAATGGACGCTCACAATATCGACATCGATCCTCAAGCCGACTCGTTTCAACATACCTCCCTACAGACTTTGAATGAGACTCGTCTGAGCTAGAGAATCTTACGGATGCCGGAGTTGTCGCCCGCATCGGTTTCTGCATGCTCCCTTGCATCAATCGAATTGGCTACTGCAATTAGACCAATAGGACGGAGGCGTCAATGGACACATCCAATCTGTAAATCTTGGATGAACTTGTTGAGTATTGGGAGCATATTTCGGGTGGGCGTAAGGCGTGTTTGGCAGAACGGTCTGGAGCTGGTGCTTCTGTACAATGATACCGCATGCAGCTGGTTGATGTCGTCGTTCTTTGACTATATGATACACAGTTCTTGCCGACCACAACTAGATTGATGGCAGGATGCAGATTTGGCAATGCGACCAAGCTAGCCCATCGATCGCCCCTAAACACCCTTTCTTTGTTTCTCACCTGATTGAAATGTCACTTCCTGCCTTGGACCGCATGTTCATAACCTCAGTATGGTTACAATGTATAATTTATGGCATGCATCCTTATTCAGCGTATAAATTCAATGCTGATGTTTCGCTCGACAGGAGTCAAGTGAGTTGAAAGGGAGAAAGGACCCCAAAAGCTTACACTATGCTCATTTTTATCGATAGCTGCGTGCTATTTGGCGTATGCATGTATGTCATATGTATTCGGAACAGAAGGGCACATTGGTTCGTCTCATTACTTGTTCCATTTATTTTCCAGCACTCAACCTTGGATCAGGATTGTTCCTCTTTCATGCATTTTCCACTTTTCAATGGCAACAGCGCACATCATCATTTCCTTTTTATATGCTCTCCAGGGCCTCACAAATCCTGCTGTGATATCCGTCCCCAACGGAAGTACCTTGTACTTTGCCAGTGTTACAGCCTTCTGGTCGACACTGACAGGATTGTATCTTTTCAATGTGGGCATCATAATTCTATCGTGAATCGCACTTCATTATGTCTTCTTTCAGGTTCTTGTTCTGCATTTCCTGCTAGTGAGCAACTGCTTGTGTGCGGAGGTGTTGAACCTAACACTTGCGACAACAGATCTGGAGGTTTTATTTGGTTTGGAATCGTAACTTGATCCTTGCTATCATCCTGGTAAGATATCATTACTTGTCGCACTTTTGACGAGTGTTGAGATCGTTAGCTCATCCTGGAAGTTGGACACCTATGTGGGCCTGTTTACTTGAGTTGGCTGGCAGATTATGCGCTAACATTACTCCCCCTGCGTAGCAACTGCTTTAGCGGCCTGGGCTATAGTCACTCATTCCGGTGTCATCTTTGAATCGACTGCCTTGCACATAGCGACGGCTCTTTTTATACTCAACCTCGTTCTCACCATTTGTCTCACGACCGGGATCGCCTATCGTCTTTGGCGCGCGGGAGTTGATACGTTTGGTTTGACTGGTCATAATGCCTACAAACCTGCTATATACACCATCATTCAATGCGGTGAAATCTATACTAGCAGCATCGTGGTAATATGCGTTCTACGCCTTTCCGGGAAACCAGCTGGTCTCGTGGCACCTTACGTCGGCATTCAGTTTGCCGTCAGCATTTTATACTTCTTCTTCCTACACAGTCTCATATCCTTCTAGACCTTGACCCCTCTTCTTCTCATCGTCAGTCTTGAGTTTGGCGTGAGGCATGACGAGGCATAGACATTGCGGAACACGCTTTCGCTCGACTAGTCCAGGTCAATATCGCCGAGGAGACCCGTACTTGCTATGGCAACACCATGGATCCGTGACTCACCCGGAAGAATCAGAGACTGCGTGCATATGGTGGCAAAGAAAAGGGACGGCATTTCATAGGTCTTTTCTTCTAATGAGACATCAGACACTGGGATTCAACCAGTCCAGGCTAAAATCACCGAGGAGATCCGTACCTACCTGGTGACACCGTGGATCCATGGCCTACCCGGAGGAGTCAGAATCTGCATGCATATGATGTCAATGAAAAGAGATATCAGCTAGGAATATCTCATAGGTTTTTCCTTCTAATGAGGGGGGGAAGAGTGGGCATGCTATTGCGTCGGTGTTCAAAGAAGAACAGTCCAGGAAAAACTGATAACGCTCGAACCGTAACGTTTGGTTATAGTAGTAAAGGAAGAATGCCTATGTTCATTTGATTGAGGACTGCCTTGGGAGAGACTAGTCCAGTACCAAGAACGGCATGGTCGATAACAACTCGCAGTCCCCATGACGCGTCCCGAAGACATATCATAAGAGATACAGAAATGATGAGCGGTTAGATATTCTAGGACTTAGGGTATCCAACTATCAATTATAGATTGGCATCATGTTGGTATACTTAAGGCACCGTCCTTCAAGAGTACTGTGAATCAAAGACCAAACTTGGTATATACTTAAGCATAGGGCTAGAGATGCAGACGGCGTACGTAACCGCTGGAGTTGTGTTAAAGGTTGTATATATAGAGCGAAAGATGAAGGGGAGGCTATGAAAAATGAAAGTGCGATGGAATTACTTGATTTTATAAAAATCTGGCCCTTCATGTGGAGACTTGATGTCGTGCCTGAAGGAAAAATCATTAAGTAGTGGATCTGGGTCATTGACAAATGCTTATTTACTTGACTTTGAGATGCTGCTCGACTCCTTCCAATACGAAAGTCCGAGCTGAGCCATTGCAATGTTGGCAGCGATATACCGACCCAGTAGAAGATTTAGACTTCTGAGTCGTGCCTGGTTTTGAGGGCTTCCTGGTCTGAGGGGTGACGAAGAACTTCGGTGCTGGTGGTGGTTTCTCGATGAGACCCTGGTCATAGCTAAAGTCAATTCCTTCAGTTGGAGTGGTGATTCCATGCCTACTACGCGTCAAAAAGGTGAAGTGAGACAGAAAAGGCGACGACTTACGTTTGCATATGCTTAATCACGAAAACCTTTGTAGTTGGGCCTCCGTGGTATACATTGCATTTGTTACAACGCCACACTTCCTCAGTGGCTGCGGGATATTCGGGCGCAGGGGAACTTTGAATAACATGAAGTTGTCCAATACTTAATAATTTCCAACGAGGTTCTTTATGCGATGGACTTTGATCCTCGACGTAATGGAAGACCTAGAAGATGGTAAGCACATCATAAAAATCACAAACATCAGACGAACGCCCTGACGCCAGTTCATCGCCATCCGGTAGGATCCTCCGTTCTCTGGCTTGGGGGAACAATTGGAGCAGAAAAAGCGACACTGGAGGTCGTCCATTGTGGTTGCTGTCGTTGTTTGGGCATCGAGACCGACCAAGCTTAACAAAGAGCGTACAGCGGCCACCCCACGTGGAGAGATCGAAAATGTGCAAGGTGATATCGACATCATTAGTGCGTAACTGGATCGGAGGGCCATGCGTTGACTGTGAGAAGAAGACCCTTGGTGATACTGTACTTTGTCCCATGTAATCAATGGGAATGACCGCGGATAAGTGCATTGAAAAACGGAGGTTGCCAGCTGCAATAACATATCATCAGGGGCGTTGATTCCTTGGCCTTGTAGCGTCGTGGTGTCTTGTACTGCATCAGTGGAGAGGGCAAGCAGTCGCGTCAGCTCGAGCTTCTTTTTATGCATATATTCGGCACAAAACTGGGGAATTTTTTTGGCGAAAGCATCGCAAGGTTGAACATCGCCTTCTGTGTCCCCAGTGGGTGGGCTTTTGATAAATTCCGCAATGTCGCATAGCTTCAGGAAATCTCGGGGAGGAGGTACAATACCCTGTGGCAACGGCCGCACGTATTTGTGGTACATAGTCAACAGTTTAGACTCCCGGATAGATGACACTTCTCTTTGATTCTCGAAGCGCCATTCTTCTTGCAATTGAGCAAGCTTGCGCTCAACTTTTGGAATCAAACGCTTCCAGCCTGCAAATCGACAATGTAAGGACGATTCTTTTCAAATGCAAATGTCGTAGAGCACTGACGTGCGTCGGTAAACTCCTTATCTAGTACGCCATAGTGATGATGGTCAAACATGCGCTCCACGTCCTCAGCATCGTGGCCGAGATCGACCAGTCTAGCTTGAAACCTAGCATAGAGGATCAAGACGTGATTAGATGACGAGTCGATAGAATTTACTTACAGCTTTGTATTTTGGCTATGAAGCTCACGGGCACGGAGCGATTGCTGTGCACGATCACTGGCGACCCAAGCGTCACAGACTGCTATATGCTTCCAAACTGTTAGATTTAATAAACCGACTGGTAGGAATCTACATTGGAATCGGAATCAACATATTTCTTGCGTGATTGCTTGAAGTCTTCTAATGCTTGTTCGGCACCTGGTTTGAGGTACACCTCCAACTCGTCTGCCATTTTCGATATGTCATCTGACCAAAAAAACTTGCAGCCCAAGTCGGCAATATAATCATGGTCATGATCCTCAACACCGACTGTGCAGAAGGATCAAATACAGATAAGTCATAGTAAGAGAACACCCACTACTACTGAATGGGATCAAATCCAGAATGATCGGATCGTATTCAGGAAATACGAATGGAAAGGCCGATTTGCACAGTAAGCTTGACGGATTGTTGGCCAGATAAGGACATAATAATATAAAATAGTACTCACTTCTCATTGAGGCATGGTTGACATACTCTGCGCCTCATACCGAAGTCTATACCCCACACTCTCTTCATGCCACATTCCTGAGCTTGTGGTCACGAAATTATAAAGGATATAAACAAAGACCAGACAAACTTGACAGTCAGAACCACCAAATAATAGGTCAGCCCATTCCACCTCAGACATGTCAGGCATGCAGTCAGGAACACCGCCACGATTGACGCGAGCAGCTTTCCAGACTGAGACTGCGTGGTTAGACGATAGAACCTTACGGAAAGCTTTATGGGCATGGAACAGATGTGAGAGGTCCACCGGTTCCAAGAAGCTACAAATCTATATTGAAGCGGAGGTCAAACAAATAAGATGCATGTGCAATGCTCATTAACTTACCTCGAGAAGAATATCGATTGGCACAGTAACGATGAGACTAAGAGTTTTCTTTCTTCTGCCGGAACGTTTTACTGCTAGTGCTGTTCCTATATCGGTTCCTTTGTCCGTCCTGACGCGCTTTGCTACGGGTTGTTTATCTGGAACTTTGAAGCAAAAGTTGGTGAACAATTTCGCGCTGATAAAAAAAAAAGACAGTGATTACTATATGTCTCTCCGCCATAGTCACCTACAACTTCTTCACCGGGCGCCTCGCTCGGGCTGCTATGCTCGCTACATTGACTGCTACTATCTGAGCCCGTGTCCAGGTCCGTTAAATCGGAGTCCGTGCTCGAGCCATAATAGTCGTCGCAATCCCAACACATGTGAAGACCGTCGAGAGGGTTGCAGATAGTTACAGGGAGATCAGCGACCAGAGACGCCTATGACGAGGCTGAATGTAGTATAGAGCGAAACTGAAAAAGTCGCGCTTTATGATGTGGCCTTTAATTAATATTTTGAAGTTCCGTTATTGATGCCGAAGGTGACGAGAGATCAGATAGGGAAATAGAACGTACTCATATGGTAGCGTATTGGCCCCTCGGAGAGTAGCGGAAGGTTTGGTCGATTAGGGTCCAGGTAAGTAATTTCTATCAACAACAATATTTAAGAATTGACCATACGGAGACTTTCCATATCGACGTACGAGTGCTCAGAGCTCGGTAGTGGATGCTTCACGGTGGATTGTCGAGTGGTTCTTGTCTATGAACTCGCTCCTGCATGATCCAGTTGGGCTTGTATCGCGCGGACTTTGAAAAAAATACTGGCGGCAACACGTCCCGCTGCCATGATAGAACTTTCAATGCACCCAGAGAATGGCTCAATTCACGACAACATCTGTTACTTATCCGCTAGCAAAATACTCGCGTTCATATCCTACGAGCTCGTCGTCGAACTCTCAGAACCCTGCTACAGATGCAGAATGGCAACATTTCGTCCACCCCGTTATTAACCTCTATCTGGACGCGAAGAAATCTTCCGCAGGAGATCTTGTCTCTGTCCGCTTTCGAGTTGTATGGAATTTCGACAGCAACACTAATAGCGTGGGCGTCGATCAGAGAGAGATCATCCTCGTAGGCTCTTACTTTGGGTGACGAATCACACTAAAAAGCATAATCCTTTAGGAGGATCTTGATTTGCTCTCCTTCTCATCGATCTCAAACTCGAGGACAAATTCTGGGCAACCCGACCATGGCCTTCCTCTCAGAGCTGTCTATCGGGATGCTGTTGTTGGAATTCGGTATCTGCACTCGAGAACAGCAGACTCGACCTCCCAGCCAGTACAATATATGCTGTTCGCTCAAAACTTTTTACCAAGTTATTTCTCTTAGGTATATCGGCGCATTCAGATCACATTTACCACTGCAACGAGCGCAGCTCAGTTTATCGAGGCTGTACGACCTGTTTGTCCTTGTAGATTGAATCCACAGCCGCAGACTCCGGTCACTCGCATCCCTACTGTAGCTATGACAGGCCTTCTTGACGACATTTCCCGCCGAGGTACTATACTCCCATCTGTTTCACAAGCTTGGCCATCAATAGGCGAAACCCCCCTCAGACCAGTGTCGACTGCACTTCCTTCAGAAAATCCATCATCCGAATCTAATTTACCGACATTCGCACCATCGACACCGATTAGGTTTACACCTGTGTCTCTGAGCAGTAGTTCTACGAAAACGGCATCCGTGGCTGCACCCTCTCATGACAGTACCTTCGTTACACCTCCAGAAACACCTCGGATGACCATCCCAAAGTCTAGTCAATGCCAAGCACCGTCTGGCTCCATCAGCTCTACCAAAGGCTCTTTACCTGATTCTTCCCAGCCATCCTCGTCTACTCGTAGTACTAGTTCAAACACGATGCCACCGCCTCCACTGCCTTCGAGCGTCACACGATCCCTTCAGTCGGAAAATCGACCCTTAGAAAGTCACAATTCAACTCGGACCCAGCTTGTTGCATCACTGCTCGACACTCCGGCCCTTCACAAGCTATCCCATGCAGAGCTAGAATCCATCGTAGCACAAGTCATCAGAGAGGAAGGTTTTGTCCAACTGGTAAGCGCTCTCAAAGTCGTCGGATGAAAGAAAGCATAACCTCGCTAATCGGATCTTCCAGCTTGCTTCCTTGGACACCATGTGGAGAGTGAAGGGTCTACTTGGTCAATAATACCTGATGCTCTTGAACGCTACCCATTTCTTGCTATCCTTTGAGTATGTGGCCTTGTACGTGTATAAAGTCTCTACGATCGTGAATGCTACCATCAAGCACTTGTCTCATCCATTGCTTCCATCGATGTACCAGCAACCTGTAATTCATGAACGCTTTCCACACCGACACCTCTGAGTACCGTTTCAATCTTCTCTTGCTCTAATGCCTGGCGTTCGGACTCGCTTTTCACCATCAGCATGCCAGCGAACCCAAGTGAGTTGACGCTCAACGTCGCTCCCAACTCTCCCAGGGTATAGGTTTCCCAGCGTCGCGGGATCAAGTGCATGTGTTCCAAAGTTAGAATCACATTATAGGAGGGGGTACCAGACGGGTAGTCCGGGGAATGTCGTACGGTCGAAATCACAAGATCCAAAAGGGATAAGAATGGAAGGAACAACGCTTGTTCGAGCTGCTCCGGTGACGCGCCATTCGACAGAGTCGGAAGCCGATATACATGGTTAGCGTATCCCACCGATGACAGCGAAAACGGTTTTCCTGAGGGTGAGCTTGGTTCGATCATAGATATCTAGAAGAGCAGCAGCATCAAGTACCTGAAACTTCAAGATTCGCAGCTTTAGCTAATCTTTCGATCGGAGGTCCATCATCTTCGACTTCGATGAACTGAATATGTTTGTGACTTTGGCTGGCTCCACTGTTTGACCCGCCTTCGATGAATGCTCAGTATAAGTTTGTCGTCAGATCGTCATGTCACGAGAGATCCTCACAATTGTAGAAAGCGAAATAATTTTTACGTGCTTTGCGGGCCGCGAGGAGCAGTAGATAAGTTTGGACCAGATCATGAGGCATCAAGGGTGAATTTTGCGGCATGAATTCTGTCGATCATATGCATCAGTGGGCGATCATGGAGTTTGGGCAGCTGGTAGGGAACCTTTGGTTACAAGAAGGAAATGATGGGGGACGACCGAGTATTTGTTTAACTGAATACATTGAGCTGACTTGGATGCTTGTACGGAGAGAATGGAGCGTACCAGTACACCATATTCCGTCCCGGACGATTCGTCGCGTAAATCACCAACATGAAGATTCGGGACGTATGGAGGCGCAAATGGATCATATTTCTTGGAAGTCTCGTCCGACTGATCAGATGGCGCGATTCCTGCTTCCCCAGCAGGTGGGGACACGGCTGGTTTCTTTTGAAGCGCCGTACATATGCGGATCTCCCACTGTGGATTGATCGCTCGTACGAATTGCGATGAGAGCAGACGGAAACACACCTCTGTCCCGAGCTCCTCGTGCTTGCTCACTTCCGACGGGAAGAAAAACAGATCCCCTGAAGATTGCGCAGCTTCAAACTGGCTGGGTAACGCGGATATGATATCAGAGGCATTCATGACTGAACTGCATGTCAATATTTGGTCGGAGGCGTGAACACACATCGCGAGCCTGTTGTAGTAAGGCTAGTACTTACCAAGTAAACAAGCAAAAGATGGAGGCCGTGTAAAACTTGTTTGTAACAATTGGACCATCACGACGGATCAAGCTCAGGTATCATGACCATCAATATTACTATAACACAAGCACTGTACACAAGGGAATGCAATGTACATAGAGATGGAGAGCATAGGAAAAGAGGCAAAGTAACAGTTGCAGCCACAAACTGTCAACAATCAGACGAAGAAAATAAGCAATGCTGAGTACTGATATATGTCCCGCTGCGACTTTGCAGTCAGATTGCCCATTCTGCTGCAGTACTATGCAATGCCGATATCGTTACTGGGCTCAATGTCCACGCTCCGCCTCTCGCCGTTCTGCCCGGTGGTTTGCAAATCGGGATACTATACTTGACATATGTAACATGTAACATCTTCACGACCACCATCGATTTACATAATTATATGTAATGAAACACGTAGGTTCACGTGTGTCCATGTTTCGCAATGCTTGATATCTTGATACACTGTAAATTTGTACATACAACAGGGAGCGAAAGATATCGAAAAGGGAAACTGGTAACAATACTGTAGTCACGGACTAACAGCATATGATACCGTTGAAAAGGTCTGGAAATAGCCGCACTGCGTGTAAACGTACTCATTATGCCTGACCCGCTCGGCCTTTGTTTCTTATTGCTTCCTGCATTGTCTCTCTCAATGTTAATGCACGAATGTAGAACATTGCAGCAATCAATGACCATAGTGCCGCATTTGTGCCCTATTGTATTGTATGAGAAAACTGGTAGTACAAGACGTATGGAGACTCACTTGGTAAAATAAAACCGTTCCGGCGGCTTGCATGATCAGTAACACCACTCTAAGAGCGATGCTCCTAAATATAGCAGTTCCCTTGAGGATGGGGATAGGATATTCCAGCGCGATTATGGTAAACCCGAGGGCCATGGTGCCTATCTGCACAATGGGGTATTTGACAATAACATTGATGAACAGAGCAAACTTGGGTGACGGTCTATTGTAAGATAACATGAATACAGATTAGTACAACAAAGTCTTATGACACTCACTGTAGACCACCGGGAGAGCGCAAGATGCCACCGATGAAATCCCAAAAGAACTTGCGGAAGAAGAAACCCCAGAAACTGGCCCATACTGCATCTGTTAACATCAGGTGAGACGATTTTCGCCAGATAAAGGGATGCGACGTACAAACACTGGCCGTGAGGGAGATGTAGCGACTTAACTCGTGCCAGATGAGCTTTCCCATTGATCGAAGAGGTTGGTAGTTAACAAAGGGGTAGTAGATGGGCAAAGAAACGAGTGTATCGAGCGCTGCTCGGAATTGACTTGAAAAAAAGGATTGGGGAGTCGAAAGTGAGTGGAAACGTGCAATAGTGCACAAGGAGGAGACCGGCTCAACCTCAACGAAAAGTAACTAAAGAAAGTTGGTGAAATTCGGAAGCTCTAGTGATACAAAGATGAAGACTTTATAGGACACAAATACACTTGGGGGGATGTTACGGCGCAACCTGGCACTGGTACGTACCAACTTCGCGCTCGTACTGCATATAGGCAAGGCAATCTCCGATTATTGACTATTTTTACAAGGGCCGTGTATTGTTCGGGTATTACATAAAGCGAAATTTAAAGTTGGAAACTCAACATTTCTTCAGACGAGGCTCGGCAAAATAATTCATTGTATTACAGGTTATTACGAAAATTAATTAAGAGCTTTCAAGTGCAACTTGAAGGGACTTGAATGAGCTCAAACTCAAGACGTACAACAAATTGAATGACAGGTCCTATGAGAAACCGGTTGTCAAAGGCGGCGAAATAGTATTGGTGGATATCTTGGGACGCACAGGGAATCCACGGAGTGATTGGCATGCAAGCCGCGGTGGCTTGATACGCTGCACTGCACTGTCAAAGGTCCATTCTTCCCAGTAGCGCGCACATACCGCATCCACACATGTCAAATGTCGGATGAGGTGCAATTGCCGGGTTGACCGCCCAGAGGCAGTATCATTTTGCCAATTATCCTCGGTGATTACTTCAACTTGGCAGGTAGGTACTTACCTGCAGGCGATTATCGCGCTAGAGTGACATAGTCGCCATGAAACGAACGTGGAACGCACAGAGTGCTGATATAGACAAAGTCCTATTGGCGTCTGCC